TCATTCAAAGTGTGACACCATAACCCAGTAGTCTATGTGTTTTCATTAATGTCAAAGCCGTTTTTTTTTTCAAACGATGAAATATAGTCTAGTCTCTTGCAGTCATACGACTAAAAAAAAAAACAATTATAATTTATTGTTGGGAATTGTTTGCATTCCAAAGTTTTTGGAAACGGTTAAACAGCAGAGCAACGGCGTCATGTTTATTTTATTGATCAAACCCCCTGTTTCGCTCCGCATGAAAAATTTACCTCGAAACGCCGTTGTGCCGCTACAAGTACAGAAAAGGCGTTTATTTATGAACATAGCGTTTGCACTTTGTGACATTTATTTTGGGTCCGTAAAACAGATAATCGTTAAAAATTGTTTGCACATTTAAATTATCGCTGAAAAAATGGATAAGCCGTATGTTTTGTGTCACATCGAAAAAGCGGTGGATTTTACAATTTTCGACACTAGATGGTTACCGTGTTCGGCAAAATGTGTTGTTCTCGGAAGTAAACCGAATGGCAAAGGTGTCTTGCGTGTATTTGAAATGAATACTGGTCATTTGGATGTGGTAAAAGAGTATGAATACAAAACAACATTGAAAAGTGGTTCGTTCGGTGCAAATTCATTAAAACGAAGTCATATGTCCGTTATTAGTTTTGATGGTCAACTCCAAGTATTGGATTTAGAACGACTTGATGCGGCGGCCATTTATAGTGTACAAGCTCACAATGGTATGGCACATGGTTTGGATGCAATCGGCGGTGGATACATGAAAAATTGTGGAGCTCCGGAAATTGCAACTGGCGGAGCAGACGGATGTGTGAAAGTGTGGGATTTACGACAAAAAGATTCACCCGTTGTTTGTATGGAACCGACTACGTCACAACAAGGTGAAAACATGCCACGAGAATGTTGGACGGTTGCCTTTGGCGATTCATTTAATAATGATGAACGCTCTTTGGTCGCCGGATACGATAATGGCGATGTGAAAATGTTCGATTTACGACAAATGAAAATTCGTTGGGAAACAAACACAAAAAATGGCATTTGTTGTGCGGAATTTGATCGGCGCGATATTCCAATGAATAAATTAGTGGTGACAACGTTGGAGGGTGGATTACATGTATATGATTTGCGAACACAACATCCAAAGAAAGGTTTTGCATGTGCTAGCGAAAAGGATGCTGGCCGATCGTTGGGCACAAATGGTGTCATTAACGGTGGCAGAGCAACAGTTTGGTGCGTACGACATTTACCACAAAATCGTAAGTATCCATGCCATTTAGACTGAATCACAAGAATGTGTTGAAGTATTTTTTCTATTGCATTAATTCGTGCTTAGGTGAGATATTTGTTACATGCGGTGGAACGGGAGCAATACGGCTATGGCAATACAAATATCCAGAGAAACGTGTTAAAGAAGCCAGTGATGGCTGCAGTCAAGGTGTTGCTGGAAAATTACAAATGTTACAAGCCACATCGGTCTCAAGTCAACCGATAAATTCGTTTGATTGGCATACAGACAAAATTGGCCTTGCTGTTTGCGGCTCATTTGATCAGGCTGTACGCATTTTACTCACGACAAATCTGAATTTATACTAAAATAAATGATATGGATCAATCTGACACATATTTGGAGCAACAGTGATTGTGAATTTTTAATATGATAAATGTATTCATGTACCCACATGAATTTTAAATGAAATGAAATGAAAAAAGCTAAAATGTCAAATAAACATCTTAAGAGATTTCAAATACTAGAGTCAAAACACCTATTTTTTAAACCAAAAATAAGCTCAAAACGATGCAAGTTAATGGTAAGGAAAATGTATATTTGGACATTTGAAAGCTTTAGTATCAAAATAGCAAATATTTAGTCAAATGCAAAAAATAGCCTGTTGTGAGTCACTCGCAACACCATTTTTAAATGTTCAAGATTCTGTTTTGCCATAATAACAAACCTATGAATTAGGCAATGGAATATTTGCAACATGGAATAAAATTACTGTAATTCAGTTTATTTAAAATAATTTTGCATAAATTGAGGCAACTCATTGGCATTTTATTGAAAATGTCAAATTGAGTGAAATAAACAACATTAACCAATTACGCACAAGTCTGAAAAACTGTACAGTGTTATCAAAATTGATAAGAAAATGTAATCACAAATTTTAAGTCTGTTGGTGGTCTAATTCTTGTATAAATTGTAAAGTCATCATTTTCATTTTTTGTCGACTCAGAATGAGTATATAAAATCGCCAATAACACTTGATTTGTGTATGTGAAAGTGTTTTTATTATTTAATCAAGCGAAGATTTATTTTTGTATTTCTTATCAACATTATTCAAGAGTTCTTTTGTCGTTATATAAGTTTTATTTTTATTAGGATTAGAAATGTACACAATTGTCTGTCATGATGACTGGCACCTTTTTTGAGAAATTTATATTGAGTTGTATGTGAGTCAAGACAAAATCAAACATTGTGATAACATCTTCTCTTTGCACTTTGTATTTTATTATAAACGGATTTTCAAAAATTTTCCGTAAAAAATATCAAAATTTAGCAATTGATAATGAATGAAATCTATAATTTTTCTATCACTAGATCCCAATTGCTTTAACCTCGAAGCTATTTTCTGTTGAACATTTTTCCAATACGATAAATAATGAAAATGACAACAAATGGCATAATTAAAATATCCAACATTAAATAAGTGAACCAGGACATGTGAACGGCACTCGATTTCAAATGTTTCGCACCATTGCCAGATCGAATCACATATTCAATCCAAAACATAGCCTCTTCCATCGGATGCACCAAATTATCATTAGACAGCCGTGCAATTTCCTTTGCCCGATTGTAATACGTTTTGTTCGTGAGAAGTTCGTTGACTTTTGATGAAAGAGTTTCGACCGTTATCTGAGAAAATGGAAGCTCTAATCCGCTTCCAGCTTTTACTGCTTTCCGCGCATTTCGAAACTGATCAGCAAAGAGAGGGGTGAAAAGGAATGGAACTCCCCGCATCGTGCCCTCATAGGTCCCCGACAATCCTCCATGCGATATAAATAGAACGACTTTTTCATGTGCCAATATATCACTTTGTGGCATCCATTTTTGGACCCTAACATTTGAGGGAATATTGGCAAATGATTCATCTTCAAATTTCCATAAAACATTTTGCTTTAGTTTTCCAAAAACTTGCAAAAATGCTTCCATCTTCTCTTTTGGCATCGCATCGCTCCGTACCGCTGAACCCAATGTGAATACGATCACACCATGCTTTGAATTGTCCATGAATTCCTGTAGATCTTTTGGTAGCGGTTTTGGTGGTTTGATATGAGCCCCACCTATATTGACTATTCCGGGCATTTGTGGACGTGGTTTGAATGAACTTCGATGCGTATTCACAAAGATCATTGAAATATTTTTATAGAGTTCTTCAACGGTCGGTAGAGGTCTTCCTTTTTCCTCTGTGAATATTGACCAAACATTAGAATGAAAAAATATTATTTATTATTTACTCGACTTGTTACCTATTAGATGGCTGAAGTATCGTTTGGCAATCTCATTCTGTTTCGGCAGCATTACCCAGTGTCTAAGATACGCATCATATAAAGATAGCAAAAGATTATAAGCTCGTTGTGAATATGTCATGTCATCTTCGTTATCAAGGATATTATGAGGAACATGTGACCATGGCGTGAGTAGACCCATTGCCCGATCAAAGTAATCGGGATGCCCATTAGTACCTTTGGATAACCCAGTGTTACATAGTTTGATTTACAATTATTTGACCATTATGTTTTTGGAGATTTAAAAACTCACAAATTGTAATAACTGGAGCATCGAATTTATAGGCGAACATCAGCCAACTCTCGTGGAAATAATCCTGTTGTATCACCAAATCAAAATGTAAATCATTACTGTGTATCATTTTTTGCATACTCGCACTTTTCAATCCAAAGTCGCTGGATGGTGTTGAAACCCTTTCGAATAACTCAAGCTTGTGAAAATCATTATCGTGGGAGCTTTCGAACATATTGTCCATCGAAACTGCGATAACAATATTATTATAATTTAATTTTTCGATAATAAATAACGTGATTAAATTACTTACAAACTTTTTCTAGTTCAAAGGGTGGATCGATAAGAATCTCTGTATAATTGGGCGATTGAAAATTCTTTATAGGAATATTCACAACAGCGGTTACATGATGACCGCGTTCGACTAGTGCCTTCACGAAATGTTGCAGAAGTATCCAATGCGATGGCCAATTAAATGGCACCATAAATAATATTTTGTATCCATTTGTAATGGATAATAGCATGAGCAGCGTTGTAATCGTTAAAAGTTTCTATATGAAAATAAACAGCTCGATTAGAGTTCTAAGTTCGCTTAATATTTGATTTAAAAATCTCACCATTTCCACAACTCTTCTATTCAAATAGTAAATTCAGACTGGTTGAATAGCGCAACACTTTACTGTACAATTAAATAACCATTGCCATTATTTCGTCGGCATATGATAAGATTAATCTATATGAAGGTTAGAAGTGTACGCAATTTACTCTATTAATTATTGTCACTGATACTTCCTATAAGTGAGTGCATATACTGCTTGAATGTCAATTGTGTGAATGAGTTTTTTTAATTAAAAAAATTAAAAATGTTTTTTTTTTGTTTGGTTGGAAACAATTAGAAATTTTGTCATTGAATAAAGTAATGCAGTTTTTGAGGCAAACGAGAAATATATTTCAACTGACTTAGAATAAATTTTAATTAACTGTATTAATTTAAAATGACACAGAATGCAAAAATTGAGCACAAAAAATAATGAATCGAAGCAAGCATTTCATTAAATCGGCGCCTATTGCAAATAATGTACGACCACTACAGATGGTTTTGCGTGCATAAAATTGAGTTGTGAACTTGCATTGAGTTGTAAACTTTTCAATCAACTATTGCCGTATGATTTTGCATGAATCGAAAGATAAAATAGATATATTGTAAATATGACAATGAAAGAGAAGATTTCATGAACATACGAGAAGTAATTTGAAAAAAAATTCAGTTAATTTTCATTAATTTCCTAGGGGGTAGACACGTGGAATAGGATTAGACTTTTTAGTGTAAAAATTCGAGAAATTAAAGTGGAATAGAGAATTCAGTAGCTGGATTCACATGGATTCACTAATCCCGTGTATGGAATAGCGAAAATGGGTTAATTCAAAGTTTTTGTAATCGATAGTACAGAATTTGATAAAAGCATTGAACTTGTTTTGAGATAATAATTTGTTCTTTTTTGAAATATTTTTTAGTTCAAAAGTCGATTACAAATTTAAAAAACAATAGATACTCTTTCTCAAAATTTTATTGATGAAAAAAATAATTTTAATTATCAATAACAAAATGTCATACTCCAGTATCGATAAATAAGTTTTCAACAAAGTGAATAGCGGCGAAATGTGACATCACATTTGACAATGAAATGACGGATTGGTGGAATAGTAGGATTAGTGTTTTTATATTGGAATCATGGTTTAATCGTTTGTGTCTCCCCCCTAGTTAATTTCATTTTATCTTTTCATAGATATTTTCAAACCCTTGTGAAAAAAAAATGTCTGACTAACTAAAAATTAAGAAAATTTTAATCACTTTTATTCGGTTAAAATTACCAATAGATGATTGAAATCGAATATAGTCGGTTATGTTTCTATGTTAACTAAAAGTGATCATAGTCATAGTTGACAAAAGTCAATTTCATATATAAGTATATATACTAGTAGTAGTTCTCAACTCAAGTTACATGAACATATCAGCCATTTTTGTCCCAAATTAGTCAATTTATAGTCGACTATGAAGTCGAAATATTTCCACAAGGGAAATTCTACATTCACAATCGATATTTGATTTTTCTAATATAATTCTACGTAATAGTAGCTTCGAAGTAATCAAGAAAAAGATTTCCAAAAAATGAGTTGTTTTAAAGCAAAAAATATCTCAAATACGATTAAAGTTAATGGTAAGGAAAATGTACAATGCATATTATTATGTTGATTTTTGGGGCAAAGAAACCCATTCAAATAAATGTCTCGTCATAAAATATTTGGATATGTTTCTCTTCTTTAAAATCGTTATTGTTGCGATGAATTTGTTCATTCGAACATAACCAATTTCGGACTATTTCAGTACATCCATGACATAAACACCCATTGGATGTCATCCAATGATAACTGTGTGCTAACGTCATAAACCCACAATAAAAAACGGTTTTATTTTCTCATAGGCATTTTTTTAGTTTATTTGTGCAATATAGTTTATGGGATTATTCATATTTATTAACTCGATTATTGATTCTATCATCAATCCTATCGATTTGACTGTTATGGGTAGATACAAACCTTGAGTCAAGCACGGAATGAATCAATTTCGATTTGTTTTCTTTGAATTGGTTTTCCCTTTCATTTGGTTTTTATTTGGTGTAAGAAGATAAGCTATGCAAGACATTTTCCAGATGATACTTACTCAATTTGAATAATTCAATGAAAAATGTTGCTACGTTGAATACTCACCTTCAATGAAAACCATTTCTTTTCTCTTGCAAATGGCAAGTATTCAATTTGAATGAATCTCTATCAATTAACAGAAATTAATTACAACTTTTCCATTTTGAGACTGTTTCTATGGGAACACAGTTTCAATTTGTCATTTGATGCCCGCTTTAATTGAATTAATTCCTAGAGAAAAACATTGGGAGAAACAAACTTTGAAACGTAATAACGGGTAGACAATGGTATTTTTCAACACCCCCATTCTCCGAATATCAGATGTACATATAAATCTGACGCAGGGAAACGGCGTTAGTATATAACTTACAGCAACATAGTAACATATGTGCAGAGATTAAAATCATGGATAATTTTTTTTCGCTTTCAAAACATTTGCATAGAGAATGAGAGAACACGATGTTATATTCAAATCCATTCATGTCGATAATTGCATGTCAAACAGGTAACGTTTTTGTGTGTGTTTTTTTGAACAAATAACGAATTACCGAGCAATAAACCGTGTTCAGCTGCTGATTTGAATTGGATATTCTTCATTTGAATTTCCATTATGTTTAAATTTGCAAGCTCAAATAGCATCAGAGCAACGAAGTGTGTGCACATCAGTTGGCAGGTGCGCATACGAAAATGTAGTTAAAGTGTGCATTGGATTAATTCTTCGAAATGAAATGAGATTTATCCTTGGAATAGCCAATGGCAGAATAAAAAAAACATTTGATACGCCAAAACGCGATTACAATACTAATGAATGTTTCCCAACTCTTTTTTTTTCAAATCTCTGTAAATGAACTGTAGTTAGAAGTTAATGAGCGATGTATCAAATTCGTGTCATGGTTCCATTTTTCAAATGACATTGACACGATGCAAAATCTGAATCAAAGTTTGCTCAACTTGATTCGTTTTCAAATTGCTATAGGCGGCCATGGCAGTGGGTTTGGGTATCAAATGTGCGGTTTTGTTATGATGGAAAATCGCTCATGTGACAATAACAAGCAAAAATGAAATCAAGGTAAAATCAAATCATGTCTTCAATTCAATGTGTATCGAAATCATTTGTATTCAGAGCACAGTTGAGAAGATAAAGGCTTTGTTCAAAGCTTTGATGTGGCAGCGGTAGTGGTTGTATAATTTAATGTGCAACCTCTTTAAAATACGATTCGAATATCAAAGGATAAGATTAAATTGCATTTGTAAAAGGAAACCACGCACAAATGCTATATATTTCTATCTACTTCAGTGGCATCGGGCCAAAAATGCAATATCATTAAAGCATCATCTTCATTTGGGAAACGGTTCACAGCCAGAATTTTCGATTGTAACGCAAATGCGAATTTCTGATAGTTTTATGGGTTGCATAAATACCAATGACCAAATTGTGGTTGCAAAAGAAGAAGAGCGGAGGATATTTTACCTTGACCAAACGTGATTCAAAGTAAAACTCCATTTCAAAGTAAGTAACATGATGACGCCAGCCGTTTTATGATCAAATTTCAAATAATGTTTTAAAAAGTATCGAATATTTTTGTTGGTTTAAATTTTTTTTTGATTTTTATTGGATGAAAAGTAAGTTTTCCAATCATGTGTATGTGTATATGTGTGTGTGTATTTTGGTTTTGGTAATATAATCAAAGAGCTTAGTATTTGCAAAAATAAAAACTAGAAAATGAAATTACGTGACGCGCTCGGGTGTTCCTCTCAGTTTATAGAGTTCGGATGATGTAATAATGCCATAGCTGCCGCCATTCGAACCATTTTTGCTACGGTACACCGTCGGTTTACTTTGTAGCACCGAATCGTATGCAATTTTCGGATAAACACAATCGCCTTTCGTACGTGCAAACGGTTCTAATTTGTTTCGGAAATGATTTGATGGCGGATATGCTAATAATTTCTTTGGATCGGCATAAATGGTCGATTGGTCTTGGTTGTTTGCATATTTGAGAACGTCAATTTTATGTTTGCGCATTTTCATTTCGAGTTTCCGTAATCGTGCCGTTGCATCGGTATAGTCATCCAGAGATTTTTGCTTAATTAAGCGTCGGTTATCGTTTGATGCGGCCAGATGATTGTTGATTGAATGCGACAAATAATTTCCGTTTCCGTTACGCTGAAAATCACTTTGATGTTCGTTTCGTGTTGGTGATGGTGTTAATTTCTTTAGCAGGCGTACATTCGTTATGGTTTTAACATTATCAAAGGAATTTTGTCGGAAATCACCACCGCCACCGCCATGGATTGAATCATCGTCGAGTGAACGTTTGAAATTTGATTTGCGTAGTATTTGATTTGCATCGTTTGAATGACGACGAAGTGCGCCTGGTATTGTTGATCGTCTCACATCATTTGATAGTTTATACTTGGATTGTTGTTCCGATTCGTAGCAACAATTTGCATTCGAATCGATGAATTGCGATGGATATTTGATGTCGTTTTTCAATTTTGGTATTGACACATCATTTGCGCACTTCTTTAGAAGCGCATCGTCCGAATCACGTATACAACTTTTGCAGCAATTTAATTTATTGGTCAAACGTGTATAAGAGCCATTGATTTGGCGTGATGGTTGCAGAGACGATGTCGACGTTGTTGTGCTATTGATTGAGGTAGGTTTCGAATTCGTTATTGGTTTTGGATGAAATACACTTGAATATGATGGATGTTGTTTGGCATCGTTTTGACATTTGATTTGTGATGAATAACTTGCGTTGGTCGGCATTTTTTTGTCGGCTATTGATGATGAAGTGCCTGTTATCGTTTTCGGCAAAATCATTCGTCCATTTGATGATGATGATGCTGTTGATGTTACTGTTGCTGCTGTCGAAACCTTGTGCAAGCTATCCGTTGGCGATGATTTTGAATTGGTAGTGGCACCACTTGGCGATGATGATATGGAACTTTTTAAACAATCAAATATTTCATTTAGTTTATTTATACGGAAAAAATGTAATGTGATTTTTGTGCGAAATCAAGAGTTTAGAAAATTAGCTTTACTTTCTCTTTCGTTCCGTTGTTGACATGATTTCATACAATTTTGATCGATACTCGGAAACCGTTAGCTGTATATCATCTCGAAATAATGGAATGATATCCGATTTTAGCTCCGATTCGGGCGATGCATTACGAAACCTAGTCATATGGAAGTTATTCGTATTTATCAGACTTCAAACAGTGACAAAGAATATAAAGGGTGTCCCATATGAGTGGGCCATTACAAGGCTTCCATTTTCTTTTCTTTTCTTTTCTTTTCTTTTTTAAATAAATTCAATGGAAATTCTCACTAACTAAACAATTTTTACCGGACTAAAAAAATGAATGGTTGTGGGCCTTTTATATGAGACACCCTGTTCAATAAAATTACATTCGAATGCTTACTTTTCTACATATCTATGGCACATTGCTTGTTTGGCTGTGAGTCGCTTTGTTGGATCCATGACGAGTAGCGCTTTCACCAAATCCTTTGCATCAGCTGGTGTATCGGCCAATAGTTCTTCCATGCTCGGATTTGAGCTCATTGATTTTGTTGATTGATTCAATAATGCCGAACCAAATCCATTTCCAACAGACTTCAAATCACTTTCGCTTGGATGTGGCAATGCCGATAAAATACACTCAATCTTCAAACACAAAGTTTTTTCGATTCTTTTTTTGTTATTGAATTTGATTTTGGTATTTCATTTTTAGTTTTACCTGATTGATTGTACAGCTGCCAGGAAAAATTGGTTTGCCTCGGCACATTTCTCCTAATATACATCCCAATGACCACATATCGATGCCCTTCGTATACTGTTTGAAAAAAAAAAAAACAATAAATGCCAGAACCAAAAAAGTAAAAAAAAAATGAAATAAAGTTAGAGATGAATAAAATCAATCAATTTGAAACCCACCTGTTTGTTTGCGATCAATATTTCAGGCGCACGATACCAGCGAGTCGCTTTTGAAAAATAACATCGATATTATTATATTTATTTGTTTAAAGTTTGTCATCTTTGAGGTTAATAGCGCTTGACAAATTGGAAAAGTTCGTTTTAATAATTTAAATTTGATTTTGTTTGTTTTCTTTTCCTAGTCTATCCAAAAAGGATGACGACGACCTAGCCGCTTGTATCAATTTCAACATAAATCGATTATCATTACCTACGTAATCCGTTAAACATGCTTCCTCATTGCCATTCGAGTCAACCGTCGGGTGATTTTGTGACAATGAACGTGCCAAACCAAAATCCGCTAACTTACATCTGTATGTGGTGTGTGCCACATTATTGAAAACATATAAATTACTGATAATGAACTCAGTTTATATTATTGCAAGAGTCGCACATAAATCATGTGTCGCCACCAAACTGGCTTTTAACATGAATCGAAAATTGATGCGTTTTATTTTATTATTATTGAAAAGTAATTTTCTCTTGATGTAACTAAATATGAGTTTATGAACCCATAAATATTCAAAATTAGTCGTGGTTAAGCCGAAATCCGAATCAATTTACGTCGCCGTCTAAAGCCAACAAGGTGTAAGGGGTTTAAAATTAGATAAAACAATGGAGAATGGGAGAGGACGTGCAGTGGGAAGCCAAAAAAGCATATTTACCTGCACTTGCTGTCCACTAATATATTGCTTGGTTTTAAATCACGATGAATTATATTTCCCGAATGGATAAAATTTGTCGCATTCAATACCTGATACATGACATAACGTTTGTGTATATCTTTCAATATCGATCCTCTTTTAATCACGTTATGCAAATCACTCTCCATGAACTCAAACGATAAATAAATATCCATGTGATTGGTTGCTCTGGAGATATACGGTGGACAAAATATAATATTGCATAGACGATATGTGTAATAATGAGGTGGAAGCGAAAGAGAGATACGATAAAGACGAAAAAAAGTAAATTAAAAATTCATTATTATCAAAAAAATTAACGGTAATCATTTTATATATATATTTTAACCAATCAATGTTTGCCATTTTTGTCTCACATTAAAAAATTGTACATTTGGAAATGAATTTTATTAAATTCATTATCACGGCTAAAATGGTATTGAGAGATTTAAAAAAATAAATAAATCGCCGTAAATTAAATTGAATACGGTACCTGTGTATGCTATAGAGTTGAATAATGTTGGGATGATTGCGCAACGCCCGCAGCAGCATAATTTCGCGAAACGTTCGTTGAGCATCTGTTTCATTTCGAAATGCATCGAAAATTTTCTTCACAGCAACCGTCTGTTTGGTTCGTCGATCAATCGCTTTCTTTGTGGAAAGAAAGAAAAAAACATTGAAAAAGTGAAAATTCCATTGTGGACGCTTGTTCAGTGTTTTCACTACAGTGTTGCTTACCCATACGATACCATAAGCGCCTTTGCCCAAACGCTGAAAATATCATAGAATATTTCAGATACAAGATTACACATGTTCGTGAACGTGAACATAATAAAGTTATCAAATATAGTGGAAAATCGTGCATTGAAAGCATTGCAAAATTGACTGCTTCCATTCGTCTTGTGATCATAATTAATTTGATAAAACTCACTCAAACGAATAACACTATTTTCGAAACATATTTTCAACGTTTAATAGTATGCATATTGTATACGTTCTTCATGCCAACGCAGAAAAAAGCACAACCAAAGTTTATTGATTAAACGTGACTCAAAATTATGTGTTCCCTTTTGCAGACACAAGAAGCTTATTCGATTCGATCTAACAACTTTAAGAACTCGTTCGCATTCGACTCAACAGTCAATACATTAGGGTGACCCAAAATAAAAAAATTAATTTTCAACATTCCACGTCAGTTTTATCATATTCGACCCCTAAAAATACCATGTGCGCTTTCATTTTGTTCAATTAAGTCAAACCAGCTCTGCAGAACCATTATCAATTTTCCTCCGTGAACCCATTTTGGTGACATTTGAAAGAGCTCTACTTTCTAAAAAAAATATGTAACAAATACGTGGGAGGGTTTGGTATGAGAAAAAAAATGGTCAGTCGTCGAATATATCACAGAGAAATGCACACAATTTCCGCATCGGTTGATACATCGGTTACAACAGCAGTAACACAGACAGCGCAATTCTCATAATATTGGATAAATCGTTTGTACCATCCCATTGTATTATTATTTATTAAGATTTTTGATCAGTGACCGGTTCGCGCATATTTCTATGCCTGATAGCTATGCTAAGCATAGCGGAGACGCAAGCCGCAACGCACCCGTCACCATTCGATTCGAGCTATATTGTATGCGCACGGTCGTCTGCATAAACGAACATGTGTATTGTTCATATAGAGTGAACGGCGATGCGTCGGTTGCGTTTGCGGCTATGCTTGGCATATCTATGCTAACTAGCGTATTTAGGCAAGCATAGAAATATGCGCGAACCGGTCACTGTTTTTGATTAAAAAAAACTTTATCTGCCACAAAAAGTATCGAATAAAATACATAAAAATAGACTTTCATGTATATGAGTCATATCTATGACTATGTAAAAAACGCCTAGTTTTTTTTAATGTACGCAATTTTCGTAAAATTAAGGTCACGTATAAAAAGTCGTGGTCAGTTTTCGCTGAATGTGTTCACCGAGGAAAATTTATAATGGTTTTTTAGAGCCTGGGCGACTTAATTGAACAAAATAAAATTGCGCAAATGGTGTTTTTGGGCATCAAATATGATAAAAACGGCGTATAATATTTAAAATTGAATAATTTTTTTTTATTTTGATCCACCCTAACTTACATAATAATAAAAATGTTCGGAAAAAAAAACAATTTTACTCTACAACTATGAGATATACAATACAAAGTTTTTCAACGGGATAAAACGGAATATTTCAAATCTCGTTATATGTGAATTTTGTTGCATTTCTTTGGACTTTTTCTTCTCTTTCTTACTTCCTCTCTCTCTCTCTATCTCTCTCTCTCTTTTTCACACATTTGCTCTCTCTCTCTTCGTTCAGTCCCTCTTTCGAAAATGTTGCCATTTTCGCAATGTAATCACTCCAAGAACTTTGTTTTGTTTCACTTTTTACTCTCTTTAAAGTTGAGATGCGAACGTCCAGACGTTTGATGAATTTAATTGCATTTTGCTGAAGAGTACATAAAATGCTCATTTGTCGGATTTAATATGAGTGTAACTTAACATCTTCAAACAATTTCTTGAAGTTTCTTCGCTCAAACTTACCCATTTATGTATATTTCGTATTGTGTAATGTGCATGTACTTGGTTTTACGTTCGTATAAAAGCTGAATTCCATCTTGATGGAAAATCCCAATGTCAATAATGCAAGATGGCTTATGAAACTCTGTCTATTTTCACTCTACTCTACATATATATTTCCCCTTTTTTCTCGTTGTTAGTTTCAAGTTGTTCAATCTTTTTATTATCATTTTATCTACTCGAAATAAAATGAAGTCACTTTTCCGTTTTCATAAAATGAGATAAACACCACGACCCAATTTTTGCCCCCGTCATTTCCGCTTAAGTTTAATTCGATTTCCCACACCGTTGCATTTTAATACAATTTTCGGGATTGGATGCTTGAGCCTGCATCGATCTTGGCGGGAAAGAAATTATGAAATTTATTAGTTGTTGACTTGAAAACAATAAAATACAAATTGGTCTCATTGTGTGCATGCAAAACAGTCAATTATGACGCTCTTGAACCTCGCATTGTGCGCTTTTTTACCTTTTAGTCGCCGAATGCACGAAAAGTTGAAGGTCTTTTATGTTCTGCATTTGCACCGTTTATTGGAAAGCTCCCCCCTTTCCATCAAAAAATGCAACGATTCAAGTTTTCAGCATAAAATTTAAAGGGAGAAGAAAAGAAAAAAAACAGCGATGGTTGGAAAAGTTTTGCATTTTGCATTTAAATGCATCCAACGAAAATGTACATACGTTGTCGCTTACGAAAATTAAGTTTTTGCGAAATTGGCGAAAAAGTGAAATGGATGCAGCAGAAAAGAGTGGTCGGCATGTTATAATTTCAGCACTTGTTGTTAATTGAAAACTGTTCTCTTAATTTGTTCACATTCTTTCAGTGGAAAAGAGTGAAGAATTCGGTGAATTAACGAGAAAACGAACGAACGCATGGAAGAGCGAAAACAGAAAGACAAACAACATAGAAATGGAGCAAAATTTTGTCCAACCGAAATACATTTTACTGATGAAGAAATTCGGTATTGAAAAATGGAAATAACGAAAGCAGAAGCAGGGAGAGAATGGTGTTTGGGGAGAACAGATGCGGGAGCTTGCGATAAGAAAATGCAATCGAAACAGACTTTTCGTTTAGGGTAAAGTGAAAAACCAAATAAATTCCAGTTACACTTGTTTGTGACAAACAGGATACACAAATAAAGTTGCATTGCTGGTGCAGCGACAACTACACCCGAAGAAAATGAACGAAAAAGAGATGAACTTTGGCTAAAGAGTAAATACGCTTCCAAAAACAGAGAGAATAGAAAAGGGATAAAGAAGTAGAAGTGCAGTTTGGTTGGTAGTTTGTTTGCAAAACCCCACGATTAAAGTAAAATGAAAATTTATGATTTTCTCGTTTCGTTCGCCGGATTTTGCTGCGCTCTGCTGCTGGCGACACAGCACAAAATCCCTTTTCCATTTATATCGAATTCGGCGCGTATTCATCGTCGCACACAGAAATTACATTAAGAATTGTAAACCACAAACCATTTTACGATAATCAAGTTTGCATGTGAAACTGTGCGGAAAAATTACATTTTCGCCAAATGAAAATGTGAAAAAGTTGGCGAAATGAAAATGAAAGAAAACAACAGCGGTTTGATTCAAAACAGATGGACCAATGAATACAACATTGTTGCGAGAGGTGTGAGAGGCCTGAGTCAACACTTAATCTGGTGTCGGGTAAAAACGCGTTTTTAAATTCTTTTAATAAATGTTCCAGCCAAATGAAGTGAAATGAAAAAAAAAAGAAATGTGTAAAATGGAATGGTGACACATTCACAATTCATTTGCACAATGAATTGGGTTTTATAATTTGATGAGAAGAGCGAAACGAGAGAATGATGAAGGAAAAGGGTGTTTGTTAGGCGACAACAAAAGGCAAAATGACGACGAGTATGAAATGAGCGTTTGATAGAAAGTGCGACGCATTTTTTTATGAAGATAAAAGTCGGTTTTTATGTGACTTTAAAAATTGTTATGCAAATGCCTTAATAGCTTTGGCGATGATTATGACCTCATGAACCAATCTCCATTTTTCCATATTATAATACTCTATGCTTTTTTCGCCTCCATTAAACCCCCATTTTGTTTGATGTCGGTTGTAAGCAACAGGAATAAGCTTTGGCTCGTGTTCTTTTTTCTCGAACATAAAATGTCTTTGGTGGTATAAACTTTATTATTTTACTATCACTCGCATTTTATAAAAAAAGAAACCTTGTAAAAAGGGACGCTATGAGCATGGGATGTGCTACGTTGATTGGTTCAAATTGCTGTTTCGCTCCGTCGCTCTTTTGACGAGAATGGGGTATCATTTGCACGAGCTCAACAAGTCCAGGATGTGATGAAGGACGCAGAGAGAGAAAAATTGTGGCAAACAACAAAATAAAATGACTATAACATGATGCAATGAGACAATGATGTTATGATTGGCTTCGCAAACAACACAAAATTGATTATTCCGAGTTTTTCTTTTGCAAAAGATCACAATTACCATTTCGAATGGCAGCAAAATCAATTTTGATTTGCGGAATTCATGAAAAATGTCATGTTAAATGTCAAGCTGATTTCTTTCGCTTTGATTCGCAATAATGATATATCCGTCGCAGAAATGATTTCTTTTTCCATATTTGCGTTGCGTATACCACACCAGGGCAAAGAATAAAAAAGACAACGGATTTGTGTTGTTATTTAAATGGAAATTTTTCCGATGTCATTAAAATTCAATTCATTGCATGGCTTTGGTATATATAACACAATATGACACTTTTGCATATCGAACAATAAAATGGGATTTATAATATGTACAAAATAGCAGCTGTATCGTTTCGAAAAACCCCAAAAGTATAATCAATGTCATGCAATATGTATATATATTTTGTTAATAAAGCGAAAATATGTTGTAGTCTGCCTTGCAAATACGAGACAAAACTAAGCATGCGATGTGTGATAATCAAATTGAATAATATTTTCTTTTACCTTTATGATTTCAAAGTTGCGACGTATATGGTCGTCAATTTCGGTTATCCGATTGGCTTTCTCCTGATTTTTCATTTTGTTTGACATTACGCGACTTCCGTGTCTTTTTATCGAAAGAATTGTTTTTAATTTCCGTAAAATAATAACAACAACAACAAAGAATTCGAATAAAAACTGTCACCCCAGCACAAAAGAACACAACAAAAACTGAACACCAGCAAAGTTTAACTGTAAACTATTTCGGGTATGAACTTTACAGTTTGCAGTTATTAAGTCATTTTCGTTACTCGTCCCGCAAAACTTTATTTAAACACTCAACATATTATTCCATTTGGAATTTTGTCAATGTTAAAAACAGCAACAATAATGGCAGCACACACATATTTGCTCACGGGCATGCATCTAGTTTCTCGCCTTGTGTTGAGCAAAAGTTTTTTCGTTTGTTTTTCTTCTGTTATTTTGGTATTTTTCTGCACGTTGTTATATCTCCTTCCGGTTTAGCAAACCATATGTTTGGCTATCTATTTACAAAAATAATTTGCTGCGGTTTGTCCGCATTTCTGCAACTGTGCTCCGAAATAAAAATATAAACACATAAACTGTAAATGCACTTTTTGCTCGGAAATGAAACGAAATTTATCTTAAAAGCGATTTGTAATTCAATTTTGAAACGTTTTACAGAATCTATGCTCAGATCTAAAGGGACGTGTTCACCTGGGTACAGCGTTCAACTGACAACAGAAATAACGAAAGAGACAAATTGAAATGAAAAATCCAACAAACAGATATTGATTGGTTTTGTTTCGTTGTCGTTGAATTCGTTCCTGTTTTGTTATTAAACTAGCTTACTTGATGAATTTAGTCGACGTTAGTCTATGGGGAACGTGAAATATAAAAACAAGCAAATAAATAATCAAGCGATGAAAAAAGAAACAGAAATCAGTACGCGGCACATCACAAATGAATAAAATAGCATTTAGTCTAGAACTGTACACCGACAAACAATCACAGTGTGTATAAATTTTTGTTGTTAGATCGATTACATTCCGAATTCAGGATGATTCCATTTCCTTTTTTTTTTGGCCTTTCGTGAGTAATGTTATAACCACACGTAGATGGAGAAATATACCCAAAATATTTATATATATAGATTGGCAATATTTACAATCAGTCGAAATCAATGGCAATGAAATGTGGTGGTTTTCTCAGTTGGATTCACTGACGCTGAGGGATTTGTTTTTTTTTTGTTGTGTTTTTTATATGCACTTTAAACAAAACAAAAGGTTTCTCTTTTGTTCTATTTTAAATAACTTTGAATAGAATATTCTCGATTGTTTTGAACTACATCTCGTTGTCACCACTTGTCTTGCGGTAAGGAGTCACTCGATCGATTGACATGAAGTCGGTTCCATTATTTTTTTATTTCACTTCAAAATCGATAGCGAATCTATACAAAATGAAAACAATTTAAAAGGTTAGCCAGATTGAAATGGGACAACCTTATCAGTGTGTATATGTATATGGATACATTGTCACTGTCGTTGAAAAATGTGCCGATGTCACAAACAATCAACCAACAAATAATAAGCTTTCAATAACCAAATGACACGATAGCTCTTTAAAATTTCGTATTTGTAGGCACCATAACAACCACAACTCGTTTCATTTGTCCCCGATTGTTCGTCGATTTGAGAGTTTAACCGATGTTTATTATTACAGCTACTAAATAAAGTCGTTGTCCATTGGCATAAACCGGGCCCTTGTCGTTCCTCAACGAACGCGGGGCACTTGTCTGCATGCACAAAATTTGAAACAAAACATCTCCAACAAATACAAATAACGAATAAAGGGTTGTTGTGCTGATTACAATGAAATTGTTTAACTTTATACAATACCGAATGACACTCGGCGTTTCTTTTTTTTTCCACACACTACCATAGTGACACAGGTGCAGTGCACACACCGCACAGCTATACACATATAGCGGTCGGTACAAACCATATCCTAGTTAAAAGTTTTTTTGTTTATGTTTTTTATCACTTACGCTCGTTGCTTGGCAACCGACATTTTTGGTCGTCAAAATATACCGTGCCGATTTTTGATAAGCAAATATGTTTTTGACATTTTCATTCAAGTACATTCAACCCGACGTAGGGTTACGAAGGGCATATCACTCGCCACGTTCTGAAAAATACTTCTATTCAAATGCAGATGAAAAAAAAAATGCACAACTTTTTTTTCAATTTTTTTTAATTCAATTTTAAAAATTGTTTTACAAAAATATGTCGACAATTTTTAGAATAAAAAAACAAATAATTTGAATATGTTGTATTTTCGTTCTCCTTTTCTGCCCTTTCTTTCGTCTTTGTATTGTGAAAAGTTGGAGCTTTAAACTTTGCCCTTAAATTTAAAGTATTTTCGGTAGTCACGATGCAAACTCTCGTAAATGGCTTTGGACGCTTCATTGCAGCTACGTAAAATGTACCCTTCGGTTCGGTGATCACACACAGCAATTAGGTCATAGCATATGTACTCGATGTGTGTTTTGATCTAAATAAAGGGAAGAAAAATACAACGGAAAACGATTATTGAGAGATGCATTTCGTTGAAGTTCATAAATTTTGTCTGTCTCACTGCGCTGCACATACTTTGGAATAAAGAGTCGTAGGCCGATCATTGCCAATCATCATGTTGATGGCAAACAGTAGTAAATATGGTGCGACACGCTTCACTTCCGCCGAATGTTTTACAAATGTTTTGTTTGTTCTAGAAAATGGATGAAAACAAATGTGGATGTTGTCATAGTATCTAAAGGGTGTATATTTGGTGTGTTTTGTGTGTGAAACTTACTTTTCAAGACTGTGTGCCATTTCGGCGAGCATTGTTATTTCAGCCTGTTCTAATTGTGTTTGTTGGCTTCGATTTGATTTATACCAGCAAATCGTCTGCAATAGATCCTTGAACACGTTTGAAAAATGCGGCACACGATCCATTATAAACACAGAACGATGTTGAATCAATCCCAAAACTAATGCACACATCTGTTCCAATAGACTTTTAAATTGATCCGAATCGAATTTCTCCGCATCAATTTTCTTGATATTAATCTCGGCCAAAAATGCCAGCACATCATCAATCAACTCAACAGAAACGGGCGTCTGTAATACCATTTTATAATGTATCAAATAACCATCATATGCAATTTATCCAACACAAGAAAGATTCGCCATCATTTTATGATTTATTTCAATGAATTACCTGCACATTATTGGTTAAAATGGTGTAACATTCGAGTAAATTCAGTATCCAATCGAAATTCTGTGTCAAGTCCGTAGTTCTTGCACGAATTGTTAAATTGATTTGCCGTGTGACGGTTTTGAAAAAGCCAGTGAAAATCTGCAAATGACACAATCATGATTCGATTATATTTGGAAATGCCCACGGCGGAAAAAATGCCAAGTGCCATTCATTGAAAATATACACTTACTTGACCTTTGTTCTTATTGTATTGGCAATTTGCCATTGACGCCAATATTTTACTCTGTTGCTTTGACTGGTCGGAAAAAATCGATGACTCAATTTCCTAATAAAGATTGCATGAGATTTGGTAAATAAAGAACTCAACGAGGTCATGTGTTTTTTTTTCACGTCTCACCTTTTCCACTTCGGTCAGTAATTTAATCCATTCATCGATGCTTTTGTGATCACAAATGATTTTGAGAGCACTATTCAATGTTTTATTTGTAGCGACATCGTGTGAATTACCGCAGGCCATCTTGAAATCTAGCCAGTATTTTGCAACCAATTCTTTTATCTCCTCATCGGTAAGCCCAAGGTAGGCTTTATTCTCTAGGGCTGTATTCAAAAGCCGCACCGAATGCTGATTCATACAATCGACCTGAAAATTGTATCACATGAATTCATATGGTTAATAAATACGAATAAATATAATGAAGTGATTGACATATCTAGTACACTCCTATATGTACCGCAGTATGTTAGCATGAATGGTGAATCTTTTATGAATTGGAATCATGTGTGGAATAGACACAATTAAAGATGACCTGACGGTTTTGAAAACCTATGTATAATGTATGTTACTTACTGAATTTTTAAGGAATAATTTGATGAGTTGTATCGTTTGTTCATCGCTGTCCTTTTCTTCCTTCGCTTTATTCGCAGCAATATAGGCCTTCACAATAATCACAAAGGCGGGCAAAGTGGCCCCAATCAACCATCCACCGTTCTTCTTGTCTTTGGACACAGTTTTTATGATTCCAAACACAATGTCACGAAATCGGTCACAGTGTACTCGATTTTTCTTGTCTTTTGATAAATCACCCACTACCAATACGGCTATTTGTAGCAAAATTTTCTGCTGACTCTGGTCATTTGTTTCGAATTGCTGTAGAAGTTCATACAATTCATCAAGGACTTTGGCATTTTCAATGTTTATATCGCGACATGTTCGCTCAAATATCAAAGCAAATATTGATTGAACGCTATTTTCGTCCTTGAAAATCGTGATTAACGTCTTGATTTTTAGATTGGCAAACACATTCGGCGATTCACCAAAGTGAAGAATGGCTATTGTAGATGAAAGATGAGTAAAAAAGAAATGTTAATTTATGGAAATTTGATGTCTGCAAATTCGTCGGATAAAATTCCAAAGAACGGAACGAAATGGATCAATTGAATAATATTCAGATTCTTTTCACAAAAAAAAAAACAAATATTCCATGAAATGAAATTGCGAACTCGAGGGAGAAGAGTTTATGTAAATCAAACGCATACCTTTAAATATATTCACAGCAATGTTCGACAACTCCTCATCACCGCCGACGGACAAATATCGATATACGATGACATGTAATGCTGAAATAATGCTCTTAGCATCCGCCTTACCAAATCCGACTGGTAAATTATTCAAAAGCCCCACCAAATCCATGATATGCTCACGTTGTTTTTGAATATGTTTTTTATCTGCATACTTCGGTTCGTTGCATTGCTTTTCAATTATGACGCCAAGTTCCTTCGATGCTTTTTTAAATTTCCGTTCAAAAATCGCATCAAAATTTATCTCCGATAAATATTCCGAATGTTTGCCAACCGCCAATATTTCGATGAGTTGTTTGTACGTGGCCACGGTTAAACTTTCAATAAATTGCCAATCATTTATGCAGCACAACCGATTCAAGGTATTAAATTCACTTGTTGACTGCAGCAACAGTTCGCATACGATTTGCTTTTGTTTGGCATTCAAATTACCAATGAACCATGAACAAAGGCTTGAATCATTTAAAATATCCGCAATTTGTTCAATGTCCTTAAAAGCGGTTGACAGTACATACTTGGAAATATCCACTTCGTCAGCTTTTTCCAATTCAAACAATTGACTAGTTTTCAATCGTTGCAAATAGATTTTGTTTATGTTGGCCTTGCATTCGCGTTTGCCAAAGTTGGTGATTCGTTGCTGAATTGTTATCCATTCTTTTTCATTTAGATACGAAAGTAGCTTCTTCGCCGAATTTTCAACATCAAACTTTTTACTCTCCTCGCCATCGACTCCCATTGAATCCGGACGATAGTACCAGACAAGCAAATCAAAGTTTGAAGCGCTATAGCATAGTTTCAAGAATGCATTCATCGTGCGATAGTTGTGCTCTTGATTGAGAATTGCGTGACCGAATTCGGTGAGAATGTCACGAGTTGCATTTCGATTTGCCTCAATTTCATTCCATGATTTATCCGACTGTTCGGCCAATCTTGATCCCATAAAGTATTGACTGAGCAATGCACATGTGATTTCAATTAAAAATATACAATTTTCACTGCATTTTCCATCGGCATCTTTCAATTGTTGCACATAATCCTTCAAGGTGAAGTTTAGTGTCTTCCATACGACCAACGATGGTCGCGACACCAAATTCGAGATGAAACGAGTATAGGTGCTACTGATAGCTGGTGTAAATGCAAATGCAATGTCGCTCCAAATTTGGCTATTCTGAATATTTTGCTTCCACACGGATTTCGTCACCAAATTCTCACATTCGGTCAAAATATTCTCCTCGAACATGGTGACATAACGATTTTCGGATACACTGCGTTCAATTACGCTGCCATCCATTGAAATGTCATCGTCCACAGAATTTTTGAGTTTTTTCGATGGTGTTGATCCTTCCACAAAACTGCTATTAAATGAACGTTTTAATTTTTTTGAAAGTTTCACCTTGGACACTGTTTCGTACAGATTTTTTATCAATTGTGATATAAACTTTTCGGACCTGCTCATTTTCCGATACATTTCAATCATCAAAAACATAAATTCTTCGTATTTATTCCAAATTGATTCGTCTTTCTTGGGGAGTAGCATGAATTTTACCGCGATCTGACATACGGAATACTCCAAAATCAATGGATCCAACTTTAATGTGGCACACAGTAAATTCAGCACCTCATATGTATGATTTGTGTGATACGAATTAAAAAAGAATTCGATTTGGTGGCCCAGATATGTGGCTGCCCGATTCGAATCGATTTGGAAATGCATTGGCACATCGTACTTTTTCAGGAGAAACATGCACACTGTTACGCCATGCAATTGGGTTTGAATTGATTCGCCGGATTGGATTCGAAAGCGTCCATCGGTTTCGTTGAATAAATAACGTAAAAATGCTTTTCGTACATCTTCATCATTTCTAAACGACCACACTAATGCCTCGACAACTGTGAGAAAGACATGCATTGGCTTTGCGAATATCTCATGAAATGTTGGAAATTTCGTTTTTGCTCCATTCAAATACTTTTTCAATTCATTCGTTTGATTTCCATCGAAATATAATTCTTGCAATATGCTCAACAGCTCTTGTTTGGCAACGATTTGCCGGCGTTGTGATAAAATGACCAGTTCACACAGTGCAGTCAGAATTTCAGTGGCAAACGCCGATTTGAATTCATCCAGGAACGGAGTTTGTTTGATGAACGCCTTCAGGGCAGTGAACAACTGATCAATGTGCTCTTTGTACGTCTTAATTTGTTCAATTGCTTCTTCTGAGTCTAACAACACCGTCACATATCGAATGTTTAATCCCAAAAATCGAGCAAATTCCACCGCATTACTCTTGTAATAATTTTGAATGGACGTATTTTGCAAGGTGACTAGCAAAGCATTCAAAATCAAATGCGACGCATTCGATTCATTGATACTTATTTCAGCCTCTTGCGACAGAGTTTTAACCAATTTATCTTTAACAGCGACACTAACAGCTCCAGACGAATATCGAAAATTTAAAAATTCGTTGATTTTCTCCCATGCCACGTCACCGCACTTTGGATCCGATGAACGATTGATTTCGTCACGCAATTTCGTTAAATTATTACAAAATTCATCGACAACTATCTCTTGTTTTGTCAACAGAACAAACTCAATGGAATTCCACACTTTGATGCCGAAACTTAGATTGTCAACAAAACTGAAGTCGGGACGATTCAACCACTTACGGAGCTCTGCAATGAAAAATGGCATAAAATTGAATATTTTTTTTTGGAATTCAAAATGAGTTAATTCTCTTACCCTTTTCTGTATTCATCTTTGCTCATTCCAAGCATGCACTTCAATTGCAAATTTAACTGAAAAACTCCAAATTTTTCGCTTTGTTTTGGATTATCCATTCACTCCACGTGTGTTCGTTGAGTGCGGCAAATGTGTTTTGTTATTTAGACGTCAAATAAAGTGTAAATCAAAAAGTGAGGTTAGATTTTTCGTGATTGAATCGCTGCGTGAGTGTAGCGATGACATATGTAGAGAGAAAAACATACTTTGACAGCTTTGCGACAAATCACATACAAACAATTCAGATCCAATATTAATCGATTGCATACAATGCACTCTTTACACTTTAGTGTAGATAACAGCGAAAATGTCAAATAGAACAGTGTCATTTTAATATTTTTGTGAAATTTTGCGAACATAAGTGAATATTTTCTTCATTTTTCGTTTCCATTGCATTACTGGGAAAAATGACATCGAGAAATCTCACCGAAGTGTTCTTTTTGATGCGAAATAATGCCGTACAAAATCGAAATATGTACGATGATCGGGTATGTAAATTCGAATCGAACATATGGAAGTAGAATGAAAGCGATTTTTGATTGGTTTTTTTTTGTGTGGATTTTTAGAGGCCAAGTGATAGTGATAGATTATTGCAGCGAACTTTACGTGATGCGGAGGAAGGCCTAGAACTGAGAGATGATTATGCATCACCGCCCATTTGGCTGGATAAACTGGAAGAGGCACAGTATACGATTTCAAAGTAAAGAATTCTCGATAAATTCACTGTCTTCAAATATGATCGAACTTCTTTGAATCCGACCTTGGTATTGAAAGTAAATGCTGCTATTGTTAGTTGTTATTTACCATCAAGCAATTGTTGAATGCATACGTCACGTCATTGATTTTGTATGGGAGGTGAACAAAACTCTTCGCTTTCACAGAAAATCAAAGAAAATATGTTATGGTACCATTCGAATTCACCAGATGCTGTTCAACATCAAGTATAGAAAGCAGCAAGTTTAATCCAAGTTTTGCTTCGACTTTTAAATGCTTTGTTAGAGCTGGTATAGGCACTGTTGAGGTGTCTTTTTTGTAATTGCTGCTCTTTCCTGTAATATTAACAGGGCCTGTATTCAGGACCGGAACTTTAAAAATTATATGGATCACTTACAAGTTCCTGAACATCTCAGAGCTAATAGCAGCTCAGATGTTTTTCTGCGGTTGACCAAAATTCTACCTTAACAGAACTTGATTAATCTCGTGTATTAAATCGATTCCCTTTTTTTCAGAATCAAGCCAAAATTGGATGAATTGGGTTCATTGCACGCACGTCACTTGCTGCGCCCATCATTAGACGATCGCTGCGAAGAAGAGGAACTCATTGAAAATCTTAGTCAAACGATATCAAAACTGATTTCCTCAACACATCGTCACATTCAGTTCATTCGTTCCAGTTTAGGACAGGGTAAGTAACTTGAATTTTCAATATGTTTAATCCATCTAATTCGAGATCTTTGTTCGATTTTCAGGCAACAAACTGGAGCAGAGATTAACAAAGAACGTAGTAACCCATTTATTGTTGTCACTACAAGATGTGACTTATCGTTTTCGAACGAGTCAATCGAATTACTTGAAGCAGTTAAATTCGCGTGAGGCACGTTCAAATGCTTTCTTCGAGACTCCCGATTTCACGACAATTGATCTGAATGATGGTTCAGCAATAGCCAGTTCTTCTTCTAATGCACATGCCGTGGATACATTTGATAATTTCCTAAAACCAACTACCTCCAAACCAACTGCGAATTCAGACTATTTTGAACAGAGTGACGAACAAATTGACGAATACTTCCAGAAAAGTATATCGCAACAAGGTCGAATGACGCAAACGCAATTGCTATTATTTGAAGAGGAAAATACAAAAATGGCCGAACATCGTGAAAAAGAAGTCATTAAGATTGTATCATCCATTGCCGATTTACATGACATCTTCAAAGACCTAGCACAAATGGTTCAAGAGCAAGTCACCTCGTATTTTAAAAATTACTATTCCATTATTGAAGAATGCTATCCATTCTTTCGATTATTTTTCCATTACTTCCATTACGTTCCATTACATATTGATTAATTTCCATTATTTCCATTCTTTTCTTTGTGATTAACCCTAGGCAGGGCACCGTTTTGGATCGGATCGATTACAATGTGGAGCAAACGCAGACTAAAGTCACTGAAGGATATAGACAATTGCAGAGAGCGGAAATGTATCAACGAAAGAATCGAAAAATGTATTGCATCCTAATTTTGGCATCAACCACTCTATTTATGATGATTCTTTTGATACTTACTAAATTCCACTAAATTTGAACATTTTTAACTATTTCGTTTGAACGAATAGAAAAATATTTATTGAATTTTTTTGTCTGTGAGTTTCATCTCTAGATGTATGGTATATGTTCTAAGTATTGTATTTTATTTGATTCCATTAAAAAGTATAATAATGCAAGTGACGAATGATTCGTTTCTATTTTGTTGAGAAGAGAGAAACATGGCACCATTTTTTCGATTTGGTTTTTAGGGCGTGATCAATATTACCTAAAGGAGCAAAATAAATTGGAAAACTTCCTTAATATACATCTGAAGTATAACTTGATTGGCCGAAATCATGGGACATAATAATAGAAACTTGTGATTTCATTGTTGTTTAGAGGGGACTACCAAACAAGTTCTAGAAAATAATCCTTTCTCAATTGACACTTGGAACATACGATTAAAATATGAACACTCAGAAAATCATTCGAATAAGTTTTTACTAACTCTTGTACTTTGTTGTACTTACCTGTATTTACAATGTGATTTGATACCAATCCCAACAAATCTCAATTTTATGTAAAACCTTCCAAAATTCCAATGTTTTTTTTTTTTCAATTTGCTGAATAATATTATGTGTGTTTTGATAAAGAGAAATTAAAGGTATAATTATTTAGGATTGTTCAAATTTTGAGTGAAATAAAGAAGAATAAAAGTGCTTTTGGGGAAGTTGAGTTTAGTTCAAAAATGAAATACAAATGATTATATCCGTAATGCCAAACGATGCTCTTTTTGTTTGTCAAATGTTTGGATATACGAATATTACCTCGCTTTTTCATGTTTTGTTTTGTTATTTAAAATTGATGTAAATCTCTTCAGCTTTCAATATTTTATTCATCACCTGAATGAATGAAAAAAAGCCGATGTAATTTTGTGTCTCTTGAGTTACATCCCTAGATGTATGTTTTATTGTTTATTAGATAATGTATAACAATGCAAATATACTTATGATTAGTTTGAATTTCATAGACCTAGCGAAAAAAATCTCTTAAATTCGCTCTGAAATGCGACTGGCAACGGATCGTAAATTGCCGTAGACTTTGCTGGGTGGTGATCCAAGAATAAGATTACACAATGCACGTCGTGCCAACTGAATATTTTGATAGCTTCCTAATATATGAATGCGTGTGTCAGCGATAACGATACGTGTTTTAGTGGTATTTTCAATGGTGAATTTCGTGCGTCCACCCTTACCAGCCAATCGACCAACGGCACGATTTTCATGATCACCGCGCAATGTTTTTACATCTTTTATTTCGAATGTTTCGATGAATAGATCTTCCAATCGCAGCAATGCCATTGCATCGTCAATATCAAAACCGTAGATAAACGCTTTGACGAAATCAGAACCTTTCTGTAGATTTGATACGTCTGGTGTTTCTGGACTCAATCGAATTTCGACTTGGCGTGCTTTCATATTGAAACGCACCTGCAACTTCAAATTCTCAACCAATGGCTCGAAAATTTTCAACCAGCTGTCCTTCAAAGGTGTATACCTGAAAACAATTGACAATCAATAACAAAACAATAACAGTTATTTTACTTTTTATTTGGTACAAACCTGTGTGACGGCACTGGAATCTTGCGAATTTCCACAGATGTATGCTTCTTTCGTTTGGCCTTCGGAACCTGTGATTTGCGTGCACCCTCAATGCCAGTCGTTTCATCCACTTGCATTTGTTCCTCGGCTCCGGCTGATGTACTGATCGTTCGTTTTTTTCCAGCTTTCACCTGTTGGCGACCACTTGGCGGTAAAAAGGCATCGGTATCAATGTTTGCACTCTTATCCACTTCCATTTTTATGTGATTTTATTTGTTTTTTATGAAAAGAATATTTCAATTGCAATGCAATGAAAACACGTGTGACTCGCAACAAATGAACTGGGAAAAAGAGTTGTAAATATGGTGTTTGACATTTCGACCAATGTGAAGTTGGCGCTGTATCACGTAGCGCGAACTGTCATTGCTCACCTCAAACACACTTCGGCAAAGAAAACATTTCGAATTGTGTGTTTATTACACTTCACCGAAAATTTACAATAATTTATTTAATTAGACAATTTTGTTCATAAATTAACGAAAATGAATTCGTTGAGACGTTCTCTGCCAAGGCTAACATCGAATTTGCAAAACATCTGCAAATTTTCACAACAGCGTAAGTATTGTATTTACCGTTGATTTTCGAGGTTAGATTGAATAGAAGTTATTCTAATTTCTTGCGGCTAATTGTATGTTTTTAGGATGGATTTCAAACCGGGACGACGTTCGGAAATATCAAAATGAATTGTTCGACTTGGAAAAGAAGCGACAACATGATGCAGTGGGTCGTATAGAAAAAATTGAAGTACGTTACTTGGGCTTACCAGAAGATACTACACTTATTATGAACAAAAACCTGTCGACACCGTACAATTGTGCACAACGTAAGGCCCGACGAAGTGTCTGAAACTGAGGTCTCGTTCTTATCGCTGCATTTTCTTTTTATCTCACAACAGATTTATCCGATATTCATTGCAATCGTTCGGCAATAGCTCTAATTGATGGTGTAGTTCCATGGGATATGCACAGACCATTTGAAGATTCATGTACATTGCAGTTATTGAATTTCACAGTGGCTGAACCGTACCTTGCCAATCGGTAAAATATTTCAATTGCACTTCTTAAAGTCTCATTCACCAAGAAAATTTTAACATTTTTATTGCAGTGCATTTTGGCGTTCCTGTTCATTTATGTTGGGCGCTGCTTTGTCAAATGTCTTCAAAGACACCGTCGATGTTCAGTTGCACAGTTTCCCATCGCCAAATGTTAAATCTGGCAGTTTTGTCTATGACATTTCCCTGAACCATCAGGATTGTACACCAAACAAAGAAGAGCTTCGAACAATTTCGGCTGAAATGGTAAAAATGGCAGCAAAAGACTTGAAATTCGAGCGTCTGGAGGTGGTGCATGATTTAGCATTCGAAATATTCAAAAATTGCCCATTTAAACGTGAACAATTGCCAAGCATCTCACGAGACGGTTCAGTCATTATTTATCGAGTTGGAGATCATATTGACATTAGTCGTGGACCAATGATGGGCTCAACAGCATTACTCGGCCGATGTACAATTGGTGCTGCATTCAAAATAGCCGATATTAACAGTACAGACAGTTTTTATCGGGTACAAGGAGTCGCATTACCCAAAGAAATTGTCATGAATCACTATGCATTTAGTATCTTAGAAAATCGTATTAAAGAAATGGTGAGTACGACGAAGAAAAAATAAAGGTTCCTAATTTAAAAAAATGTTGTCATAATTTGATCTGAAAAATACTGAATTTTTTTTTAATTTGTAATTTTCCTTATATTACAGAACCCAGCACGTTTACCGACCGAACCAGCAGACAAATATGAACGGAGATATGGAAAACTGGCTTAAGCAATGTCATAGACATTTCATTTCAAATATCCAATCGTTTTGTTAGATTATTTTTTAAGAATATTTCAAATAAAAAAATGACAAAATTTATTCGGAGACTTTATTTGAATTCGACACGAATGCAGTGAGAAATTCTCTCATTGCGAGAATTTCAGATAAAGTGTATTTGATTTCTAAAAAACTTTCAAAAAACACAATTTTTGACCGCTTTGCAATTTTCAAAATATCATACATGGAAACAAAGGCATCATTTCTCAATTATAAGAGAAGTACAGTTGCCGAAAATAATCAATTTAAAAAAGCAGACCTTTGTTGATCAAACTTATATTTTTGATTTAATCAATCATGCTACTCTGAAAGGGAGAAAAGAGAGAGAGAGAGAGAATGAGAGATTGAAGTCATTGATGTACAAATGTGAGAACAGTAAAAAAACATTCCCATCCACTGAACATAAAGAAAACGATAAGGCTCAGTTCATTGCGAGTATGTCGACTCGTCTGACTTTCTTCTATTCCTTTTTCTCATCTTCATCGTCGCAGTAGCATGATTACTTTTGTGTTAATGTTTATGTTTGTTGTGAGTGTGTATGATTTGCAATGCTACGTTGTTCGCTTATGTATGAGTGCAACAAGTTGAGAGAGCCGAACATAATTTCATCGTTGTATTACAAATTAGTTGAAGTCTTGCAGTTGAGTCGATAGCACTGACTACAAGAATACACTTTCGTTTTCTTTACTTTCGTTTACTTCAGTTTAATTCCAATTTTCAGAGAAATAATCAATCATCTGCGATGAAATTGATATTTCTTGCTCTAAGTGCACTTTGCATTGGTGGTAAGTTGATTTTTTTTCATTTTTACTGTCGATGTCATTGAAAAGTGCACATCTCCAAACCGTTTAACATGTGCATGTGTCATATGCCATGACAAACACATTTTGCAAATTGTTCGCTATCAATTAATTGAATTAGACTGAAAAGATTATAATTTAACACTGTCCTATTTGGAGATGTATTTATTCTTTATTGAATAAGTTGAGACGTTTTGAATGTGTAAGCGGAATGGTTTAAATTTTGATTTAGTACTTTCAAAGTTGCCATTCACTTAGTTTAATCACGTTTTTATTTTCTATGAAAAATTAACGATGCACCTACCTTACTTGTCATGTCTTTATTTCAAAAAAATCGTTCTTTTTTTTAAAATAAAACTCTTACCTGTTCAAAAGAGCATTTTTCCTACTTTCAAAACATAAATAAAAGACAGCCAGTTGCATCAGCTGTGTGTTAGGAAACAATATGTATAAAAACAGTCGCAGGTAGAACGAATCTTTATCAATACATTGAATACGTGTTTCTTCGTTTCTTTTGTGTACCAATCGCATGGAATATGTTGGATCCAAACAATATAGTCAGTGTTTGTATTCAATTGAAAATGAAAAAAACCAAAACATAATAAACGAACGAACATCTGTTCAAAAAACTCATAATAAATTTAAACAAAGAAAAAAAAATCGAATAATTTGGGTGATGTAAAAGTACACATAAAGATGAGTTCTTAAGCGACGTTTTTATGAAATATTCGTTTTCCTTTCCTTTTTTCCAATCGCATTATGAAAAAGTATTCTATGTATTTAACAAAATAAACTTATTGCGACGGTTAAATTACAAACAAAGAAAAAACCGTTTAAATTGATTGCCGTGTTATCACTCGTTCGAAAAATAGCACAATAAAGTACACAAGCAACAAAATGGTAGGGATCAAAATAGGCAAAAATTCAATCGAGATAAGCCGAAAACGTAGAAATTCATTTGAGTATATAAGTGTATGAACAAAGAAAACACTATTTGGAATAATAAATTGTGATTACATCATTTTTTTTTACGTTCAGCACTGGCCACGAAACCGCCAAGATGGGATCCAGTCTACACAGTTAAAGGTATTTTATTACATGCTTCAAACGAAAAATTGTTTAATTCATTGAATTTTATTTAAAAATATAGGTGTACTCTACATCCCGTATGCGGAGATTGAGGAACCGTTTGAAGCCTGGTTTGATAAAAACACAAATCGTTCGCGTATTGACTATTATGGTGGGACTGTAAAAACATATCAATTGAGCCGCGATGGGGAATTTGGTACATCATTGAAAGTAGCACCAGTCACCACTGACGAAAATCCAAATGTAATTACCTGTTTGCAAGTCAACGGAACCAGCGAAAATCGCGTCGAACCACAGTCTATTTTACCTGACTGTCGTCAATTCAAGTTGGAAGGTAAGGGAAAAATTGATCTATTAACTAAATAGATATACAGCCGGAGCGGCAAAAATATACAGGTAATAAAATATTAATAACAAAATATGATTATTTAGCTACCGAGGATTTGCTTGGATGGAAATGCGATAAATTCGTATTCGAAGAGGCAATCGGCCAGAAGACAAACAAGTATGCAATGTGGGTGCGGTACGTAAAATCGCCAAAATATCCTGCTTCACGTCAACCAATACCAGTCCGTTATGAAATGCGAGGCTATAACACCCTATTGGGCTCACATTACGATCATTATCGCTTGGACTACGACTCTTATGCCCACGATGATATTCCAGATGAAATCTTCGAAGTTGATGAATGTAAGTGTCTTTTTTCCAAATTTAATATATTTTTAAATGAAAAATACACGAAATTTCTGATTTTTAAACCCAATAGCAAAACCATGCATTGGCTTCCCAGGACCAGGCAATGGACACTATGCCACATTCAATCCAATGAAGGAATTTGTTCACCCAGTTGATTCATCACATGTTGACATGGAACATATGCGTTTCATGAAAAAACATGGTGTTGTATACGCAACAACAGATGAACAAATGTTCCGCAAAAATGTATTCATGCAAAATTTGCGTTTCATTCACTCAAAGAATCGTGAACGATTGTCCTTCAGTTTGGGCGTAAACCATTTGGCCGACCGCACCCAAGATGAATTGAAAGCATTGCGTGGATATAAGAAAACAGTTGTGGCTAATAACGGTGGCAAACCATTCCCTTACACATTGGATTCAGAGACATTGGAAGATTTACCTGATGAACATGATTGGCGGTTGTATGGAGCCGTAACACCAGTAAAGGATCAATCGGTTTGTGGAAGCTGTTGGTCATTCGGAACCACCGGAGCTATTGAAGGCGCTCTATTCTTGAACAATGGTGGCAACTTGATTCGTGTTTCACAACAAGCTTTAGTTGATTGCTCATGGGGATATGGAAATAATGGTATGGACTCCACATTATGGGAATCATTTTCTCTTTATATTGAACATATATTTTATTCACTTTGCTATAGGCTGTGACGGTGGTGAAGATTTCCGTGCTTATAAATGGATGATGAACAACGGTGGTATTCCAACCGAAGAATCGTACGGCGGCTACAAAGGACAAGATGGCTTCTGCCATGTCAACGACAAAAATGTAACACTTGTCGCCCAAATTACTGGATGGGTTAACGTAACCACTGGCAGCCCCGATGCATTGAAAGTAGCTTTACTTAAACATGGCCCAATCTCAGTCGCAATAGACGCTTCACACAAAACATTCAGTTTCTACTCGCATGGTGTTTACTTTGAACCAAAATGGTACATTTTTTTGGAGATAAACTATTATTTTCATGATTTGTAACAAAATTAATAGAAATTTGTTTAACTTTTTTAGTGGAAACAAGGAAGACGAATTAGACCACGCTGTTTTAGTCGTGGGATATGGAACGATGAATGGAGAACTATACTGGCTTGTGAAGAACAGCTGGTCTAACTTATGGGCTAACGATGGTTATGTAAGTACACGAAATCATTGTCTATTTAACCATGAAATGTATGGAGTATATTTTTTAATGTTTTAATTTTCGTTTGGTTTCAGATTTTGATGGCAGCTCGTGAAAACAATTGTGGCGTTCTCACCTCACCAACCTACGTTACTTTTTAAGCCATTTTTCAATGTTTAATTCAGAAAATAGTAATCAATAATTTGAAAAAAAAAAATCAGTTTCATTTTAAACAAGAAAATATATAGTAAAAACACTTAGTTTTTTCAAGCTATTTTGAAAGCCATAAATTGTTTATTTTGATACCACAATTGATAAATAAATTTTCAGAAATATTTTTAAATGATGTTGTTTTTGTTCAATTTATTGTCGACGTATGCGCATTCATCGAAAATTCAATCGATTTTAATCACAAGTTAGTCACAACAGAAATGCTTGTAATGAAATTCGATGCAATCAACGTTCAGTCATAGTCTTTCACTTACACAGAATGCATTTATTCATACAAATTATGTACTTTTCAGTTATCAATAATCGGTTTCACTTGCTCCGAATTGCTTGCGCCCAATTTCTGTAATGAAACTAGTTACATTAAATCTATTTTTGATTCTAGTTTTGATTGATGGTAAGATTTGTTTTGACCTTTTGTCAGTTAATTGAAGTCATATCGCGCATTATTTACACAGATTAAAGTGACATTGAATTACTATTAATAAGACAAAGGCTAGAACAAAAGTTAAGGATTTTGATTTATCGAACAGTTCTAATATGTGCGAAATTTTCGTATATTCCCTTAGCTACTAAGCCACCAATATGGGACTCGGTTTACACTCTCACAGGAGTTTTGAACATTGCGTATGCCGAAATCGAAGAGCCGTTTGCAGCGTGGGTTGATCCAATTGCACGGCGATCGCGTATTCATTACTATAATGGTATGGTAAAAACCTATCAATTTGAAGGTGAATATGGACAATCGTTTAAAGGGGCTCCCATCACAACTGATCAGCAGCTAAATAAAATAGACTGGTAATTTCACTTTGTGTAAACGCATAACATCTACAAAGAAAAATAACCAACACATTTTGTGAATTACATATGGAAACAACAGTAAAAAGAGAATATCACTTTTTATAAATTATTCGACTTACTTCCAGCACTGATCCATTGCTTATATGAAATGTTTTCAAACAGCTTATCATCGATGATTCCGAAAAGAATTGATCGAAGACCATCTGTATCATCTTTTCCATCAATTCCAGGACAACGTTCTCTATAAAGCAACGAATTGAAGCAGTAACAATTGAAGCTTCTGTTGGCATAGGTTATCGTACTTTGGTTGGACGAAAACGACATGAGCTGCCACGACGGAAGGCGAAGAAAACAATTTTTTGTTGTAGATTCTAATGTCAACCTATGACAATAATTGCGGTGTTCTCACTGAAGCAACCTATGTTACTTTTTAGGTCATTTTTTTTTTCAATGTTTTATTCAGAAAATAATAATCAATAATTTGAAAAAAGTTTTTTTAACCGTTTTTCATTCATTTCAACAATTTTCATTTATAAAAAAAAGTTTCATATGAACCATCCCAACAAAATAAAATTGTGTGAATTTTCACAGATAAGCTATTCCATAGTCTCAAAGAAATTCTTGAACTTTTTAAAGAGCTCAGTTCAGTGGAAAAGAATTAAAAATTGCGCGTTTAGTTTTATATTGACTTGAATTTCCTTGAAGAATTTAATTTCACAGACATGGACAATCAAGGCACGGATGATGAATTCATTTCATAGCCTAAAATAAATTATTATATAGTACGTATATAGGTGTATCATTTCAAAATATTTTAAAAACTATTTTTGCTATAATCACGTAGGTATGAACTTTTGAAAGAATTCTTATTTTTGAATTCATAAATATTTTTAAACTTAGTTAAACTTAAATGGTAAGCTTCTGACTTTATGTATGAAATTTTATCAAAGAAATCATTGAATGCTTCGTTTTATGCAACAACTTTTCCTCAAAATTCGATTAAAATTTAGTACACTTTTGTAAATGTACGTTAAAAGACTTTTCTTATCATTGACATAAGAATGTCGTTCAAATGTCATGCAAACCTAACCTCATTTTTTATCAATCAAAACAAATTCCCTTCAATATGAGTAAATTAGTGAGAAATTTGTTTTTCTTTGTGAAAAATTCACCGAACAATAAAAAAGCAATTGCAAATAGAATACATCGAAGAACAATAGTAAACTTGGCATCTGTTCGTCTATTTGAAAAATTGCCAGCACAAACGCCATGTAAAACAAATTATCCATTTGTCGTGCAAACAGCTCGATTTTCATCAGATGCTGTTACAATTTCACAGCTTGACTATGAACGATTTTGTGCCGAAACATTGGACTCTCTTTGTGATTACTTTGAAGAATTGGTTGAAAGTGTCAATCACTTGGCGTCTGCGGACATTCTGAATAAGGTGAAATTTTAAATATGAATACAGTGTTTGTCCGTAGTGTTAAATTGTGAGTGGTAACTATTTTCATGTGACACAAATATATGTTTCAATTAATAGGATGGCGTTCTGACGGTCAGTTTGGGTGCAACATACGGTACTTATGTTATAAATAAGCAATCGCCAAACAAACAGATTTGGTTGAGTTCACCAGCCAGTGGTCCGAAAAGATACGATTTCATGTATGCAGCAGACGGAAGTAAAAAAGGTTACTGGGTTTATAAACACACAGGCGAAACGCTACACGAACTTCTTGACAAAGAACTCACCGACGTAACAAAAACGAAAACACAATTTCAATCTTTGTCATTTGGGTCGCGATGTTAGTAAGAATAAAATGCAATTTGTTTTGTCTACAAATTTGAGAATAGTTTTATTTGAATAAATCTCTGTGTGTCACAAATAAATTGATTGTGAATACTAAATTTGTTTCAGCTCATATACATATATATTCATAAAAATTTCTTTCCTTACAAATATAAAACAATCGCTCTCTTTTCGTGTAAATCTCATTTTACTTAATGTTTACTTTATCAAAATGGAGATTCAACCGCTTAAACCGCTTAAGTTTTTGTGAGGTTATCGTACGTGTACGGGAACAATGACCTTTTACAACCGATGACTCTGTTTGAAAAATGGAAATGTTTGCTCCAATTGTGACCTTGTCGTGCAGCATGATATTTCTGGCATCATTGATAACACACCCAATAAGTAGACTTGTAATCGCTGTCGTCGCATCTCAACGAAGTCAGCATTCTATAAAAATCAAGAAAACAGCGTGACTGTTATACTCATCTTTTGATTTGATAACGTTACATAAACCGAACCGGTGGCTATTTTGAATCACTTACCATGTTACCGAAACTCTTTTTCGGTGGAAAATCAAGCGTTTTTATCATTGGATTGCTCATCCGCAGATATTTATCCATTCGATGGAATTCACTGTATCGTCGAAGCAATGACCATTTTCCATTGTCCCCAGACACTGGTGTGATTTGAATCTCGTATGCAAAGTATTTTTTATTCAAATCATCACGTCGCTGGAGTAAAACTCGCGGAATGCTCACCATAAAATGCTTTGAACTTTGTCGACTCACTACAAGATTGTGGTGAACGGATCTCAGTCGCGTGTTTTCACTGTGAAAAGGGAAACATTTGAAAGGGGTTTTATTGATTGATTAGATAGCTCTTCTTCAATCTTTTCACAATACTTACAGTGTCAACGCAGTTAATCTGTCTTCCAATAAAGCGCATCGTTGTTCTAGCTCTCGGATCCGTGCGATATGTTCACTTTCAGTGGTCGTTAGCTCTTGAATGCGTAACTCATTCTTATTTTCATCGTCATTTTCATGCTCTTCGTCATCATTTTCATTCTCTTCGATTGAAGACGTTGTATTACTGATTGAACTGCTCATCGATGTGGAATGCGATGGCTGGGAAGTGACTTGATTTGGTGATGAATTTGAAGAATTTGTTGTTGTATCCGAGGTTACACTGCTGCTATCAGTCGCTTTTGATTGATTTGAATCCGTTTCTTTGTAGTCATATGAATTCGATGGATATGTTTGTATCGCTGGTTTGATCATTTTTATCGATGTTGGAAACTCAGGTTCAATGTAATCGGTTTCATTGGATAGTATTCTTGAATTAGTAGCAATAATATTTATCGGTTCGGCATGGAGTCGTTCATAAGTAGAATCGGTCGTGAATGGCTTCGATTTTTCTTCGGCCAATTTCTGTTTTTCCTGATACTTCAAGCAGGCATCGGCTAGAGACACACAAGTTGGTGGCGTCGATGAATTTAACACATTATCATTGACCAACGAACTATTTTCATCTTCTTCGAATGATATGACCGCCGCTTTTTTTGGCGCAACTGATTTTCGTTCGGTTGAACTGCTCACCGTTGGTACTGCAATAATAATTTCATTCGTTTGCCGCGGAGATACCGATTCAGCCAGTGTTGAAACATTCAATTCCGGACTATCGACTGTAACGGCAAATAAAATCGATCCAAGACCTAAGTAGAAAGATTTTTCATGAAATAAACGTTAATTTAGTAAGCATGGGAAATAAATGAATTGAAATAGTTTGTTTTATACAGCCACAACGGTTATTGACACCGCCGAGGTGTGGGAACTTTTCTTGCAGCACTTAAAATGGAATAAGTGCAGACATAAATTAGTGTCCTTAATTCTCCAGGGTCAATAACAGCTCTGTTTACAACGGAAATGTCATATGAATGATAGATAAACTAACCGGCTGCAATCGATGGTAAGAGGTTGCTCGCTTCATTATCACGAATTAACGCCCAACTTTCAAAATACGTATTCAATCCAGTCGTATCACTTAACCACTCCGAAATGTATCGTTCTAATGCACGTTCATTCAAAGCGGCTCGTATCAGTGATCGCACTTTACCGTGATCTGTGTAAACTATAAAGTAACAAAACATGACAAATGTTCAGTTAAATTGTGTGCTATTTTAAGAAAGTTAAAATGCAGGCATTTCGTTTGTTAATTAAATACACACCATAACGTAGCGTTGAAAATCGCTCCTTTTCATGGTTCGTTAAATGCTTGAAGGCAAATTCCCAGAACGAAGTTGTTGGTAATTCTGTTTTTAAATTTCCCGACACAATATTCTTGAATACTGATGTGGTTTTTAGTCCATGCGATAGTGCTGATTCCCAATTTGTACACATTCTTTGAACTCTGATGAAGACATAAAAATGATATTGTCAAAGAGCGACAGACATTATAATGAGATATTTTCAGCCAGATGAATCAGCTCAGCCAGATATCGTCAGGAGCTGAAATTTAGTGAAAACAATAGAATTGATTGTTATGGTTATAATTACACTTACATTGCTACAATCACTATAACAATCACTTTTATTGTTTTCACTCCATTTCAGCTCCAGGCGATATCTGGCTGAGCTCATTCATCTGGCTGAAAATATCTCATTATAATGTCTGAAGAGCGAACTAAAAATATCAATATGATTCATACCTTGTATCTTTTTCAGTAGCCAAAAGTGTTTTATTTTTCCCATACACATTTTGTACCTCCTTAACACTGTCCATTAAATTTTTAAGTAGCATAGTGCAATTTTTGCTATCACCAAATAATCGACCGCTCATTATATCTCACCCAAGATTTAGATATCTTTGTTTGCATTTGTTTATGTGTCGTAGATAATCCACATGAACGAACAAAAATGAAAACTTTCTCTTTACTGCGTAAATACACCACAAATTAGTTTCGTATAAAAACACAGACTAATTAGATTTGTGACATTGACTTAATTGTGTTATCGCGTGAAATACTGCTGCATATTTAGAACGTGATTTTTTCGTTTGTTTTGTTTATTTAAAGCTCAATACATCTTTATGCCACCAATCGATAGAATGTAAACAATAAAATCCAATACAATACGATTTTGTTGACGAGGCACTACTCACTTATCGACAATAACTTTTTTTCTGAAGACAATCGTATTTGGAGATACGGAAATATTCTCAAATACGACACATGAAAATGCATTCAGTTTAATTTAAAACTAAAAAAAAACACAATTTTTTTTTTATTGCCACACACTCATATCGACTAGTGGCATTGAAATGCGTAATTTCAGTGAAACAAAGTTGTGTTTGCTATGAAAATATACATGACAGCTGTAGCTGAACTGTCAAACATACACTGTTTTGTCGCTCGTGGACTGTATAGCTATCGCTCTTCTTATATGTATACATGAAATGTCAAATTTAAATTACTCACAACGAAGCGGTTGCATTTAAATGCTTATTTTAAATAACTCAATGGCTCAATTTAAGATATCTTGTGAAGTTTTTTTTATTCACATTTAATATTTATTTAAATTTTTGAGATTTACATATAACGACAGAAAAAAGTTCTTCTTTTAACGGGTTCCAAGAAATCATATTTCTCTCATTTCATCGACACAATTAACAAATCGTTTTAAATTACAAATATAAATGAAATTTTGAAAAAGATAGAGGAATGATCTAAGAAAAGTAGCTGTGATATGCATATGTATCGCACAAAGAAAACTATGAAGAAAAAAAATAGTCAGAAGTGCCAATAAATTTAAACTGAATCATGTCGAATAGGATTGAAAAAAAGTTGCATAAATGACTAATTGACTTTTGGATGACAAGATGTCAAGCAAACTAGACGTCATTTTTGAAGGAGCCGGTTTTTATAATGAGGACCCATAACAAATAATTCTGGGAATTGATAAACTGAATACATTTATAATATGAATACATTAGTGCACGCTGTCTTTTATCCGAATTATTCAGTATTCAAGATTGTTTATGGAAATTCATTCAATAATACTGGATTCGCCGGAGAAGATTTCAAAAGATTGTTTCGCATAAAATTGAACTATCTTAGTGGCTGAAAATTGTTTCAATTTTTTTATCAATGTTTTTGGCAAAACATCATTTTCGTCGATTAAATTAGACCGTTTGGCGTAAAATAATACAAAATCGGCTGAAATATACTTTTTGCACATTTTTCTCAAAATTCGTTAATCAATGGAATAATGGAAAAAAATTCTTTCTCTTGCTGAGATTGTCTTTGACTTTTCGAATAATGTTATAAAATATTCTCCGATTTCCAAGTCTTCCATAAAAGAAAACCGTTACAATTCATTAGTATTAAACAAAAGCGTTCGAATTCCGTGCATTGTGTGCAATGCGTGTTGGCAACTGCGCATACGTTGTGATTGCGACACATGTGATAAGCGACGGATTGAAAGTGAAAATGAGGGTGGTTGAATTTGTAGTGAGGCGTGCGGATCCACCGTCTCCATCGCAGAATATCTTGCTTTGGTTTATTTTGTTTGTGTGTCTATATATAGATGTGCAAGTGGCATAGTAAATGGCATGCACTAAAGATAGGAGTGTAGCGCTCGCGATTAATATGGAAAAATGTTGATGTGTGGACTATGGAGGGTGGTGGATGACTACTTTTTCCTTTCCATTCTCGCGTCACAATAAGAGAATATGCGTACAACGACGCATTATCAGAAGCACCATATACACATACGGCTTTATTTATTGTAGTATATTGTAGATACAAATAAAATAAATAGCGAAGAGTGCAAGTTCGCCTTTTTAACTCACACTCAATTCCGGAGCCAGTCAGTGCGACGGCAAACATAAAAGCCATTAAACACGAATTCCATCTGTTGTTCTGTGTGTGCGCGACACATTTTATATTTTTCGTTTTTCTCAAAAGTTAGTTTGGTTCGGAAAATAAAATTAGTGTCGTCGTGAATGATTCATTTGAAGTGGACTTTCCCATTAAAATAATAAGGTATAATTTAAATTATAAATTATTTATTTGATAGTCTTGAGGAAATAGTTTTGAACGGGAGACAAGTGAAAAACAAGTGGCAGACAGAGGTAGCATAATGTTGGTCAGCCGCTTTGTTCGGGAAAAAAAGTGAAAGTTTTTCCACAAAATGAAATCACCACTTTTTCTATCTCTTTCAATGTCGAAATTCTGGTGAAATTTAAACGGCACTGATTCCGATTTTATTACATGTCTGCTATTTTTATTGATTTATTGCGATTCATACACATCGTCATCAGTGCAATGACCTTTAGCTCATTATTTTTGTTCATTGCTTCTGCTTCTAACGATCCAATTAGTAATTCGAATTGCATTGAAATCACTTCAATTGCATTAATCTCTTATCAAAAGATTATCATAAATTTTCGTCCTTTCTTCGCCGATTTACATTCAAGTATTTATTGGTTTGCATCTTTTTGAGCGGTGCGGGGGAGATTTCGATTAAAATATTCAAATGTGAATCCATTGTTTGGTGTAACATTCTTCATACGGTTGGCACTAAAATAAATACGAACGCAGGGGATGAGAGCTATAATTATCCATTTGTATTGTATGGCGACAGTCAATGGCAACGTTATTGTTGTCGTCGTTGTTGTTTTTATTAGGCATTGGTGTGTACATGTTCTCGGTAAATTTCCCTTTGTTTGCGGTGTGCAAGAGAGTGTGCGGAGTAGGGGAGCGCCAATATGTTTGGTCAGCTCATTTCATCAAAATTGAACTTGGTAAAAATCGAGATAGAAATCGAATGTATGAGATAGAGAGTGCCGCTGATTCGAGGTGAATAGCCGCCATGCGTCAGATTTGTAAAAAATGAACAAAAAAAAACCCACAACAAAGTTGATAGGATTTTTGATGAAAGCAAAAGTTATGCTGAAATCTGTGTATTGTACACTTTTATTTATTCAATTGACGCTCAAAAATATGTACGCGCACGAATGTGTGAGTGCACTTGTGTCGCATGCATATTGATTGTGCACCGTGTGCATGAGACAACACACAGAAAAACCAATTGCGACTCCGAAAAGGTAAACAATCGCCAATCTGCGGCGCACTTACACTTACACATATTACGTTTACAAGGGAAATAGAAAGCGCATCGTATTTGTCGGAAAAATCCACCCCAAAAAAACGAACGGATCGAATCGTAACGTAAAAACATGCTCCGCACGCGTTTTCAACAAAAACCAACATAAACATTATTACCGCCTGTTTTCACCGAATAGCTTCGCTAATGAATTCAAATGAGATAAAAACAAAATTTAGTCGGCTTTCAAATATGAGCGGTGAAGCGTATCGCGACATAAAACAGTTTTTTTTTTGCATAAATTCTCAATACACTAAAAACGACCGGAGGTAATTGCATTAATTTTTTGTTTAAACGTCACACATTTTTTTTCGCGATTAAACCACACATGAAATTTGAGTTACTGCAGAAATGTTTAAATTTGTTAATCGAAGCGAGAAACATATTTGTGTGTATTAGAACAACTATGTGATAATTAGTATCAATCGTTTTTTGACACATGAATTGAGATATGTATTAACAAGTGTGAGTTGACCCAAAAACGAAAGACGTGGTGCATTGAATTAAATGCTCAGACATCCCTCAGCAATATTTTATCCATATTTATAATTTAAATTTGAGAAAATCGGATTTTTCAAGTTTTTCGGTGTACCGATTCGATGTGTCAATTTTGTTTAAATCGACGGTGACTGTGCATTCGCATGTGAATTTCAAATGAAGCATTTTATTGATGTAAATTGCGTGTTTTAATACACTAAAGATTTATTGAAGGCGATAAAGAACGAGCAATAAAGAAGAAGTCATGCAACGGTGTCATTTATCGATTTAATCACATTGCAATAAGATTCGTGCGTTGAAAATTTCAGTTTATTTACCAAAAAATTCTAAGGTTATAGTGAGTCATAGCGTGTATGCGTTTGTGGTTGTCTTTCGATTAACGGTTGTTTTCTACCTCAAAAAATGTCAAGTTAAATTTGATGAATGTCAAATTGATTTTTTTTGCTTCAAAACTTATAATCCGTGACCTTTTTTCAACATTACAGATAGATTGGTGGAATCAAAATAAAATTAAGGCGTTTTTTATGGAATCGTGAATTTTAACGTTATCAAAATGAATTTTTCGCCCTTTGGTAATCCATTTTCGGCTTCGATATCTGGAATTCATCAGTTTGCAGCTGGTGCTCAAGTAAGAACAATTGTTATAATTGTTTTATCAATTTTTTTTAATTATCAACTTTTTAATTGCAAAATGTTTTTTTCTTTTGCTCTAGGATTCATCGAATCGTTATCACAATGGCTCGGCCGCATCGAATGTCTCGAATATGAATCATTGCACTCAATCCAATGTGCCCATATTGTCAAAATTTCGCGGTGATGATAATTTGAGTGCAAATGCCATGCATAAATATAATGGACACAATAATTCGAATATAAGCAATAATCCTTATCAATCGAATGTGCCCACATTCACGCAAACGGCGCATTTACATGCGAACAATGATGATAAGCAACGATTGCCCAATTCATATCAACCGTCCAATGCATCGAATGCGCAAGTACATCAGTCGTCAGAAATAACACCAGATATTTGTAGTGCACTTTTAAATCAGCAGACCGACGCCAAGAGAGGTAAGTGTTCGATACTGATTTTTAATTTTATTTGATAAAATTATCATCGGAGTGTTTCTGTATTCATTAGTGTTGCAAAATGTGAATTCTGGTTGGCAATCTTTGACACCAAGTTCAGCTGTTGTTGCTGATTATCTATCACATTTACCGGCCAGCACACTACCCCTGTCGTTGCATCACTTTCTGAAATATTCGGCCGAAAGTATTAAAAAGGAATCGCAAAACCAGCTATCGGTAAGATTCAACATCCATATGTCGAACAAAAAAAATCGGTGTGAAAAATGTTCATAAGAATCGTTCTGCTTTTTTACATTGTAGAACATCGACATGGCCCATGCACAAGGATTGGGTTTGAATTCATTAAGCTCAAGTCTTCTGTCAAATGCAGCCATTCTTAATCAAAATCAACAAAATCACATGATACCGTCACAACAACAACAACACCACTCCATTCCACCTCAAATTCCAACGTCACAACAGCAACATTCGCACCCCAACGGCGCAAGCTCAGGAAATAATAATTTGATTCAAACATCTTCAGCAAATGTGAACCAAACGCATAGTCTTACGAACAATACAAATGGGTCCAATGGTATGAATAACAGCAATGAACTGAATGCCAACAATAATACATCGTCGAAGGCGGCAACAACCACGGCACCCACGAAGAAAAAGAAGAAGAAGAAACCACCGAAAGAGAAAAAACCACGACCAAAACCCGGAGAAATTCGACTAACAACCGCACTTGACGGCTCAACTTTGTACGGGTGTCCAGAGTGCCACATGGTTTACCCCGAACGCGGTCTTCTTGAAGAGCATTTGGTTGGACATAATTTGGAACGAAGGTAGATTTTTTTATTTCCACTGTGATTAGGCTCAGCCTATTCTAACGACAAATCTATTTCGCCATTTAGGTTCATTTGCGACATTTGCAATGCAGCACTAAAACGAAAAGACCACTTAACTCGACACAAACAAAGTCACAACGAAGAGCGGCCGTTTGTTTGTACGGTGTGCATGAAGGCATTTAAGCGCAAAGAACAACTTACATTACATTTCGTCATTCATTCCGGTGAAAAGAAACACGTGTGTCAGGAATGCGGAAAAGGTTAATTTGAATATTGATTGAAACTTTGAAGTATCAAAAATTTAATGAAATTTCATTCACAGGCTTCTATCGAAAGGACCATCTTCGTAAGCACACCAAAGTAAGCGAACATTTGTTGATTCTTATATTCATAGCTAATTTTGTTTCTCTCTCCCCCCGACCATAGTCACATATAGCTAGACGCGTGAAAGCTGAACTAAGCCAGTCAAATCAATCACCGAATCTACTTGCAGCGCAGCAACTTCAAAATCAGGGATTGACACCACATCAATTGCAATTGCAACAAAACACCACCACATTCAGTTAGAAGTCTTCGAAGTGGCTACATTTTCTACATCATATTATCATATATTCATTGGCATTTTTAGTCGAACTATAACATAGATTTAACTTTCATTTCATTCTTTAATTCGGGGCCTCTTTTATCACAACACTCAAATCGAGTATATTTCTTATGACGAACGAAAAATGATAAAATTGGCACCAATTTCATTCATCAGCATCGGGACTCTTTTGCAATTCTAAATAATTGTTCGATAACAAAAGGCTAATTTTCTTTGTGTATCTCAAGTGAACTTGAATGGTTCCCTCAACTTTAAGTAGTTTATTGAAAACATAATTTATTCCGTTTGATGTATTAAACTAGAGAGAAAGATATTCTGTATATATTAAGCCGAGAAAACGAAGCGCATACATATTTGCGTCGAAACAAAACAAAAATTAAGTGACTAAAATTTAATCGGAAATTGTAGTCTTTCAATTAAATTTGAACAAATAACAACTGTTTTAACATTTACATCTTCACACAAAGTCGGTATTTGACCGAAAATTGGTTGCAATTCAACTTCAGATTATTTTCGATGAAAATGAACAAAGAATATTTCATCAAGTTTTTTAAGTACGACAAATATTGACAGAATATCATTATAAAATTTCTTGTGAATCTTTTGTAAAATATGAATATTTGCCATATTTTTGTAAATCTACAAATTTCACAGTGAACCTTTCTCTCTACTGTATTTGAGTATAGCTTTTGTAAGATTTCATATTTACTCTTTTTTCAGTAAAAAAAAATTTTTTCATTCAGCGCCGAAAATTTAGCTCAAGCACTAAAATGAACTAAATGAACATAAAACAAATAACAACAAAAAAAACACTAAAAATCGTGGAAAATCTCAGTGATTGTGGTTTTTATATTTGTCATGAAAAAAAAAATTAAACGTACTATATATTTCGAGAAATATTGTATTTTTTTAACTTCTTCCTTTGAAATAATGGCAGTAAATCTTCTAAAGGTAAACAATCTTCTTTTTAAGCATTCCAAAGAAGATTTATTGAATTTGGCATATAAAAGTATTTATTTTTTTTAATGAGTTTCAATTTTGTGATTGAATACATTGATGCATTCGATTAATTTGAAAAGTAAAAGGAGTACATTTTATTTGTGAACGGTTACAGTGTGAAGACCACGGATAAGTTCATCGGATTGTTTCAAGTTGACAATGTTGCTCAATCGTTTGACACGAAGTTTGGCCCAAATCGAGTAGTTGGTGATGCCTAAGATTTGTGCGGCATTGAGAGCAGCTGCTTCTGGATAAATGACAGTTCCGCATCCCAAACCGGATGGAACATTCAATGATGACCAAATGTCAATGTTAACATTGTCGCTTTTGACTGGTGGACAATTGATAACGGGATAGTCTGTATTTCCGGACAGAACTGGTCCTAAACCATTTGATCGGCCGGCCACAGCAATGAATACCAAATTATTGAAAAGACTTTCGTATTCACGAAGAATTTGAATTGTATCTTGTGTACTTTTATGTGCCGATGTGACACGCAATTCAACATTTAAGCCAAGACTTTTGCAACATTTGGCGATTTTCTCGCAGTGTTCAGTATCAGATGGGCTACCCATCAGAATGACAACAAGGTGATCATTTGGTGGAACGATGTTGTCCAATTGTTCGGAGATCCATTCGAAGTTCCGTTTGACCGTTTCCAAATCATCTTGAGTGACTGTGGTCAAATTACGATACACTTGTTTGTCAACCATCAAACGTTTGTCGCCTGCTGGCCAGAGACGCCATGAATCTGAATCGATCACATCAGCCAAGAGAATTTGTCCTTGTTCATCGACACCGAATTCGATTTTCATGTCAATCAATGCACATTTACGGTAGGCCCATGCTTTTTCGAGAATTTCGAACACAACGATTGTGGTCTCGCGCATAGTGTCAACCTCGCTGCGACCTAAGTATCGAATGAAAAATTACGGCATTAGAATTAATTGAAGACAGAAAAGGGGATCATGGAGAAAAATTGTTTCTCATTTTTAATGTGATCTTACCGATTTTACGGCCATTGAACTCGAAACCAGCCGTAATGATTTCCTCTTCAGTCCATTGTGGATCGTGATTTGCATCATCCTTGAAGAAGGTCTCTTGTTTTGGTGGTGCAAAACTTTCGGGCACAAAAAGTAAAAAAATGTAAATACATTTTTAACTTAATTCCAATAAATTGTTTATTTATTTATAAATAAAATAATCAAAATCCCGTTATTGTTCAAAATTATCATGCTTTGAAAAAAACAGAGTCGTTATTGAAAACAACAAGTGATTTAACCTACCGATAACCTTCTTTAACCGATGGATAACGTTTACAGAATGATCCAGTTGCTAGGCGACGACAAACCCATTCAATTGGGATCATTTCACATTTGCGTGCAACAAAAGCGGTTGGTGACACCTGGCTTACGTAGGCAGTTTTCATTCCGGCTTCATTCAAAATGGAGAAAACTTTGCCATTGGTTGCATTCGAAATAGCCGCTTTTCCCGCCAAATCGTGTTTCTTAACACCATCACCGGCTGTGATACGATCCTTATTCAAAAGCAAACAAAGACCAGTATTGTTTGGCAAATCGTAGACAGCCTTTGTCTTTCCTTCGATAATCACTTTGCCCAATTTATATCCGTTAACTGTAAATAAATTCGAAAACGCAGAAATTTAATCAGTTCAGACAGAAATAAAACAAAATTCAAATCAGATAATAATGACAATAAATGAAATCATAAATAATATTCAATTCAAAAATAGATTGATTTCAAAATCGACTTACTTTCAGTTGGAGCTGACATGTTGATGCGTTGTAGTTATTGATACTGTAATTGAAAATAAAATACGAGATTATAAGTGTCGAATGCTTCTCTAGTTTGCAGGGAATCGGAGGTGAAATATTATATAAACAATAACATGGACTGATAATGGGACCCCATCGTTGTTGCCTATTTATTTATTTATTGCTACAAAAGTTTTGGAAAAAAACAATAACAACAGCCATCGTTATTGATATGGAAAAGCACTCGGAATTTTTTTTCTGCTGGAAATTTAAATAAAATATAGCAAATATGAAGCGCAGTAAAGAGGTCATCATTTAATCAATCCGGGTATCATGTGGGGTCTTGCAAAATATTGATTGCAAACAGACCAACCAAGAAGAAAAACATGATAAAAGAAAAAAAGATGCGAAAAGTAGGAAAAAAACACACATATAGTTATTGTTTTTCATTTACGTAAAAAAATCAAATAACAAAAATATTTATGAGCTTGGTGAGTACGTAATCGCACGTATTTGGGCTATCGCTTTGCTTGTGACAAAAATATAAAATACCGATGGGTGAGTGATATTGGACAGGATTCGAAAACAGTAAACTTTGATTATCGCATTTTGAATATAAACAGAAGATATTCATCAAATTTTCAATGGAATTTAACGACTCGAGAAATTGCAAATCTTACCGAAAAAAGTTGTTTATCACCAGTGTACTCAATAACTTATTATAATTTTACGAGTGTCGATTTTATTTTCAAATTTCAAAGATTGTAAATGATGTTTTAAAATGTATATTTCCGTACATAGATTAAGATACGTTGAAAAGAAGCTATGTCTTGAGTTTTGTATTCGAAGAGAATTGAACGCTCTTTGAAAAATGCATGTCCTCGTTGATTAAATGATAAATCGTTCATTTTTAATGGGAACCAAGTTCAAATTTCATCTAATCAATCGACAATATTTTAATTAATCCGTTCATTTGCAATGACATTGCTGAAGTTTGCGGAAAAAATCAGCACCGAAAATGTTTTTCAACAGATTAATTGATTCCTGTTTGCATGATTTGTATGTTTGTGTGTGTGTTCCGTAGCAATTTTGACGTTCGTTTATAACGTCACTTCTGTTCGAGTAACGCCGAGATAGAGTGTGGCAACTGTGATAGCGCTAGTCTATTTACTTGTTGATCGAATACCTTCTTCGCGAAATGGTTCAAAAGGTTATCACAGCAGTAATATGAAGGTGACCATTTAGAAGAGAAACGGAATGATTGAGCCGCTTTCGAATGCTGTCATCAAATTCCAATGAAATGATAAGACGACGGCATCAACGTTCCAATTCTGTGTGCATTGGAATGGCATATATGTATTTTCGAGGCGAGACAAAATCGATCAAAAATTGAAATCAGGACATATACGCGATTACAATGATTGTCATTGTAATTTTAAAATTGGATTTTGTAAATTTTCAATGGGATTGCATCAATAATCTAATAAAAACGATAATGGAAAAAATGTCTTACCTTTTTTTTCCCAAAAATCAAATAAAAATGTCTGAAGACACCGTAAGTTACGCACTGAGAGTGAATAATAAAAGTCGCGTGTTAAACGAATCACTTTACAAAGGAAACTAATGTATATGATACGAACGAAATATCGTAGGCAACAAAACGAATATATTTACTGTCAAAATCCGTATAAGCCGAATCATTTATATACATGCTCCATGGATGTGCGTACTGTCGTAAAGATACTGTACTGTGTCTGTGTGCATTGATCAATGTTGTTGTTCTTGTTTGTGTTTCAATGAAGCTTTGTTTCTTTTTCTGCTCAACCACCGTATACAATAGATGCGTCAAAAATACTAAGATGAATTTTAAGAGGCGAATCTGTGCTGAAATGTGATGAAGGTTCATATTGATGACACTCAATATTTTTTTGCACAAGTTATTTCTTCACTTTTCTTTGTCGTTTGCACCTCATTTCGCTGTTTAGCAGCATTGAAGATGGCAGCACGTGCATACACATAATAAATTATCAATTATCACTAACGAATGCTGGACGAAGAACAAATGTGACGACACATATGCGATGTATTGTTGTTGTTGATTATGCGATGCCGCATGCGTATTTGTGTTAGTCTGAGTATGGTGTGCGCAACGATGTAAGAAAACGATAACAACAACAACAAAATCGAAATTCAGCACATGCACGCGAAAGAGACGAAAGGAGTGTGATCGGTAAAAGGAGTAAAACGTTGCTTGTTTATCAGAGCCACGCGAGGATTTTTCATGATGAATTAACATGTGGTTTTTTTATTCACATTCGATGAAAATTACTGACATTTTTTTTTGAAACTTTGCTAATTGTTCCGCATTCGATTGAAATATTTCAGCATATATTTTTTGTATGCACACAGCAAACCCATTTGATCCCTTCGCATAGTGCTTAACGACGCAAATAAAAGTGTGTATATGGAGTAATAAACGGTATCACGTGGTAGACTTTATGTAAAATATGCTGATTACACAAACCAAACAAGTTTCATTCGAAAATTTGACAAAAATTCTGAAGGTAACAACGCACATGAAGACGAAAAAAGACACAATCGCAATCATTCAATAACCAAAAAAATAAATGCGAACCATCGACGTAGGTATATTTTTTTGTTTATTCTGTCGTTTTTTTTGTTGTCTATTTAGTTTTGTGCTGTTTTGTTGGAATCCAGTAAATCAATGCTGTGTGAGGCTCGTCATTTGCTAACGTCTTGTTGTCTTTCTCTCTGTTTCTCCGTCTCATGCGGTCTTCGTTTCTTTTTTATGTTCAGCATATAGTCGTATATCATAGTATGAACAATTTTAGTGTGATAATCGCTTTTGCTCCGGCTGTGTCGCATATAATTTTGATCTGTATTAGTGCTGTACGATTTTTTTTCTTTGATCTGATTACGTCGAAATTGAATATGTTATAAATTGAAACAATCATTTGCTTCTATCGACACACGAAAAAAGTTATTTGTAATACATACACACGCATTATTCGCAAGAGTGTACAGGACATAAATTAGATTCAACGTTTGTGTACCCATTCAATTCATCCGAATTGAATGAAGTGTTCAGTGATCGCGAGCCGAACCTGTTTTTTTATTCAACACTTGATCAATTTAAATATATTTAAAATACAGTGAAAGTTGAGCAACATAGATAATTTTTTTTTATTGAAAATTGAATTTTAGCCAGTAAAAGAACTCTACGGCAGTAAACGTCAAGTGTTACAGCATATTTTTGTCAAAGGTAAATCATATGTCATTTTAATTTACACGTTTAAAATTAATGTTGTTTGGCGATAAGTTGTGAGAATTATTTACGCAAATAGCATCGTTTTTGGGTTGAGTTTTTAAGTACTTCAGTCTAAATTGATTCAATTCATCTAATCCAACCAGCAGTATGAATCTAAGAAGAATTTAAGTTGTGGTGTGAAAAACAATTTGCGAAAAAAAAATCACTAAAGCAAACTAGAAAAGAGTCCCTGGGATTCTTTGGCATTTTATTGCTGAACTATGACATATTTTAAGTGCGTCGCTTATCGTTTTTCGATGTAAAATTGAGTTCAATATTAATGAAGTCATTAAGTTTGTTAGTTTTTGATTTGGCGTCCTACAATTGAAGATGGGTGGCTTTTGCCAGCAATTTTTTCATTTCATGTGACATTTTCTTTGCATTATCGTCGCGTCAATGTATCTGCATTCGAAAGAGCATTTGTTTAGTGTAATTGGAGCACTTCATATTTGATAACCTCCCAATTTGCACGATATTGTTGCCATATATTCTCATTAAAAAGATTATTATGATCGTAAAAGTTGTGTATGCTCAGCGTTGACATTGATTGTCAGTTGATGCTGCTAATATTTCAGTTTTTTTCTTTCCTTCATTCAAATGTGATTGCACGATAAATGAATGAAATAAGCATAAGGACACGTGTTCAACCAAAACTAAAATATAAATATATCGACTATTTAATTTATTGAAGTCAGAAACGGTTCTGATAACCTTTTTCTTATGAGATCATATTCCATTCGATTTTATAGAAAAACGCGGCAAAATTCGATGCCAAAAATTGATAGAGTGCGTCGAGACGATTTCGTTAATAAATAACTCTAGTCCAAAAATTAAGCCTGAGGTGATGAACCAATGATAAGAATTGGCAACAAAATTTTTGATCGCTTCTTAATCAATCGCCTTGCGTCATATAATCGTTTTTTAATTTAAAAATTCATATCATCTGAACTTTGGGCCAACTATCGCTCGCATCAACACAAAATTTTAATTATTCAAATCGAATAAGCTACCGAAAAAAAGGCGAACGAAGCAAATTAAGTTGAAAGTTTTTTGTAAAGAGGTCCATTTAATTATGTTCTTGTATTTACTGATAACCCATAACATATATATTTGCATAATACCATACATAGCTCAAATACTTGCGTTTACTTGGTGATAAAGCACCGGTACGCATTTAATTCCAGTTTTGATAATTGTTACAATATTCGAATAAAAAATTCGATTTTTTTTTGTTTCACGTGAATGGCGTAATACATGCTGATAGGAAAAGATCTAAATGCCATGAATTTTGTCATCTAAGTACATATAAACACATCAGCTGATGCTCAAGTTTTGAATAAATTTTATCAGCATCAAAAAATTGATTAGAATGGAAGTAGCATGTGATATTCAAATGACGCACTTTGGGCGGTAATCCGTCAATAATATTTTGAGCGAGCCCTTATTTGTTTATATGGAATTGGGACAAACATCCGAATGTTTATCGATAATAATATATTGGCAATGGAAATAAACAGTTATATATAGATACGTAATCAGAAAATAATCATCGAACGTTCATTTTTGAATAACATCCGAGAGGCATTTTTGATGGTTTCTACTTTCTTTTATCTGCTTGCAAACGTGATCTTGCACGTATTCCAAATGGCGAGGTATCCCCAATAAACAAATCAACGGTAAACAATTATGATATCGATGTATTGATATCAGTAGTGCGACAGAAATGGGGAGATTTTCTGATGTATATGAAAACTTTGTCATCAAAAACCGCGTACTCATCTCATGACTTTTTATTTTCGTTGATGACGCCATTTTTAATTCAATTTCAACCCGACGTTTTTTAAAACGCAGTTTCTAGAAATGTTGACTGAAGAACACAAATAAAAATTGATTGTCAAAACTGATTAGCGATCATTCGTAATGTACATGGATTTCTCTCTTTATATGAAGTAAACATTCATAGTTTCAATTCCAAATATCTCTGGAATAGAATTTCCTAAACATAAATATTGTTGATGATAAAATGTGCTGAGCAAGATATCTTGCACCATAATAACAAGCCTGAATTTACCATTCGACATACGATGCCCGCCAGCTTTACTATATAAAATAGTAAACACATTCTTTGTCAATAGGACGAAACTAATTGCAATAATGGACGCAACGGAATTTTTTCCAAAGTATAAACATTCGTGATTGATAGTGGTGGGGGTTAAACTAAAAATTGGAAACAGCAAACTGCATACACTAACGGAAATTTCCAGTAATTGATAATTTCGAATCGGAAAAATATAAACATGAGCATACCGTATGACTATCACACATCACTCTAAAAAACTATAGAAAGTCGGAAACTTGTGTGTTGTTATTTGCCTTGCGACCGCCACGAAGATCGTATACACACGTTACAAAAACAAAAAACAAATCAATCGGGTGGAAAAAAAGTTGAACACAGAGAATAAAAACACACCATATCACGTATTCCGTTTCATTGACTCATAAACAAATCAGCTTGCGTTCTTATCGTCGCATATAAAATCAAATCATTCGCTTTGCTCGTCAATTCAAATTTAAACTTCGATTAGTGCTAAATGAAATTTTGATTTCGCTACATTTATTTAAATTTTCTCCTCGATTCAGATTGAAAAAATAAATTAAAATGGTGAAGAGAGAGTGTTTGGATGTGATGAAGGCACAGCCCAAATCACCCACATGTTTCATCTCATACGATCGAACGATGAACAGCACAGTGTCACCACCAGTTATGGCCAAAGAAATTGAACGCGTTGAGAGCTCAGTGACTGTGCGCAAAAATAAACGATTGGGACGAGGCGCTGTTAACTCAGGACTGACATGCGAATGCGGCGTTTTTGCAGCAATGGCCTGCGGAGAATGGCCAACACAACGTGTAAGTAGATAATTCTTGTTTCTTTTCGCGGATAATTTAAGTGATTTTTCTGAAGAAAATTCAAACAAAAAATTAAATCAAAAGACTCTATGGATCCACTTGTTCGTATTTATGTGATGAATATGTAATGGAACGAATAAAAATCAAAATAAAATAGATCGCCATCACCTTGAACTAATCACGAAAATGCACATTTTCAGATCGAAATTGCGCAAACGATTTGCTTAGGATTAGTCGCTTTACAACATCGTGGACAAGAATCGGCTGGAATTGTAACCAGCGAAGGAATATGTTCAAAGAATTTCAATGTCTACAAAGGAATGGGAATGATAAACACCATTTTCAACGATGATGCAATTCGAAAGCTAAAAGGAAACTTGGGAATCGGTCATACACGCTATTCAACGTCGGCCAGCTCAGAGGAAGTAAATTGTCAGCCATTCGTTGTACATACAGCGCATGGAGCGATGGCAGTCGCTCACAATGGTGAACTGGTGAATTGTGAAAGTTTGCGCCGGAACGTATTAGAGCGAGGAGTTGGTTTGTCTACACACAGTGATTCGGAATTGATCACTCAGGCATTGTGTTTGAATCCACCGGAAGGCGAGGATGATGGGCCAGATTGGCCAGCACGTATTAAGCATTTAATGACATTGGCTCCATTGTCATATTCATTGGTTATTATGATGAAAGATAAAATCTACGGTGTTCGTGATGCATATGGCAATCGACCCCTGTGTATTGGCAAAATTGTTCCGGTTGATTCGGGAAATCGTAAGTTCGAAAACTCTTCAAAAGTCTCGTTTCTTTTGATTAACAAATGTACACGTTTCGTATTATGCAGGCACAGTTGAAGAGGTTGATGCTGAAGGTTGGGTTATGTCATCAGAAAGCTGTGGTTTCTTATCAATTGGTGCACGATATGTGAGAGAGGTAAGGGTTCAGAGTCTCACTGGTTTTATTAGCTGACGCATGTCATTCATGTTTCTGATTTATTTTGTCGAATAGGTTGAACCGGGAGAAATTGTTGAAATCACAAAGCATGGTGTCAAACACATTGATATTGTTGAACGTCCAGAAGATCGCAAACTTTCTTTCTGCATTTTTGAATATGTGTACTTTGCACGTTCGGATTCAATTTTCGAAGGTCAAATGGTCTATTCAGTCCGAATGCAATGTGGCCGTCAATTAGCACGTGAGGCACTGGTTTCAGCTGATGTGGTCAGTTCAGTGCCAGAATCCGGTACAGCTGCCGCTCATGGATATGCTCGTGAATCGGGTCTTCATTTTGCTGAGGTATTGTGCAAAAATCGTTATGTGGGCCGTACATTTATTCAACCATCAAATCGTTTGCGTAAACTTGGTGTGGCCAAGAAATTCGGTGCATTGTCCGAAAATGTGGCCGGAAAACGATTGATTTTAATTGATGATTCAATTGTGCGAGGCAATACTATTGGTCCAATTATTAAACTGTTACGTGATGCTGGCGCATTGGAAGTTCACATTCGTATTGCCAGCCCGCCGCTTTTGCATCCATGCTATATGGGTATCAACATTCCAACTCGCGACGAACTCATCGCCAACAAATTGAAACCAGACGAATTGGCCAAATATGTTGGTGAGTTGCACTTCAATTTTTACACACATAAAACTGGTTTTTTCTCAACCAAACTGATTATTGATTTAAAAAATGAAATCTTTCTTATCGTTTTCATAACAGGCGCCGACAGTTTAGAATACTTGAGTGTTGCAGGACTGAAACGAGCGGTACAATACAATTTTTTCATTATATGTTTCCGATTATTTTCGATTATTTTCCGATTACTTATCGATTATTTTAAATTTTATTCTTTTCATTTGTGATTCTCCCCTTAGGTACAATACAATATGAAAACGAAGAATCGTGCGACGAGCGGTCATTGCACGGCGTGCTTGACGGGCGAGTACCCAGGTGGGGTGCCAGAAGAGCTGTCTTGGTAGAATGGAGCTTAATAGAGGCTTCGTTCGTAGAATGATAGTTGAATTTTCATACACACAAACATTAAGCAAACTTTGAGGCGGCTGTTGACTGTACGGCATAATTATTCAAAGCATTTCGATTTTAAGCAGAATAAATAGCAGACAATGATATAACTCAGCCATAAATTTAGATTTATACATTTTTATAAAACAAATTTATTATTTTAATTGGCTCTCCGAAATTTTGTCATAAGAATTTCATAGAATTATTATTATATAAAATGATTTCTGGACGGAATCGCATACATGCATATTAGATTATGAACAACATTTTTATATGAACTAGAACTAGATTGTAATTAGTGTAAGAAATATTATATTAAAAGTTTTTATTTGATTTTTTTTTATTAAAAGGAAATAGCTTTTTTTTCGAATGATGACCATGCACTAAATGTGTTTACTTATCTGTCGTTCAAAACGAGTTTTTCAATGAATCTGACTAATTTTCTCTATTCAATTAAAAAAGGCAATTTCATTATTCGCAATGTACTGGGTTTCATTGTAATGGTCAGATAATTTTCAATAATAATATTGATTAATTGTTCTGTGTATTGAAATTGATGTAATCGATATTTTTACGCAAAACAATTTTGCGAAAAAATGCGATAATGAAAACTGACTTTATAAAATCGCAGTGTGTAGTACACGCAAACTCTATAATCAGACAATTCTGAGAAGTTCAACAACTTGAAGTAATAATTCATGAGCTCAAATCAGATAACATTTCAAAAAAATTCCATTTCCGCCCAAATTATTATTTGAAATATCACTGAAGTTGATGAAGAAAAAATTTACGAAAAAGAAAACTGTTTACACTTCGCTTGTAAAGTACCAAAAACGACATTTATTCCAATATACAAGACAAAAAATTTCACATTTATTTTCATCAGTTTGAATATATTTAAAATATGAAATAAGAAAATCAGTTCGTGCGTGAACGATGCTTTATGGTTTTGACGCTACTCTACCATATCTGTCGTCTTTCTTATGTGCGCTTTGAACATCTGTCAAAATATTTACATCGATGTTTATCTTTGCGACACAAAGTTTTCATCATGGTTAAATTATTAAATCGAAATTTAGTGCTTCCTGTCGAATATACAAAACAAATTTCATCATTACCAAGGTACATTACTACTACAACTTTCCTGATATTACGATCCCATTGATATGTGTTTATTTTTGGTTTCGATTTAGATATTTGAGTTATACAAATGTTGTGCGAACCAAAACAAACTTAACCATATGAATCGGAATTGGTATGATCCTCGGTGAATTTGCCCACGAAAATTTGTCGGTCTGAAAAATCGTGCAACTGAAAATGGAAAACCAGAACGGTCGGTCATTACATTCGTTCTTTTCTTCTGCAATGAAGCCAGCAAGGAAAAAATGACAACAAGTCAGTCAAAGGTAGAATATAACGCTCAAATACGCCTATAAACAGAAGTACGAAGTCTTGCTTAATGACTACAAGTACGTGTCATTCATATCTGATTAAATCGATGGTCGTTGGTTTAACTCATTTTTAATTTCAATGCGATTTCAATTATGCGTGAATTGTCCTTTTCAGAAAGTTCCAGCTTGGGAGAAACAAATGATATCAAAGGAATTGACCGACCTTGTTAGAAACCGACCGAAAAAAATTGGTAGAAAAATTTAGAAAAGACGGAGTAAATACCTAAATTTCTAAATTATTCCGTGTTCAACATGCATACACCATTCAACAAATTAATGAGAAGTCATTTATACTGCAATGAAAATACGTAACAAGAGAGATTTATCTATAAATTTTGATAGAAAAGTCATAATAAAGTCAACATTTTTTGAGAAAACAAACCATTTTTCGGCTCGTTGAACTCAATTTATTTGAACTATTTGCATTTTTTTCGAATTTTCTTATGATGTCGAACAACAATACGCTACCAAAAAAAATTGGTAATTGGTACCACGTACATCTGCTTCTATTAAAAACAAACGCTTGTATTCCGAACACCGCATTCCCCTGTACGATTTTTACTATTTGTTTTTATGTGAATTCCGTCTGTGAAACCAGTTGAATCACCTAATGTGAGTATAATATGAATTGGCGGATTGTTTGTAAAGGAATAGTTAAAAACAGGGGAAGTTGAGATACCAACACACACGTAGAGTCACTGTTTTATGTGATTTGACTTTCGACAGATGGCACTAGTACATGCGATCGAATTCGAACAAATTGCAATTTGAAAAGTAACAGCAACGAAAAAAAAACTCACCAGCACTAAAAATTGTTGAAACGTTGCAAAAAAGTTTATTGCTTGCGTGAAATGGTTTTCCAAAATGAAGTCCGAATCGATTTTAATTTCAAACAATATGCTTTCATCTCACCATGCACACGTACAGAATGCATATAAAATCAAAATTAAATCGATTTGGTCAAGATAAGTTTTCCCATATAGTATCACATTCAAAAGTCAAACGACCGGCAAATTAAAAAGGGTACACTCGACCAAATTCAGAGAATCAGCATGTAACCACACAAAACGGTATTCGTGTGGGTATGAGTTTTACGAAAAGGTCAGAGCATTTCAATATGATTATTTTAATGTTCTATTCATTTTAAAGTAGAGCGCGCTCGAGAGAGAGAGAGAGATGGCGAAACACTTGCCTCAATTATGCTTACACGGTGAGCATTTCCGTTGGTTTGCACATAAAATGTAAGTTTTGTCATGGCGATAGATAATGAATAAGGATCGCGTGCCCCCATCGCGCGCATTGCATATAAAGAACCAACATTATTTCACGCGTGACTTGCCACATATGACCATTATACTTTTGTTAAAATAATTTTGTTCACCATTTGATCGCATTGTTTTTTTCTTCAACATATTTCACTTCAAATTTCATTCAAAACAAAAAAATAAAAATAATTTTGGAATTTCGGTTGGTAAAATGATATTTTTTGTTTTTGTCGACACAATTTATGTTCGGTTGTGTTTTATGGAGGCAAAAGAGAATAGGGAAAATGTGGTCGTCATTAAGGAACTCAAACGATTGAAGCAAATGTTCGAACAATTTCCGTTTGGCATAATGGAACAGTTTGAAATTCGATTCTGCTTAGCATAATAGAGAAATCAAAGGTATTGTTATGAATAGAGACGAGAAATGAATGTTATGTATGGACAATTGCATCGCACCGATCAACAAAAGCAACGAAGCAACACAAAAAAGTGTGTGTATTTGTCTGCAGCGTGTGATGTGTTAATCTTCACAAGTACGAATGACGAATGTCGAATGCCATTATATTTCCACCCAGTGCCGAATTGGTACACAAAAGCGGACTCGTACTGTTACGCAAAATAATAGGTGTTGCAATAATAGTAATAAGCAGTTTAGCTGAGCTTAAACAATTTCACGAGAATTAAGACTAAATGTATAGATATTTTTTTAGTTTTTTTCTTTGGATTAAGAAGAAAGAATGTGTGCGGCACATTTAAATTGTCATTTGGATTTCATGACTTCAAATGCAATCACAAACATTGAAATCGAATATTTCAATTAAATTAAGCCATCTGTGTAATGGTATGGATTTTCAGGTACGCCTCGGTTACAACCTAACTCATCAACGGTCCCAAAAAAGTGATTTACACACGCCGATAGTAAGAGAGGGAGCGAGAGAGAGAAAACATGAACGGCGAGCCATTTAACACAAGACCAAAAAGGACATGGAACAGAGTCATAAAAACCATTTGCAAACCAAAAGCCAAACATTGTTTTCGTGTTTCCTTTTTTAATGTGTTTTAGTTATCTGGATGTGAATGTCTGGTTTATCAACATCGAGAAAACCAGATAGGGCAAACTGAATGGCACTGTGCTCGTTCGCCAACATACACACACTGTGCACACAGGCAAAAAAAATTAAATTTAGACATTTAATTCGTGCTTGCTCTGTTCGTTGTTTCGGAGATAGTTGGATTTTTTCTCATTAAAAAGTTGGTCGTTTGTACGTCGTCATCACCAATTCCGGAGTACGGTCTCCCGTCCCATTCGATCCCTTGCCTTTTCTCGTTCGCTGGTTGATTTTTGGTTTTTCCATTCAGCGTTGATTGAAATCAACTTCCCTTGAACTCAAAGAGGCAAAATATACACACAACATACACGCTCTGTGTGATGTATTGCAAACAATAAAGGCGTCGAGAAGGAAAAAAGCATTGCGACATCATGCTGTGTGTTTATCTCCACACACATTTTTCCCATTTACTCTTTTATTTTCAAATTTCCTAAGTTGACATTTGGGATTAATTCTTTTTGAGCGAAAGATAAAAAATATATATATTTCTATCTGTTTTGAAATGCTCATATTCCAAATAGTTTTTGGCTGGTTAGAAGCAAATTCATTCTCTTGTTCTTTCGTAGCACTTACTCGATCTGTGTGTGGTGGTGACTGGTGAGTGAATTGGGAATAGTATTTTTATTGTCACTTTTATATGACAAACAATAAAAACACCCCTCTGCATTTTTTTTCGTCGCTCTCTCACACTCTCTTCCATTTGATAATAATAATTGCGAATGGAATATGAAGCGAGCGTACGCGAGTACTAGAAAATATGAGTGACAGAAAAAAAATTTAAACGGAATTGTTGCAACAATAAACAACATAAATAAAAATGACAATGAACAGCAATTCAGCAAAAATAAACAAAAATCCATATGCAAAGATTAAACCGTAATGGCAGATCGAATGAGTGAACAACGGTTTGTTCATGCTGGGTGCACGCGTTATTTACTTTTTCAAATTCAAATGCAAATTCATTGAAAATCTGCTCTTTTTATGGATATAATTTAGTGACGAAAAAAAAAAAACAAACTTTATTGTGAAAGGCGAGAAATAGAGATAAACAACTAAAATTTAAAATGCTGATAAATGGATTTGTGCATAAATAACATTAACAATAGAGACCAGGGTCATCCTTCGAAATGAGCCTTCTTAAATCACATCCATTGCCATTGAATAGACCATATATGTACTATTGCTGCTCTATTGGTGTGTTTCTTAGGCGAATGGCTATTGACGCCAGAACATTGGTTTCGGTTCTTTCGACAATTTCATGCCATTTATAAAACTTCAACAACAGAACCAAACATTTCATTCTGCTTTCATTATATTATGTTTGTTGTTGTCGTCTTTTCTTGTTAATTTCCTTCTCCGTTTGAAATGTGTCAATACAATTTATTTTGCAGAACATGTTCAGGTACAGTTTTTTTTTGTTGTTGTCGTCATCAAATACAAAACTCCCAAATTCATTGTGTAAGATGCCAATTTGAAAATAAATATATAGATTTTTTTCTTCATCTGGTGTATTTGGGTGATATTGTGTCGAAAATCGACTAAAATTTCCATTCAACACCGGATTTGATCGACTTAGAGAATTTAAAGAAGAAGAAAAAAGTTTGACGAAGAAGAAAAAGAATGCAATGATATATTTCTTGCTGTTCAATGAATGACATTTTTCACTTTCAGCATTGTCGATGCATTGAAATCCAATTCCAGAATTGATGAGAGAGAAAAACACGCAGCATTTTATTTTAAACGACACAACAAGAACTCACACGATTGCTTTATTTATTTATTTTCTTTTTTTTCGCCTTGTGAATGACATCAGTTTTTATTGCAGCTTTGTGTCACATTTCCTTTTCTATCTGATGTGCGTTTTACCCATTCCCTCCGAGTGTGATGTGTACGTGTGTGTGTGTTTGTGTTGTTTCAATGTTTTTGTTTTCCCAACAGCAACACACCAAATCAAAACAAAATCACTGTACGCAATTGATGGTTTGGTGGGGTCCTAAATCAACGATTTCATTTGGAAAATTTAGCCTGTCATTACTGGCAAAAGCTGCTGTATATTCACATCAAAATAAAAAAAAACTGCGTATGATATGTATCAGAATATCTGTAAAACGTATCGACCGAGATTTATGCCTTTCCCTTTGCAAACACTCTTGCAATCGTCGAATAATAAGCGAATGAGTGTGTATGTGATTAGTGTGCATTGCCGCATAACATAACCGAACTGGTTTTTATCGAAAATTATGATTATGAATAGTAACAAACTACTGGGGTCGAATACGAAATTTTGGCGAGAAATTTCAAGCTTCTGTACGTACAATCCATTGTTCCATCAAATCATCCATTGTCATCAGCGTTCATTAAGGGTGAAAAAGCGAATAATGTTGTAATTTAACTTACCACACTCGATGGCATATTACATTTATTTCACTCTCGATTATAATCTTCTTTACGAAAAATGGTTTCATATATTTATGATTAAAGTAAATGCAAACCTATTTATTAAACAAATATTTGGATTCACTCCAGATGGTAAAGATCGCACGCGTGCCATATAGTCAATGTTAGCCATCTTACGTGTATATTAAGAAATGTGAAAATAGAAACGCGGGCGCCCTGTCAAGCATTATGATGTGCTCGTCGAGAAAATGAAAAGTACAGTTTGTCATTTATCAAGAAAGTACATGGAAACGAAATTCGATCGTTAGTAAATCTCATCATCGTATCGTGGTAGTACATCAAAGTACTGATGTATGTTATCTATGTAGCCATAGCAATTTAAATGTCTCCGGCTTGATATTGGAAATTCCCTCAATTTTCTCATTTAAATTGTGTTTTCAACTTGGCTGATTACAATTCCCGTTCAATGTTTATCGATTTTGATGAGACGATATTTATTTAAGCGAAATGAGGAAGTGAACTGAGCGAAAGGAGAGAAACGAACGGGAATACGATGGGAAAAAAAGTTAAGTTCTTTTTTTTCTCATTCGTTCTCAAAAATGATTACAAAAATAGCTGTGAAGCCGGCGTTATTGCCGATCGATGTGAATCGAAAAATCTGCTTTCTACTAAATAAACATATTGAAAAGCATTTTCTCGTTCACGTTTCATTTAGCATCCAATGGCTTGAAAGTCTCTTGACGCGCGCGCGCTCGTTCGCCAGAGTGCTCTCTCTCTCTCAATGTGCACAAAAACAATTTTGCAGTTGCACAGGGCGATATTCGAGATAGAGAAAGTCCATATTTTTTCTTGTGTCTATTAAGTGGTGGTGCACGCGTATACAATGCAGCGGGGGAGAGAAAGTATGTTTTGTCGAAACTCACACACATTTATCACAAGAAACTCGAGACCCATTACTTATCTATTATTATGCAATGTCAAATTGCATTTGGTGAATTTCGAATGCGCTGCGTCATGTTCGATAACTCAGTTAGTCCGGACACAGTGTGAGTACATTGATGCGGGTGTATAATGAATGCACATTAAATGCATTTATACTGCGCCATTCGTATTTTCCAAATGCAATCAAATATACAAACATTACGTTTCACAATCGAAATTAAACATCGCAATGATATAAAAAGGCTTTTTAAATTCAAGTGTCTTTCATTTGGCACAGCGTAGCCGCAACGCAGATATACAGCACTCGAAACATACAAGCATAATAAAACATTGTTGTTGATGAGAGAGAGAAAGAGAGAGAGAGAACGAGTCAATTGTATGGAGAGTGAGAGTTAAGTGTGCGAGTTTTGGGTGTGTGTGAATTCATCCCTTCGTTATTGATTCAAATCCACACCATTCCATAAAATTTATAGACACCCAAACCCACGTAAATTCATGTGTATAAGTTCTCTTTAATTCAACCCACACCAATCATTCCATCGTTTGTTTGTCACTTCGCCAAGAGCTTGTTTTTCCCCAAATGCTTGTGTGATCGTTTGAAATCACTTGACAATATCGTCGCCTCTCATTTAAAACTCACAATGCAAACACAGTTCGTCGTGCAATTTATAACATCAACGGCTAATATTCGGAGTCGTCGTCGGCCTGTTTCATCGCAACCGAATAATACAGTTCCTCTTCAATTTATGAATAGAGAAATTCGCTTCAAATTATGTTATTTTATTTTCATTCAGTCGTTCGAATGAGATTCCCATTTGCTCATCTGTTCTCTTTCACTCTGTTCATCATTCCCCGTTGTGTGTGTGTACTTTGTACACTCTCACCCTCGACATCTCGTTTTTTTTATTATCTGTTGCAATTCAGTTGCAAAATGATTTCGATGCGGATGATTTTCGCTGTGTATTTTTACAGTGTGTGGTGCCATACAGTATGCGGTAGGCTCGACAAGGATGCACTCAGAATGTATGTTTGTGTGAATCAACCAGTTTGTTCAACAATTTATTCACCGAATGTGGGCGAACAGCGTTTACAATAGCATCATCATATTTTATTTCGTTACATATTCATTTGTGTGTGTACACAGGCGATATCATCAATAAATAGGTTGTTCACAGGCGTAGTTCGGTAGTTAAGCGCACAAACCGATAATAAACGCATAGCCTGATGTCGTTACTGTTGTTGCGATGAATAAAAATTTTATTCATGGGGATTTTTCACTTATAGCCGCTTTTCTATGTCGACGATACATATTCACATCATGCACATTAGAGGCGATTTCGAATGGATTGGATCGGATCACGAGTTGAGAGAAAGAGAGAAAGAAGGAGAGAGGAGAGAGGGAGAAAGAGCTCATCAATGATGCGTATGTCTCTATATCAATATGAAACAGGACACAACGGCTGTCAATATGATTACGGGACTAAATCCCTTGGAATTTCACCATTTATTTGGAATTTATAATGTTGACGAGTTTTTCAAATACGGATGGTTGCAAATCTGCGCACGAGATTCCACTCAACCATTCGCCGTCACATTATTTTCGCACTGAATCGAAACGAAACCGTATTAAGTAGCAAACGAGTATGTCTACTGAATGAGACTATATCAACTATCCATGCAATTACACATTATATTGTATTATAGGCACTTTTCACACTTGAACATCAAATACCACTCACTCTCTCTCTGACTCTTTCGTTGTCTTTCTTGTTTTCTCTTCCTTTTTCTGATCGTTGTTTGTTCCTGAACGTATTCAAGCGTAGCAATCTGCACGTCGGACGATGTGTCGAGTAGGTGTTTGTAGTTTTTGGTGTGTCGAATTTCAGTTTACACAAAATATGAATGCACGCTCAATTATCCACCAGATTACCGGAGAGCAAAAGACTCTGTAAGTGTACAGAAAATGTATGAAAAAGTATCTGAAACGAGAGTTAAACTGATTACCGAGACAAAATCAGCTTTTTCCACACACAAATCATGCAAAGAGAGTGCGGAGATGATTAAGAAGGAGAAAAAAAAGAATATTTCGAATCAAATTACACACGTTTCAACAAAAAGATGGTGTAATATGAGGTGACGCATTTCCATTTAAAATCCTCCTGTCGATTCATCTTTTGCTCGTATTCATCTTTTCAACTGTTGTGCACCGATAAGTGTACGAGCTTATTAGATTTCGTCAGCAAGCGTCTTTTCATGAATGTAATCGCGCGCGCCCCGTTTTGAGAAGTTAAATAAGATTTTAATTTTAATTAAAGTGTCATTGTTTACATATTTACTTTTGTAAAGCACGTACTCTCGCATTCAAAGGGAAAATTTGTCGTTGACGTTGTCGCCACCATCACTTTGCCATCATCGACAGTTGCACTTATTTAAATTGTTGAGGATGAGATAGGGTTTGATTCCATACAATGACACATTTTAATCTATTTATTTACATTCGACGACTTTTCGAAATGTTTGCGAACAAATATCGTTTCCTTTTGACGCTTGATTGTTTTTTAATGTCTATCCATAAAAAAAAACTCGTATAGCAAATTTCAACAATGTTTTTTTTATATACAGTTACTGTGAGATACGCCCCAAAAAGTCCTATTGGCAAATGTGCAAAAAAAAAATTCTCAACGTTTCTATGACAATAATTCCCAAATTGAAGTGTGGAGCGAAAAAAAAAAATTGAATAGCAACAACAAAAAAATATCACAAACGGATAGACATTTGTTAAAGTTATAAAAAAAAGTTGGGAGTCATTCAATTTGCTTGAAATTATCATATTTTATTGCATTTTCAATTGGGAGTTTGGCAATAAATACGGCATTTTCATTGCTCAGTTGAATGCATTTCTTCCGTTTAGTTCGTTTGTTCGTTTGCTCTTTATCGCTCTATCCTCTCCATTTATATTCAATTGAATTTTAGTACTGACAATGAACGTTCGACAATACTGCGATGGCGCGGCGATCGTTCAGTGCCTATTCGTCGGTTGACGTCTCGTACGCAAGTCGAACGCCATTTGTATACAAAACAAAGCAAAAGTTTGACGGCAGCCGACACCATACAACACTGACTCAGTCACAGTGCTGGTTCAGTTTTGATTTGGATCTCCTACGCATCGGTCGCTACCTTTTTTTCTCTTACGGCACTCACATCATTTCATCTACACACAATATTGTTTTTATCCTTTTTTTTAATGCACAATCTATAACTTTATTTTCCGTAAAATATTTCCATTTATTTTGTGTTGTAAATTGAACGAGAAAAATTTCTACACACAGTTGTTAGTTTTATTGTGCAGAATAAATTCGAATGTCAAATTTACGATTTTTATCGAGTTTTTACCATGAATTGTTTTGGTGACAGTGTGAAATATTGTTTGAAAAATTATTGACTAAAAAACGGAAAAAATAACTATTGTTGGCTACTGTGAATGTGGTGCTATCGCGCAAAAGTGAAGTTGGTAAATTGCTCTTGAATGGAAAGACAGAATCGGAAAAAATTGGATAAAAAGCAATTAAGCAAACCGATGCAGGATAAAGTGTCGCAAAAACAATATGCATAGGTGTACAATATGAATTTAATGCACACATTCCGTCGTTCCGACCAGAAGTGATAGAGAAACACAAACGCCAGAAGAGGCGAGAGAAAAAAATCTGTGCGGCAAATCGTTTTGCAACCACGGAGCGCACCCAACATCGCATTAAATTTCAGACAGACGATTTTGGATTTTGATAAAGAAACGTTGTTTTTTCGCTGTTTTTGGAGCGTAAAAAATAATCATTACAAATAAATACGAAAAAAAGACGTGAATTTGTTATTGTGAAGCCACAAAACCAGTAAAACACAAAATGAAGAATTTACACAAATTGTTGGCTTTCGTCGGGATCACGATGATCGCAACACCAAATGTAGCCGGGCATTTGAATCTATTTTTAAATCAACATGAAGTGATGCGTTTATTGGGTGAGTATTGACAATAGCAATCATCGCATTTTTTGTTGTTTTATGTAGTACATTATTTCTTTAACGCGTCATTTTTGAATGACGAAAACATAAAAACACAAACCAACTAAATCGTTGTCAAATAAATTGAAAGGAACTGAAAATTTGCTCAAGTAAAGGGAAATAATTATGGATGTAGCGTGTTGACAAGACGAATAGAATAAGAGACCATTTTAGCATTTCATAACACTTTCCTCATTTGATTTTATTGAGTTAAGCATCCACACGTTGCCGTTGTCATTGAATAAATTGTTCCGAATGACACCAAATTCTTCTTAAAACAAAAACGCAAAACCTCGTCGTCAATAAAATAAATTTCAACGATTGCCATAAAATGATACGATTTTGGCTTGTTTATGGGATCATTTTGGTTAATAGAATGTGAATATTTGTGCGTTTAAACTATAAACCCGTCGAAATAATCGACACAAAAAGTCATAGTTTGGCGCGTTAACCATCGCATTTTTTTCTCCATCGTCTTCGTTCTGCTATTTTAAACTTTAAACTGATTCAAATTGCTGAGTATACATTTTTTTTAGTGTTGTTCGTTCATTCATTCGTCGACACTACCAACCGATTAGCCGAGATAAGACAATCTCAAGTAGGCGATAAATAGAGAGAAAGAGAACTCATGGAGAAGAACGAAGGAAATTCAATCATTGGAACTGCAACACACAATAACGAACAATGTTAAAGAGTAATGATTGAGAAACAAAATTGACACAGATGACACTTGAACACTTCTTATCGACACTATTATTTATTTATAATGGTGACACTTTATTTCATGGTTTCCCTTTTGCTGTAACTTTTTCGCTTCTGGTCAACACTTTTGAAATAATAATAATATAATTCAGGCGAACACCAATAATCTCAACTTTGTTTAAACCGATTAAGCAATCGCAACGACGAAAGGTGGCACTTTAGTTCGCTTTTTTTATATATATATATATTTAACGATGTGAAACAAAGAGGAAATGTTGAAAGAACTGTAATTGCTTACGATTGCAATCGGCACAAGACGAGAGAAAGAATTTATAAGAAAAAAGTAGAAATTGCTATTGAACAATGCATCCGGCAGCAAAAATGGTTAGCGTTAGAAAACCTCCATCATAAGCGCATTATACTCTCTTCAGAATAAGAACTGAAAAAAAAAATACGAAGAAACTTCATGAATTGTTCTCAATTCCAAAATGCACTTCACAAAGTATTAGTTTTACTTTAGTTTTAATATTTTAGTAAGTTCGTTCCTTTTATTACTCTATTTTCCTCTCTCTATCTCAATCGTTGGCTTTTATAAAAGTCTTCATAAAAGAACTTTCTTCTTTTGTGGTTTGTAATTCTGGTTGGCCAAATCCGTGAAAATGTGTCTTCGCTTTTGTTTTGCAAAACCAACAATAGCACATTAAAAACACAATCCTCGTTCCGAAATTGCTGGTTAGAGGTTTTTTTTTTCTTCATATAAACGATAGATGTGTGCGCTGTAGATATGTGCATGTGCGCTAGCTTTTGTTCCATCGTCATGAGCTCAAAACTAGATGACAGAGAAAAGAATAAAAAAAAGTATTAAGTTTCGAGCAATTGAAACGATATCCTTTGCTATGTTGCATGTAAAGCGAGAAGCTAGAAAATAGCATTTTATATGCGCGCATAAAAATGGAGACAGAGCGAGAGGAAAAAAAAACGAAATTTTAGCTCTTTGTAGAAGTTGGAAAAATAAAATCGTTTTTCCGTTGAAATGTCCAAAATACGATACTTTTATTTGAGTCTATTAAAAAGTTGACGTCGATGTGTGCAAGCAGTTTTTATAGACACCATCATCGCGCTTCAATTTCTGTTTACATACAAATTCATAAAATTGACAATTTATAAAAATTTGTTACTTTATTTTCTCTCTCGCTTCGTTCGCCGATGGTCGTTCACAAAATGAGGAAAAATGATCTTTATTGTTATTGCTTATTACTAAAATGAGAGACTACTAAACAGTCAACGACTTTGCTTAAAAAACCATAACATTATCTCTGGTTAGACACCACCAGAAATTATTATTATGAAGAAAAATGACAATAACCATTTAACAAGCTGCAGTTACGGAATCGAATTCATTTAAACAAGACAAAACACACAAATTTTTATATTCATTTTTCATTTTCGGCTCTTTTTTTTTCTTTCTTTTCTCTATCTCTCATTTTCTATCGATTCGAAATTCGTTTTGTCATTTGTTAGTTCATTGTGTATCTGTCTGTCTATAACTCTGCTTGGGAGGACGACGATGAATTACTATGAAATCTAATATCTTAACGACGATAAAACTGTAATCATTACGATCAGTCCTCTTGAGTTTATAGTATTTTTTGTCTGCTCATCGGGGGTTATTTTGTTCGTTTTGGGTTTTTTTCGGTTCGATTGGTTGTTCGTCGCGCGTATCTAACTAACCATTCAATTTACGGTTCTGTGTTTTATTTACCCAAATTTCTTGTGTTTTTTTTTCTGTGTTTGCTTTAATTCACCAGAAAAACGAAGACCAAGAAAGAAGCAAAAAACGAAATGAGAAAAAAATAAATCGTGGTAGAATTCAATCGCCCAAACCAATCTGACGATTATCGATAGCGACAACAACGGGGAGAGAAAACCACAAGAACTACACAACAATTCAAATCATCAGATAACGCAAAAAAACGCTTCGAGAGAAAGAGAAAAGAATACGAAAAATATTAACTCTTGTCGTGATAAATTTTTCTCAAAACGTGTGCTGGTTTATTTTTTTCTCGTCAAGCTCGGCTTGTTTGCTCCTTTTTGCCTCTCCATCCAATTGGCCGATACAAGTCTTGTTTTCGAACACTTATGAAATCAGCGTTTTTTTTTACTTCGCTTCCATCGTTTGTTTACATATCTTGCACTCAAACGAAATTATGAGAGTTGTATTATGAATATATGACGAGAAGGAGAAGAAAAAAAAACTACACACGAAAATCATACACAAGAATCGTTATCTGTTTGTCAACAGTTCGAATTATTGGTGTGTGTTTTTTTCTGGTTCATAATTTTTTTTTTCTCATCTGGTGAGATTGTTAGTGTTGCTTCATGTTTTGCAGGCAATTTAAAAATTGAGCGCGCTCATTTTTCCGAGGGCTAAATTGTTTTATATCTTTTTTTTTCTTCTCCGCTCTAAGAATTGCATACAGGCCGTGATTTTTTTCTTCTTCTTTCTTCCTATTTCGTATGAAATAAACAACCGTACGGTAGTTGGCTTGTCGCGAATGCATATCACAGTTCTTGTTGGTGTGCGCGCGAGCGCTTGCATATTCGATAATTTCCAAGTTAAGCACAACGAAATGAGCTGGTAATATACAAAACAAGGCAATGCAGACGATTCCGTTTGCCAATGCAAGCAATGCTCCCAATGTGTACACACTCACCAAAATGTACATACGATGTGTATAGTTTACTTCGTTCGTTCGTTTTTTTTTTTTATTTGTATTTTTATGGCTTGTGAACCGTATCATAAATCATCTAACGAGAGCAGTTTACAACGAAACGAAAAAGAAAGAAAAATAAAACAATTTTTTTTCTTTCATTCTGTGTACACACAGTGTGCATAAGAAACAACACAACAAGACATGATCGAACTGAAAAATGAGAAAAATATTGAGAAGAGAAGAAAAAAAAGTCCAAACGAACGAACGAAAAACGAGCACGTCCAAAGGCAATATCCAAGAGAGAAACGAAGAAAAGAACCCGAGAGCAGGACAAAGAAGGCGAAAAACGCTGTGTGATATGTCTTTTGCACAACAAGCAAATGGGCCCAAAGAATATAGTTAAAGAGATGTAGAATGAAGAAAGATTGAAAAAGAGGAGGAGGTGAAGAATGAACAAAAAACTGAAGAAATACTCAATCAGCGGGAAATGATTCGAACAAGTTAACGATATAGCGCGACTTACAGCCTCAATATGTATATAGAATACATGACCAAACAGAAAAATGAACAGAAACAAACGAAAAATAAAATAACAAGCTGCATGCACATTTTCGAATCAACACAACAGACCATGTGGGTACATGTAGTCGGCGAGAGGTGCAGAGAGTGTGTGTGTGTGAGAGAGAAAATAAAGGAGATGTGTGCTGCAGAAGCAGCACCAGCAGCCGGGCACAATGCATATTCCACATTTTAGAATTTCTTTTTACCATATATTCACATTCATGTATGCACAAAATGCCAATGCTATCTATCCAATCTTTGGTGCAAATGAGCAGCACGCATATTTTCCGTGAGTGTAAGCGCGCGAGCGCACACTGCGTTCACCAAGCATTCGACTGTGTACATTTCTGCTCTTTTCTCTCATTTAAGAGTAAAAAAAAACACGACAACGACAACGATGATGATGAAGAAGAAGAAGAACTGAAAAAAAAGACACAGAGAACACAACACAAAGTTTAGATGTTCTTACTGTTATTCATTCTTGGTTGTTGTTTTTATTATTTTGTTTTCTTGTTGCTTGTTCCTTTGCACATATCCATCCTTCTCAATTTATTTGTCGTCTACTGCTCTTCATCATCGCGCTCCAAAACTACACCACATCAAAAAAAAAAAAAAAAAAAATCGGGAGAGCTGCAATATTGAATGTACACAAGTTGTGTGAGTTATTTTTATTTCCACAAATTTTTAGTATGCATTCAATATGTAGGACGTAGGTACATATAACATAACGTACGTGTTTTATTTGGTTTCTTTTTTTTTCACTCTCACGTCTCGTCTCCTTTCTCTCCACCTCTCCCACATTTCGACGATGCAATCAATTGACGGCCCGGTGTTTTCTTAACTTTCTGTGGCATTTTTTTCCTCTCTCTACACTCTCTGTTGTTTCTGTCGTAATTTTCATTTCTTTCGTTTTTTGATTATTTCTTCATAAATCTTCTTGTTGAAATTTGAATAAAATTTATTTTCATTACAGAATCGATTTGAAAAATTACGACGATAATAAATATTATTGTTGGTTTTTATTTGCTTATTCTTCCACTTTACCTCCTCATTCGCGCCCATCAGCCACTTTAGAATCAAACCAAACAGTCTCGTCTTGACTTTGACTGAACGCTGCACGCTGCGTTTTTTTTTTCTGTCTCATTTATCGTCTCTTCCTCTTTCTCTCTCTCTCCATCTCTCGATCGCTCGCTCTCGCTTTCTCGCTGCTGTGTCGATCTATCTCATCATCATTCACCTTCAGTTTAGATAAATTGTTTTATTTTCGGTTAGCAACCTGAACACACATAGAGATATACATTTGATGAGTATCTATCTGGCATACGTTTACGATTGTGACAGCCGATTTGTACGGTGTTCGAACATAAGTTATTTGTTTTTTACCTCGTTTAGAGATAGATGTGTTTATAAATCCAGATATAGAGAGAAAAATGCATCATACACCGTGGTCGTAGTCGTCATCTCTTCGAGACGTTTTCATTTCACGTCTCACTCTCATGTGAACGGGTTGAGGTGGAACAAGACGAGGCACAAAAAAACCGAAGTGTTTGTTGCATTCGTCTTGGTCGATTTTCTCTACTTTAAATCTCATTTACAATGTATTGTTTGTGTACACGATATATTCGTTCTGACAAAATCGTTATGTAAACAACAACGTGCTCGATTGGTCTCGATGTGCTCGTTTGTATGCACAGTCATTCTTGCATGGTACATGTACTTAAAACCGATCGAAAGAGGAGAAAAAAAACCAAATTTTGAAAACAGGTCTAGTTAAAAGTCCGTGTTTTCTTTTTTTTTATTATTTCAATCGTGTTCTGTTTTGGTTGTTTAATTTTTTTTTCTGCTTCTTCTTATTATTATATCGCCTTGTTGTTGCACCGTGTGTTTTTTTGAAACTCTTCTTCTACGTCTTAAGCCCGATACAAATTTATTTAATTTAACGCATCCACGAAATGATCGCTTCGCGTATAAATATGTGCATTTCAAATCTAAAATGGACAAAATGCTTTTGTAACAAGATTCGATCGTTTTGGTCGTTGGCCGATTGAAGAAGAAAAAGAGAACTCTTTCTCCTCGTTTCAGACAATTAATTGTTTCTTTTTTTCCTCTCTCTCAATCTCCGTGTGCTGTGTTAATACACAATGCACAATATGTTTCCACTTCCCTTTTGGGCTAACGAGGCAATCTCGATGCAGCATACATGTAGTTCGATTCACGATATATGATAATGATTTTAACGATATTTATGTACATGTATATTTTCGTGCACACTCAACAGTGTTGAGACTCTTAACTGCCAATCAATTCAAGTGTTAAGCATGAAATGCAACTTCTTTTATTTTCAATTTTTTTTTTCTTGCTTATTCTGTTGTTTTCTTAAACTTCGCCTTTCAACAACAAAAACAAGAGAAAATCAAACAACACCAATACAAAATGTTTCCTTTGAATTCCATCTTGAAAATCAATGAGGAGTGAGTGTTATTACGCATTTTTTTCTGCCTTCGACTCGTCCCTCTTTAAATAATGATGAAATATGCAGACCAAATCGAGCATTTGCAATCGATTATGATGATGAGCAAATGTTTATTGATTTTTCAGCTCTATCTGGCGCACGTTTTTCGATATATTGTCAGTTTTTATTCCCCATTTTTCGCTCGTCATTTCTCATTTTCTTTCGATTTCTCTCGCTATCGCTCGCTCGTCATGTTTGAGCAAATATTTTGACATGGAATACATTAACAATGACGACGATTAAGGCTGCAAGCAAGCAAAAAAAAACCAATAAAATAACGAAAACGACCGTCTATGTCGACGAAAAGATAGATAGGCAAACGATAAAGACGAATTGAAATGCAAGCATCCAAAGGGCAAAAATTAAGCCACAAGATGCTGATGAAACGTTGCCAACAATTAATTTATTCCGAAAAGAGCGTTTTAATGTTCGATCTTATGATATATACGCTTTTTTTTAAACAAACATGTTTAATGCTGGAAGCCTAACAATCAAAACAAACAACGAAAAACGAGCAACACACACACAGCGAGAGAGAAAGAGCACGGAAAAACTTATTCTTCTTGTTGCTGGTTGTCATTATTGCTGCTGTCTTACTCGCTCTCTCTCTCTCTTTTCTTTCACGCTCATCACGTTTGCCTCAAAATTGGCATTTGTATGTTTTTAAGCCAGGCTCACGAGTATTTTTCAATTAACTGAAAATTGCTTTCATTAAAGTTGAACAGCAAGTAAAACTTTTCCACGCACACACTCAATATACAACACACAAATTGGGTTTAATTTATTCCACCATCAACGTCTCTGTTCGTTGCTTATTGTCTATCTCTTTCACTCGTACTCTTCAGAGTCGCTGATTTAAAACGCAAGCTTCAATGCTGAAAATTAATGTTTCCACTTTATATTTTCCCAACGAACAACGAAAAAAAAAAAACAAATCATTTAGATTGAATCGTTTTTTCCCTGCCCTGACTAATTCCAGCAGATCTGTACAAATGCGTTTATGTGTGTATGGGGCTTAGTGATAATTCCAAAACATGCATTTATAAACGCGCGCTGTGACATCGTAACATTAACCCGCAGGTAAAAGTGGCAAAACTTTTAGATTTTTCAAGTCAACGAGCGCGCAAACAGCCAGAGCAGTCGAGCGAGAGAGCGGGAGAGAAAGAGAGAGAAATAGGCCCAAATGTTGCTCTCCGGCTGTGCTCAGGCGCTCGCTGCGGGAAGCCACAGAAAAAGAATGCCAGCACTGCATAGATAATAGAAAAAAACGGGCTCAACAAAATGAAAACATTGACATTTTTGATCAAACAATATACACAAAACTCGATCTCTCTTTCGAATCCGAAGTTTTGTTGAAGGCATCGTTTAAACCAGCCCAAAAATGTTCGGAAGAACACAACAACCAATTTGTGCGGTTTATGCGTGTTAAGCAAACTGCATTGCATTGCTGTGCGCTGTTGTGTGCACGATAACGAAAAATTGCCGTTACAAAGCGAGAAATAAATTTAATTGGTTCGAGAATCTCATAAAAGTTAATTAAGGAAAGCACTTGAAACAATTTTCCATTCGGTACGAACGAATAGAGAGAGAGAGAGAGAGAGAGAGAGAGCGAAAAAATCCCATGATATAAAATGGTTATGTGGCTGAAATATAATCAAGTGTAGAGTATAATAATGCCATAATTCACATTTTTACTGTTCAGCAGTTCAAGCGCAAATGACGGGGAATTAGTATTCAGATTTTAAACTGCGATAATTTTCCTCTAGATGTTGTTATTAGGCATTAAAGTCACTTTTATGCAACGTCCCGTGCCGCCGCTGCCGCCGCCACTGAACAGTAAAATCCCTATCAAAAATTGGAGCAGATTCAAGATAGTTATTCGGTTGACTTTACACACAAATATATCGCTACTAAATGCACATGTTCTATTATTCATGAGGCGACAATTCGTATAGCCATTCAATTTGAAGACGAATGAATTGATGGTAAAATTGAGGGGTTGCCGGAGTTTTTGCGCATTCATATTATTCAAGTTGGCAAATGACTTTGTTGCTTGTACGTAGTTACTGGTGTATGTGTGACTCACACCGATTTTTATGAGGTGTACATACATTTTGTGCATGTATTCATCCAACCCATCATCAAAGCTAGTTGATAATCATATAAAATACAAATTATAGAGCATTTGCCTCGTTTTCGTTGTCGTTGACGATGTATTTTATTGAACATTAGCCAACATCAAAATCTAACAATGCATTTTATTTATTTACAGGTCTATCCGCCGAGCTCTATTATGTTAGAGATGGCCTTGTGAATGAATATGCCTTACATTTTACGGTTCCGGTGCCGGGGAATATACACGACATCACTTTTACATGGCAAAGTTTAGCAGGAAGACCGGTAATAATTGCATTTTTCTTCTTCTTCTTTTTCTTTCGTTTCATCTTTATTTCAGCAATAATAAATCAATACACTTCATCGACAATATGTACTACCATTATCGATGGCACCGTGTATCGCACCACATTTATACTGACTCCTCGTGAGAGTGGCTTGTTCACTTTTTGTATGTGTCGCTATAAAATACTCACTCACTTTATGCGGCGCAATGAAACCGTACACCGGAGACTCTTATTGCTCGCGTACAATGTCTTCGCCCCATATCTCATACATAATTTTGTACATGAACAGACAAGACACACTCACAGAGACAGACATATGTGCGTATAGCATTGGCATTAAATCGAAGACAAATCTTTTAAGTGTTTCACTTAATCGAATACAACCGACCACTTTTCCACATAAATCAGTGCAACGATAACCGAGAAGTGAACTCTCGCACTCGAATACACTCTCTCATGGGGCAAATCGAATGCATTTATCAAACAGTTAATTTAAAATATATCCGAATGATGAAGATAAATTGCCTTTTGTAGAACATTTTCAACATTTCTGCTCTCCTGGGCCACATGATTATTATTGATTGTGAGAATTTTTCATTTTCTTTGATTTCCACTCTCCGTCTACCTCTCTCTCTTCCTCACAGACAATCTCAGTCTCTTTTGACCAATTTTTTATATTTTGTTCGTTTGATTGCTTTTGACAACATCTTGATTGAGGTTTCGATTAAGGATTAACATAATTTTGTCCGCTTTTGAAGAGAGTAAAATGTCAATTTTTTTTTATAATTGATTGAATTTTTTATTTTCAGTTACCATACAAAATAAACATTGAGTCATCGGATTTGACGGTTCTGCCACGTCCAACGATGAACATTTCACGACTTGGAAGTATCCCAACCGACATTGAAACCTTTTCGATTGATATGCAATGTTCGGGCTTGCGATCGGCTGAAGTAGATGTTACGATAACGATTGAAGTTACGCTTAATCGAGCAACCAACAATGTTACCGAATTAGTATTTCGACGCAAAAAAATCTGCTTGGAAGTGTAAGTATTACATGTCTTGCCTGTCTGCTTGCTTTTATCCCAAGGCATTTTACCTTTTTTTCCAATTCAATTCCGATATCAATTTACCTTTTTGACTTATTTCATTATTATTATTATTATTTTTTCTTACCTTCTTTCCCTTGCCGGTGCATATGTATGCAGTGAGCCTACCGAAAAAATAAGCAACACAATCGATGATCCATTGCTACTGGAAACGATGTCAGTCATCGCACCAACGGGCTTATTGACACTGATTATTGGTGGCGTTTTGGCATTAATGTTGGTGCTCATTTTAATTTCCATCGCATACTGTGCCCGAAGCCCAACAAAACGTGGTGGCCATAGTCAACCACTTCGTACATCATCGTTTCAACGCTTACAAACTCATGCACCATCGGCACCGCCATCAATCGTTTTTCCCCCAGCCCCACCAACATCGACACTACCACGGAGCGAACGGATCAACGAACGTACCGGCACAAATACAATCGATGCAAAGGAATTGCTTACAATCCATAGATATCGTGTACGCTTATCAAAGGTTTTGCAAGAAGGAACATTTGGACGAGTTTTCCGTGGCACTTATAATGATGAACAAGAGGTTTTAGTTAAAACGGTTGCACAACATGCAAGTAAAAATCAAGTCTCATTATTGCTCAAAGAAGGCACTCGTTTGTATGCTGCATCACATCCGGCAATTTTACCGTTGCTCGGTGTTTCTATTGATGACATCTCGACGCCATTCCTTTTATATGCTGCATCAGCCGATACAGTGAATCTGAAGCTATTTTTGAACCAAGAACCATCGTCACGTACATTAACCACCATTCAAATTGTTATGATGTCATACCAATTGGCGGTTGCATTAGGACACCTACATAGTCATCAGGTTTTGCATTGTGATGTTGCCGCTCGCAATTGTGTGTAAGTAGTTTTCAAATCAAAGAGAAATTTATCGAATCAATTTTAACCTCTTTTGAAATAGTTCAAAGTAAAATGAAAACAATGACAAAAATGAGAAGTAGTTGAGTTAATTTTCTTTGTATTTTTCTTTCAGTATTAATGAACAACTTCAAGTGAAATTGACAGACAGTTCGCTGGCCCGAGATCTATTCCCCGAAGACTATAGTTGTTTGGGCGATAGTGAGAATCGGCCAATCAAGTGGATGGCGCTAGAAACATTGCAGAAGAATGAGTTTTCCGAAGCATCCGATACATGTATGTAGAAATTTCGGTTTTGTTACAATTTAAACGATTTTCAATGAAAACATGAAAAATGAACATATTTTTATTTCTATTACTCTCAGGGGCTTTCGGTGTTCTCATGTGGGAATTGTGCACATTGGCTCGACAACCATACCAAGAAATCAACAATGACGACATGGAACAATTCTTATCGGAAGGTTTTCGATTAGCACAACCGGTGAATTGTCCCGATGAATTGTAAGTATTGAAAACATTTCGTGATTTATTTTCAATTTTAAACATTCGTTTGAATGAAATTGATTGTTCAAAACAGAGAAAAGAAAGTGCCATGATTCAAGATTCTAACAAATTTCGTTTAATTTTCAGATTTACAATCATGGCATATTGTTGGGCGTTGTTACCACATGAGCGGCCATCGTTTGGTCAACTTAAAGTGTGTCTACAGGAGTTTCACAATCAATTGACGCGATATGTTTAAACCGATGAAAAAAGAAGAAGAAGAAGAAGATGTGTTCATTTCTCGTTTTGTTGATGTTGATCGTAAATGTTGTGTTATTTCGTGTTGGAACAAAGAAAAACAGTCATATATACTCATAAGTAGGAATGATAAGTGCTTTTATATTCAAAGCGATTGTGGGAAAGACATTTTAAACTTTACCAATTGAATATCCAATAATTACTCAACCCATTCGGAAAAAGTATTCAAAACGATAAAGAAATTCAAGTAAATTTAATGATATTCAAGTGCTTGTCGTACAAGCAATTGCATGCCAATTTAAAACGCCTGAAGGAATACATTCATTATTTAAACGAAAAACAAATACCGCCAATACAATAATAAATCTACTCAAAACATTTTAAACCACTCGAAAAATGATCAAAATAATTTATATAGGCTATATTTGTGTATGATATTCGATATATAACTGAGAAATATTTAAAATTGTGTCTATTGGATCATTGGAGCCCTATAATCGATTTTGAAACTCGTATAAAAAATGAATTCAAATATAACTGGCAACCAGTTAGATATTTTAGCTTAGCTTATAAGAAAAATTTACATTTAAAATGACATTTAAACTACTATCGATTCTATTCACGGGCCCTCGAACAAACATCGGCGAATTTTCTTCAAAGCATAGTCAATTTTTCTCTCATTCGCCTCAAAAAAGACACTGCGAATCAAGTGGTCATACATGTTACTTTTTTTCGTAAAGAAAAAAAACAACAACAACAAAAACCCAAGAGACTGAAAAAAAACATTACGGATATTTTCGATTTTAAAAAAGCGATGCAAGTTTGTTTTTGAGAAAAAAAATGTTTTTTTTTTTATTAATACATTCGATACCGCGATGTGGCAATAACAATATTTATATGTAAGACACACAAAATAGCGACTCTGTATCTGAATCCATTAGTCTTATAACAACAAGTTAACCTCTGTATATATTATTATTTTATTTTGTAATTGTGAATATATTACGTGAATATATTCGTGTAATTTTATAAAAGAAATCAATTTATTTTATAAAAAGCATAATCAAAGTTTTAATAAAAAAAAATGGGAAACATCACATTATTTAAAAATCTATAACCAAAAAACAAGCGACTTTTTATTCATTCTGCAGGTGTGGCAAGGTCTTGTATTTTCCTAGTATCTCTTTTATGTTGTCTTTAAATTGACATTCGGATCGGAAAAGGGTCAGGATCTGATGAAACTCGATGATGGTATACATTTTCTTTTTATCTTACCATTAGAATCAATACTACGTTTTAAAAAATAGTACTTTTTTCTTGGTTGGTATTCTTTTGAATCTGTACGTGTCAGTGGTTGTTCTGTGAAGATGATTTATATTGTAACTTAGTAGAGACTTGAATCTCTAATTAAAGAAACGTTGCGTGAATGCTTCATATAGGTAAATTGAACTGAAAGACTTGCATTTGGACTAAAACTATATTAATCCGAATATGGAATATTTCATGGATGTACAAATCTTTTTTTCAATCGATTCACTTATGTAATTTAGCCAATTTCAGTATTTCTGTTATTTTAGCACTGATTTGGAATGAGATCAGTTTCGGTCATGGTTTCTATTGTTATAAAATTCAATTGGTATAATGACTCATACATGCAGCATTGATATTCAACGGATGTATACATTCAATGAAAAATTATTGTAATTACATTTCAGCGTTAAAATCACAGAATGTTCTGTAAACATTTAAGTATTAATTTCGAAGAGCATTAAAAAAAAATTCTGGAACAATAACTTATTTATTCATAATAACATAAAAATTCTTCGTTTAAGCCGTTCAAATCAGAAGATTTATTTACATCGTCAGCTAAATAAAATAAACAAATTCACGTGGCAAATGAAAAAATGACTTTTCCGTTGCAGTATCAATACCATTCAAACAGCTTTTGTATTGTGTTGAAGTATTAACCATTTTTGCATTCGTATTGCTTCGACGAAGCTCTGCGCTAGTAGGAATATTCTTAGCTCGCCGCGAATTATGAACTGAATTTGTATTGGAATCATCATTACAGTTTCATCACTCTAAACACTAAGAAGTGCTCTCACCACTTGAAATAATCTTATTTTCTAACGACATTTGATAAAATCATTCGCGAATATTCCATTGGCCGGTTCAGTTTTGTGCATTTTTTTAAATAAATTTTTTTTTTTCACACATTTTGAGTTTTTTCAAACTGAATTTTAACGGTAATTTGATTTTTTGTATTTTTTATTTTTTATCAATACAGATTAATTTTTTTTTAACTTTTGTGGTATAAATAAAAAAGAAAAAAGAATCGAAAATCTACTAAAGACCTAAGTAACTAAAGTAATTAATTTTTATATAGAAGTGAAAATAAAAAAGTGAATAGAATATCACCATATCGATTGTTCGAGTAATTTATTATCATTAATAATTTTATTTCAACCGTAAAAAGCAAAATTGTGTAGGCTAAATATCCAGACAGAACATTTTGTATTGTTTATCGGTAAAAAGATTAACGCTTATCTTCTTTATTTTTGATAAAAATAAAAACATAAAGTGCCATTATCGAAAATTCGCGGTCTATAACGGATAACGGATAACGGACAGCATTAAGTACTATTCGTATTTCACAAGAGTGCACCTTATTGCAAGCACACGTCAGGTTTGCTCTGTTAGGTGGGTGTACAGACACAAAGCCGCATGTTCAATATACTTAAGTGATTGCGAATAGTATACTATTTATATTGAGATAGTATAACACAGCGAGTTACACTTCTAATTATACATATACGCGCTATTTTCAAAGTATTTTCATCTTCATATTCCACTGCCACATACACTTGTTTATGATTGCAATCTAATACACTAAGATACGTGCACATTGTAAACAATGTCTTATTTTACGTTATTTTTAATTCGATATTAGAATTTGTTTGAATTGTTTTCAAACTTATGAAATAAGCAAAACATACCATATATCGAGATTCATGAATAACTAAATTTATATGAAAGTTTATTAGATAAATCGTGCGCGATTGAAACAGATTTATCGATTTGTGGTAGCAAACAATCAGATCGGGATTTGAATTCTTTTGACAGACGAAACATTTTTTCTCTTTCGCTCGCAATAGAATTTTTACTTTCACTTTCTATGTACTTGCAAAATAGTGCTTTCTAGAAGAGGCGCATCATAATAGAGCAATGCATATGACTCATTTTATAGATTTATCATTGATCATTTTTAAAATGAAATTGTAGGCACACAGCCAAAAAATGATTGAATGAAAATTTATTGTAGTCAATTTGGAAAAAAGTAAACTGTATTTATAATTTTTTGAAGCTATAAAATATGATATGACAAAAAATTGAGTTCATAGTGTGATTAAGTTAATTAATTTTCTTCACATTATATAGGTAAAACATGGATTACATTTCTATTTTTTATTTGCTTATGCCTTGCTGTGTATTGGCATTTCTATACAAAATTGGATATTATTGTTTCTTCAAATACCAATTTCGATATTGGAAATCGCGCGGCATTCCGCACGAAGACCCCATTATCCCGTTTGGAAATGCCAAAGAAATTGGTGACACGAAAAATTTGGCACATTTTACCACAGAACTGTACAATAAATACAAACGGACTGACGCTGATATTCCTTTTATTGGCGCTTATTTCGGGTGCAGTCCTTGGGCCATAATCACAGACCTCGAATTGGCGAAAAAGATTTTGACTACATATTTCTCTAATTTCAGTGATCGAGGTATAACAAATGCAATTCTACAGTATAATTATAAAAATTAACATTAAAATATTTAAATGTAATAGGACTTTACTATAATGACGTTGATGATCCATTGACCGCCAATTTGTTTACATTGGATTTTCATCATTGGGATCCTTTGCGCAGTTCAAGTACGCCAGCATTCACACCGCTCAGAATGAGATCGATATTTTCTGCAATTGTACCTATTGCAAGAGAATTATGTGTGTGTCTTGATAGAGAGTTGGACAATAATGAATCACTTTCAATTCGAGAATTTCTGGCATGCCTAACTACAGATATTATTGGAATCTGTGTGTTTGGCATCAATTGCAATAGTTTAAACAACCCAAATGCGGAGTTTCGAAATTATGGTCGAAAACTGTTTGAATCTCCAAGACATGGTGTTTTTATTCGTAGAATTCTGGACGAATATCCCCGTATTGCTAGAATGCTTCATATCAAAAAAATTCCCGACGATATTTCGGCATTTTTTATAAGAGTTATTCGCGAAACCATTGAATATCGGGAAAGGAATGGAGTTCAAGAAAATGATATTATGGACCTCCTAATCAGTAGGAAAAATGAAAGGAAACAGGAAATTGGGGAAGAAAAAGCGTTTAACGAATTAGCTTCTCTTGCATTCGTATTTTTTCAAGGTACAATATTCACTTTTTGATTTCTCTCATACAATTTCAATACCAATTTAATATGACTTTTATTTGCATTCCATTTAACATTAAGCCGGCTTCGATAGTTCAGCTTCAACATTAGCATTTTGCTTATTTGAGCTGGCGAAAAACAAAAACATACAAACTAAAGCAAGGGAGTCGATTAACGAACATATGCATAACGAGGAATTGACATATGAAATGATGGAAAAAATGCCATATATTGATATGGTATTAAAAGGTAATTACCGCAATTATGTGATCAAGAACAAGAATTTTATTATTTCGATGTTATTTCAAATTATGAATAGAAACACTGCGAAAAAATCCACCGGCATCGAACATGCCCCGTGTTTGTCAAAATGATTTTCTCGTTCCTGGAACTAATACCGTCATTGAGAAAGGAACAAAAGTAATCATTCCGGTTTACGCCATCCACCATGACCCGGAAATCTATCCCAATCCAGACACGTTCGACCCAGATCGCTTTAATTCTGCAGAAGCGATGAATAATTTCCTTGCCTTTAGCAAAGGTCGACGTGATTGGTACATATGCAATATATAAATAACTTTAAACAAATTATATTTAATAGAATGACATATTTTTCATCCATTCCAATAGCATCGGAAAGCGGTTCGCCATGATGCAAGCCAAAATCGGCTTAATCTATTTGTTGAAGAATTTCGAATTTTCATTGGCTGAAACTATGCCAGAAGAAATTCCACTGATGATAAATAATGCGCTGCTCACACCGGAATATCTGCATCTCAATCTTACGGCAATAAGACCATAAAATTACAAAAAGGTCAGCTCGACGACTTATTCGCCAAAAATGTTCATCTTTGAATGTGATTCTTATGCATAAGTTATGTATTTTATGAAATTACACCAAATTTGCTCATATATTTTTATATTTATCATACTATATAACAGTTCCATCCTGATTGGAATCAAAATCATTTTTTATCTTAATCAAAGAATATTTTTTATTTTTCTTAAAAAATATCACTAATATAAAGATATCTAATCCCCATAACATAATATAGGTATATTCTATACTAATGTCACAAATAATATTTTTCGAAACTATCACAGTTTTTTTTTTATTATGACTATCTAATTTTCAATAAAATGATTCAATTTTTTAACACTTCGCTAAATGTGCTTGGATTTTTCAATGACTTGTAGTTGAATACGGTGCAAAGTGTGACTTTGGAATAATAGGAATTCTTTTTAAATAAAATTCCTACCATAAATAAATTTTATAAGATATTTTCTATCAAAATCGTGTATCGGCGGTATCGTATCAAATTGAAATTGTTATCATAAACTGGTGCTGATTTTAAGCTGAACATGGCAAATCTGAAGCAATTGTTTGGCTTAATTTCTTGTGGCAGAAATTCATCTTGTCCGGAATTTTAGCTATTTCAAAAAAAATCGATGACTTTCTATTATCAGTGAAAATAATTTTATCTTTATCGAAACGACCCGATTTCCGTTTTTTCCGAAAAAAAAAAAAACCAAAAAAATCACATTTGTTTAGAACGAAATGATAAACGACAATCTTGAAAAACCAAAAATTGGTCAACCTATCCAAATAAATTCCATATCGATAAGATCTTGTGCAACAAAGAAATCGATCAGACGTCAAACATTTTTCGAATAACAAACAGACTTGAAGTACGAACAGCAACAAGGCAAGTAATATGAGAGAGTCGTATGAAACCATGAAGATAATTATCATTTTCATTCAGGTAAAAAATCATTCAGCTCTTGTGTGTTTCTATTTATTCAACAATCACTTTATACTTTTATTATCTCTTTGAAATTGTATACATGTATGCTTTTGTTTTGCTGACTGCTTGATACCTGCACTTTGTCTGCAAATTCTTTTTTTTTTTTTTGTGTACTCATATATACATCAGATATATCCGTTTATTTGTTGTGTGCAACTTTCGTTTGAAATAATAACGAAAATGATGGAAAAGGACAGAGAAAAATCTCGGTTTCATAGAAAACATTTTACATTTTACTATATTTCCTCTGGCGAGAGCGTAGTTTTTTTTTTCTCTTTCAATAATTAGAATTGTGCAAACGTGTCTATTTTCAAACCACTGGACACTTTAAATCACATAATGATTTCTATCATTGCCCAAGGAACTATAGAACCTTTTTGCTGCGCAGCAGATATGCAATCATGTGCACATACGTATAAAATTACTGCAAGTAACTTTATACGTACCAGCATTTGGTTCATTTCAGGAGGAAGACCATTTTCCGTAAAGTAGGAAATTTTATTTCAAAAATTATGGTTATTTTCAATGAACATTTGTGACAGGTTGTAAATTGCTTTAAATTCAATGTGGTTCATGGTTTAATTGCTGTCTTCGAAGAAAGAAAGTTCTATTCCCTGAAGCTAAATTCAGAGGTTTAAAACCTTAAAACTTTAAAACTTTATAATTTAATTCAATAATCAATAGATAAATATTCACGCCACGTCTCGTGCCGAGCTAGAGATGAATAGATAGGTAGATAGATAACATATGGATAGAGAGAGAGGTTGACAAAGGAAGAGACTGAGGAAAAGAGAAAGAAAACGAAAAAAAAATGATTGATTGAGGAGTAGTCATTTCCATTTTATAGACACTGTTAAACGAAAAGACTTTCCAGGAAGGATCATGCCAGACGATGTAGATGTCGTAAATAGATTGAATATGCCCTTGAGAATTATCATTCAGTGTGAATACGGAGAAGAAGAAGAAGAAAACTATGGGAATGTAAAAATCAATCAGACACACTGTATGAATTGTGCATAAATTGTTGTATTCTAAACAAAAACACATTATACATGTGAATCTGGCGCCAATGAATATTTCCAAGTGTTTCCAATATTTGTTTAATTACTTGTGATTTGATGTATGAATGAAGTTGTTCATCAGCCCCTTTTAAAGTATGTGCAATCAAAAGCAAAAAAAAAAAAGATTATAAATTAAAAGTGCAATTGAAAAGTAAAACAAATAAAAGTTCAGTTGTGCACGCGGTGTGTTATTTTCCGTTTCGTCAATCATTGAATAACGTTCGTTATCTGTAATCGTATTCAATTCAAAAAAAAAGTATACGTCATAAAGTGTCATTCACACACACGAATCGTTGTGTGTCATGTGCGTCTGCGCTATGTTTACTATATTATAAAATCATATGACAAGTCAATCAAATTTTCTCAAGCAGAAGCAAAATAAATCTATATTTACAAACACACGACTCCAGTGCTATTTTTGTTTATTGCGTATTAAATGGGTGTTTTGATGTAGATCAAAAACCAAGCCAAACAAACTCAAACCAAATCGATTTTTCTTTTATTTATTTTATTTCAAACGAAAATGTCTGAAAGTGAACGTTCGGAACGAAATTATAAGCTGACTACAAATGTGGGAAAATTAAATTTAGACGAAGAAACAGCTGATGTTGCATTTATTTTCGAAAATGGTGAAGATAATGTTGAACGAGTGGTTGCACATAAATGTTTATTGGCTGCTGGCAGCCCAGTGTTTAAGCGAATGTTTTACGGTGATTTAAAAGAAGGCACCGAGGTGCCAATGGTTGATGTTTCAATCGATGGTTTTGCCGCTTTTCTGCAGTATTTCTATTTGGATATTGTGACATATAACAACACTGTCATTGGCGAAGTCATGAAGTTAGCTGATAAATACGATGTGGCTGGATGCATGGAATTGTGTACTCGATACTTGACACTGACTCTGTCAACACAAAATGTGTGCGGATGTTATGAGTTGGCATTGCTATTCGATTTGGGTCATTTAATTAGCGTGTGCGAGGAGAAAATATGCTTGGAAACGCAAAAGGTGCTCGAGTCCAGCTCATTTTTAAGCTGCAGCCGTCATATTTTAGGTCGAATTTTGCTAATGGATGGTTTGAGTTGCGATGAAATCCACGTATTTCAGGTATTTTAGCTATTTTCTTATGTATTTTCGAGATTCAAAATTTGAGTATTATGTAATGTGTTTGCAGGCATCAATGATGTGGGCCATGGAGGCATGCAAAAGAGCTGGAATCGATGAGAATAATGCCGACAATTTAAAACAACAACTTGGCAATTGCTTTGATTTGATTCGCTTCCCAGCAATGTCGGCTGAAGACTTTTACACTTGCATCGCTGACAAAGAGAATTTATTGACATCAAATGAAATAATGGACATTTTGTCACACTTGACAATGCACCGTCCGTTATTGGTAGCAACACGATTTGAACAAACTGCACGCAAAGGAATTCCTGCATGGACAAAAGACGATATTCAAATATGTGATCGACGAACATTGCCAAATTTGTGTCGCACAGTGGCTGATTTGCGACAGGATGTTGTAATGTTTTCGGTAAATGAACGAATTTTAGTGGGTGAAATTGCAATTAGCTGTTTCAAAGCTTTACACGATGATACCGATGCCGTCATCCGAACGGGTGAATTATGCATACGAAAAATGAATGAGAGCTCCGGTGAGAATCCGCAGAATGCAACATCAGTACAACGGGGCAGTCAAGAGGAAGGCAGCAGCATTGAACCGGATGTTATTTTACAACAAAGTGTAACCATATCAAGTACATCGTCGACTAAAATTCAGTTGTCAAAACCGATTATCGTTCAACCATTTCAATTATATGAAATTGAGAGTAATTGGGAATTGGAAGAGGGTGAGGAGTTGACATTGCGCACAGAAATGAATGATGAGGTGATGCTTGACGGTGGCGTTCGATTTCAATTTAAACGAAAGCCTGAACTTACTTATGACAATGTGACCGAAGGTTTATTATCACGATTGTATTTTAAGCAATGGTAAGCAAACATTCCACATTTATAAAAAGCATTTAGATGTGTCCCTAGTGCAGACATAGTGTAGCACATACACACACAGAAAGAAGAATGAAATATCCCACGTAAAAGCAATATTCTAGTGAATTTACCCCATTTAATACATATACATATATATATTTAGATACACACAAAGACATCCAAATTTTAAAGTAAATTTACTCTTTGTTGGTCCGTAGTACAATATGACATTCCCACATCTGTGTGAAAAGGCAAGTTTGTAACATTTCGAATGAGATAAAAACAAACAACAAAAATAATAATAATAAAAAAGCGAGTATTATGTATGTACTGCAAATAGATGTTGGCTGTCACAGTATATAATTATGATACTCATATATTTAGAGAATGTATTATTTTAAAATAAAAAGAAAAACTTTGAACAATAAATGGAAACCTGACATACACAATAAAATAAAAACCACCAACGTTACATTGTTTGAATTCATTTAAGAAATTTCATTGATTTGTTTTTATTATTTTTCAATTTGTTGAATAAATTCCAAACAAAATAGTACAATACAATTAATTTCATTTAGCTGCTCTACTTGGAGATGGTAAAATAATTGGTCTTTAAAGTTGATACGGTTTGATATTTGAACATATTGTGCTAGTTTTACGTTGAAAGCCTACATAGGTTGCTATACCAAAAAAATAAAAGGAAGAACTGAAATTTGAGTATACAAAAATAGATTTTGATGTAATTTCAGCGCTAATTGTGAGTGTTTTAAATACAATGCCACATTCGTGCTTGTTGTTTTGTGAATATAGTTTGATTTTTTTTAGGTATTAAAATAAATACAATCACTTCATTCAATAAAATGTAATAAAATATACAAAGAATTTTCATAGGAAGTTCTTTGAATCAATCCGAATTATTTATCATATAGTATTGAGCACCAACTATAAATTGTTGAGTAAGTCGGTCAGTCCCGTTTCTCTTTTTTCTTCTTCTTCCGTTCAATTGAATGAGTCCACGAATAATACAAATTACAACAACTAATAATTAGAAGGAGACTAACGATAAAAAAAAGTGCATGAGTTGAGAGTGTTGAAAAGGCAGAGAAGAACGCTTTGGTTTCAATTGCTCAATCGTCGGTTTCGCCATCGTTATCGTCGTTGTCTATTGAGTTACTGTCCAATGCCACGTTTTGACTAGATGAACGTGACACGGGAGCATCGTTGTAAATTTGATTTGCATTATTACTATTGTTATTGCTTTCAGTATTGTTCACATTTGCATTGCTATTCGATGTTGATACACTACCGCTGCTATTATTTCCACTTGCACTGCCAGCACGGGTGGTGCCTGAACGATTTCGCAACGAGTGTATACATGCCAGCATTCGAATCATAAATGCAGCTGGAACAGCTGGAAAATACATTTTACGGTTAAATATATGCTGTTCGTTGACCATCTCAGTTTTTGTGAGAAAAATTGATGTTCAGTCATAAAATAGATAGGTTTGGATCAAGGGCTTCCCAAGCCATAAGAATATTCGGATTCAATGGATTGAAAAATCGATTTTTCTCACAAAAGCCCCTTTCACAACACTTACTTATTGTGTCCTTTGTTTCTTCTAACATAAGTGCGTTGCGATTTATGAGCTATAAAAACATAATTGAGAGCACAAAATTAGTTTAGATGTGGTAAATATGTTCGAATGGATAAAATGAAAAGCTTACAGCAATTGATTTTTCTTTATCAAAACGAGAAGGACTTTCGTCGTCACCTTGACCAATAGGTGAGAATAGTTTGATGTCATAGTCAATGCCCGAAGTCGCCAAGTATGGAAGAGTGGGGTGGGGCCTGACACAATTCACAACATGGTTGTCACCTTGAACGTATAAAAATGGTGGTTAAAAAGTGTGAACATTGTTTATATAATTTAAAAAAAGTGATTACCTTCGAGAAGCATAACCAGTTCGCCAGTTTTTCGATTCCATGTGAATATGTGGCCACAATCAGAACCCGACATTACATAATCGTTCCCCCAAAATGTTGCCTCTTTAATCATAGTTCGAGCATTACGATGACCAGTATACTTCATTTGTACATAATCAAAAACAATTTCTTTTAATTCTTCACTTTCGTTGACCGCATTTTCAATCTCTTGCTCAATGGTTGCCGTTGTAATATTGCTCTTGCGACTGTCACCACTGTCATCATCACTCTCATCATCGGAATCATCGCGCACTTTTGATTTTCGTTCAAATGACATGGTGCGAGGCTGTTTGCCGTGCGTCGACAATCCCGATGGACCAGCCACAGTTGAATGCGATGAATTTCGTCGACTTTTCGGACTTGAATTTGTTGTGGCCGGAGCGGTGGCCGGTGCATTGCTTATTGGATTCGATTGCGATTGTGCTCCAAATAAATTTTCCAATTGCATGGTATTTGTGATGTCACCATCATTGGTTATCTCAGTGCTGTGTGAATTCAAACCGATTCGGGTGCGCGGGTCAGCTAACATTCGCGATAACACCTCTGTCATTCGATGCATAATTGTTGCTTGTAACTGGGGTCTTGCTTGGCCCAAATTATTCAAACGTGACATTTCTCGTTCGGGTCGAGCATCTGGCCCTGTATCACTCCAATCACCCCGCAAACGCAATCGACGCACCGGAGGCGGTGAATCCACATTCGACGTTTTTGATCGCTTACATTTTTCAACCATTGAATGGCGAATGTCAATACCCTGCGAAGAGAAAATATTATTTTCGTTAAGAACAAATTCGAAATTAAAAATGCGATATATACCTCTTTCTGAATGTTGAATAGATACAAATGATCACTTGAGTAGCTGACGAGTAGTTCACATTCATCTTGGCTGAAATTAACAGATGTAACGCGAAATGGTCGTTTCTCATAAGATGGTATGGTGAAAGCTTTGACAGGTATGGTGTGTCGGTCAGATGCTGATCCTGGCATCGAAAAATCAACCAATTGCAAAAATCGTCGATCGTATATACGAATGATTGAGTCGGAGCTACAATTTCAATAAAGATTTTTTCGTTAATTTTATGATTCCGTTATCAATTCGAATAGAAATGTGATAAAAATTTATTATACCTTCCAATTGCAATATAATTGTTTGATAACGGCGATAAACACATTGATGTTACCGCCGATGGGCTTAAAATCAAAATGTTGTCTTTACAACAGGTTTTGTGACAACGTGAGATTTGTCGGAGATCAAATAAGCGCACGGTTCCATCTTCGCCGCAACTGTAATTGAAAAATGTTGATCGAAATGGATGCAAGATTAAAAACAGAAATGTCACACTTTTGTGGCAACAATGTGGAGATCATTACCTCATAAAAGAATTTGGTTCAGTCGGTACGGTTAATACTTCACTGAAAATAAAAAGAATTTGGTAAATTCAAGTTTTTTGTTCTCTCAACAATAATAAAATTATACTAACTAAGTTGTCCCGCTACTATGACAGTTGAAATAATTCAAATTTGCATCGTTTGCATCGCTGCCATGTCGGTGTGGTGACTTTGATCCCGACGATTTAGCGTATTTCATTGATGCAGCCGTCGTTAATTCGGTGTACAATACAACCCCATCACCGGAACAGCTAACAATGCCACGATCGCCGCTTTGCGGTAAAAATTTTGCACTAAAAATATTCGCACGATGAGCGGTACTGTATTGCACAAGAACTTGTCCATTGAATGGATTTGTGACGACAATTGATTGATCATCAGAACCAGAAAGTAAGTATTGACCTGATATTTAGTAAACATTGAGTAAATATTGATATTGAGTAAATATCTGTGAATATTGACCTTTGTCATTCCATGATACCGTATTTACGCAACCCTTGTGCACTTTCAGCCGTTTGTAAAGACTAAGACTTTGTAAATAGCTCAAGCTGTCTATTTTAATCAATGAAATTAAATAAAAATAGAAAGTTTTTGTAAAAATTCATGTGATTTTGTTTTTATTTTCTCAAATGTTGTAAAATAAACACAACAAATGCGATTACATTGACAACAAATATCAGCTGCATGACCTAAATAAAATGTACAGTTTTTCATTTAAAAAAGAATACGCATTTTAATCATGATCATCAAATTAATTTTTGTGGTCTACATAGCTGATCGCCACCTTGAGTAGTTATTGTAGCAGACAGTAAAAGAAATTCTTAGATCATAAACTTATTTTTGGCACAATTGACAGAGAGATTTTTACGCAAAATTTTCGGTACGATTTTTTCATCATATATGATGAGGAAATCAATAGACGTGATCGTGAAAAAGGAAACACAGTTGAAATGAACAATTTACAAACAATGAGACTTATGTTTCAAAAATGTCGGAGCATCGCTGTGTTTGTGTACGTGAATGAGTCCGATTTGTGTGGTTGGCGTGATGGACGCACTCGTTGGACACAATCCAATACTTGGATTGGCAGCACCTTGGTAATAGAAACATACAGACCGCTTAATCTGTTTAGCTGAATTGTAAAAATGAGCCCGAATTTACATTCGATTTGAACGAAAATGCTCTCTAATTAAATTATCAATTTTAATGAATTTAAATTCTAATTTCAGGTACTCAATCAACGGAAGCAACAAATATAATCATATCAATGTCATTGCGATTTACACAGTCACATTCGAGTCAAGTGTGAAGTAATTTACGTAGATATGTCTTCTTTTATTTTCGAAGAAAAAGTAAATATTACACGTTTTACGATATTTTTAGATATGTGTAAAATCACGTGAAGTGTGTGCGGGGAGAATGGGACAAGTTCATGCTGATAAATGTTATCAAATTTATGTCTTGGCACGCGTTCACTTGAACATGTCAATTTTTATATGGAATACACGTTTATGGGGCGGTGAATCAGCGTTTTATGATCAACTTACCTTTGGAGCTCTTGACGAGATACGGTTGCACTTCATCCGAACCGAATAAAGGTCGACTGTTTAAATTATGAAAAACACTTGAATTATGATGACTTTTCATTGCAGACCAACGATTTGAAGCAGCCATCTACAAATCAAATAAAATTAAAAAATAAGCTCTCAATTTGAATTTGGTGTCGCTGTAAAAAAAAATGAAATTCTTTTGTTAACAACCGATCACTTCTTCTTCCTTCTTATTTAATACAACGAATGACGGAACCGAATACAGTGTAACATTGAATTACCGCGGCCAAAAAGACAATTTATTTGCAAAAATAGATGTACTAGCGCCTCGTAGTACAATTGCCATTGCGCATCGCATGAGCACCAACAATGAGCTCTCGTAAATGCATATACTTGCCATTGGCTTCGTCTTCTTTTTCTGTATTTCACCGAAAACGAAATCAGATGATTTTATTTTTAACAAAAAAAAAGTCCCACAAATTGTCAAACAATGAAAACCGATTTGCATGTTCGCACACACGATCTCGTTTACATAGTCTTTGTTGCGCGTGCAATACAATTTGAAATAAAGAAACGAATGAAAATACGATTGAAGCTATACCGACTGGTTTTATGTAAATAAACAAAGAATCTATATTTTTTTTGTTGAACATTTGAATGTTTATATTTGCTTGAATTTGATTATTCGTGACATTTAGCCATTAAGAAATAGTCGGACTCAACAGAGTCGGTTATTAATTTGAAAGCAATGTGAAACAGCCCGGTCAATGGTCAATTTGATGACATACCATCAAGTCCATTTCTTATCTTTTGCATAATAAAACCGAAATTGAACTCTGTGTTTTATTTTGATAAAACGAAAATAATAAAAGAAACATAGCAACACGCCATTCTCGAAAGATAGAATACAAGCACATAGACAAGGAGTCTTGTTCAAACTAGTTTATTTTTGCCGAGGGAAAGATCTTACCTTGAACCTATCGATTTATATTTACTGCGTGTGATACGAATTTAATAGTGTTTTCGCTGTGGAGTATTTGCTTCAAAACATTTTTGTTAAATCAATAACAGTCTCTGTATTTATGTTACGTTTTATATTTTAATTTCGATTATGGCACAAATTTCATTAAAATAATGATGAGACTTCTTTGCGTTTGTATTGCTTCCTTCTTCTTGCACAGTTAAACAATTTGAGGTAAATTAAGCACTTTATGATTTCTGTCTGAAAACACACACACATGCTTTCAACACCAATTCAGTGTGACTTCTATTTGCTTTTAATTTGACAAAATTCCACTTAACTCACAGTCATTGTGATGCGTAAATAAAAAAAGGAAAACACTTTTTTTTTTCTACGAACGACACACAACATCCATTGTCGGTCGTTTTTCGCTCGCTATTTTCCAAGTCACACAACCAACCATTTAGATTATGACGTTCTCAATCACACAAAACCAAATGGTTACAGCTGATTTTCGTTTATTTGCCTTCATTACATACAATTCACAATCATAGCATTCCATACAAAGACGACCAAACGTGTGGAGACTTTACAAACACTAATGCAATTTGTATATGTCAAACATGCTGTATTGCGATATGCTTTTCAGTTTCATAACTTTTTTGTTTATTTATTCATAAAATCAAAAGAAGCGTACTCATTTTATGTATTTTTTACCGTGGTTCTTTTGACACATTCATTCAAAACATTTGTTTGTTTGTTTTTTTATAATAATTCCATCGTCTTTTGAACGAATAACGACCGGTATATTCGAATTGAAAAAACGCGCAAATGCTGTTTGGAAGAATGCCCTGAAGTTGGTCGAATACCATTTATTTTAATCACTTTTTTTGGCTCAAATATACAGGGCATTTTAACGGTCTATGTACAGAACGATGTTTTATGCAGCAAAACTCGCAATTCGAAAGACGAGATTTATTTATTATTTTTTTGATTTTCTTACAGCATATCATGAAACAAGCTTCAACAAAAATACCACGTAAATCTTTACATCAACAGAACTAATGCCCATTACTTGGAATGGACAAACACTGTCATTGCTTCATTATAAATATTTGTTCTCAGAAACAAGATGAATTTTATTTGGTCCGATTTTTTGTACATCGATTGATAGAACATAAAATACTAAATGCGAACTTTTTTTCTTGGCTGGAATGAATTAAGTCTCTGACGACAACTGAGACTTTTACCGCACATTGTAAATACTTCTTCCTAAATAATGAATGTTGTTGAAAATCAAAAAGGAAAACAGTCAAAAACATTCCAGACAAAAACATTCCAACACATTATCTCCGAAATGAATGACAGATGGAATGCAAATGAAGATGAAAATTGCCATTTTCTCTTTCACTTAGCTTCCATGTTGAGCATGATTGACGGCATTTTTAACAAACCTTGTCTCCTTGTCTAAATAGCTTCGAGAAATTCTTCTTTCCCGTGCTGTCACGAAACTATAGTCAATGTAGTCAATTGTTTGAATTCTATAATTGATATTGTTAGGAATGTCGTGATTTTGCCAAAATAAAGTTCAATAGAAACATAAAAAAAGAAAATCAAGACAGTATACTCTATTTATGAATGCTTCCAATCGACATTGTATCTAACTCCATTGATGACTTTTTTCCAAGAAACTTGTGTCGACATTTTTGCTTACATTTAATTGTAATTGAAATGGTCACCAAGCGTGCAGCAAACTTCTTTGTAAATCTAACGGTACTGGTTTTATGAAGATTTGGTGTCTCAAATTTTTTGGCATACATGAATGTGGTTGGCACACTAGTTGAATTGTAACGATACCAAACAAACCTTTCTCATGAAAATGCGGTATTTTATGTCCATTAAATTTTTTACTGTTATTTGGTGGTTTGAAATCAAAAACAAACAAAAATCCCAATATTCATTTTCGTTGTTAATCGAATGCATAAATATTATTTTTTTTCGGAGACGATCGATCGAAATGATTTCAGGGAATTGACATGCTTCTCGTTCTGAAATGTTCATTTGGCATTTGATGTGAATTCGATAACAAATGTGTCTGAGTAAAATCATTTCGCATGAGAATCGAGTTGGGTGTTCATAATTTGTTTACTTTTCTTCTGCCAATTGTAAACAAATCGCCACATAAGCGGTAGTATTAAATTTCTTATTGTCGTGGGCATGTTCATTTCGATTTAGTTTTGTGTACGATAAAAGTCAAGTCTATTACGATGTGGTGTATTTAGATAAAATCTATTTATTATTCGACAGCTTAAGTCTTTTCAATTTACCATTTAATGGGTCCAATTGCAACATCCTGAAATAAATTCAATTAAATAAAAGAATCGACCAATACATTATTTGCACTGCAAATTTGCAATGTTTTTTTTATTTTACTCAAATCAAGTATTTGTAAGTATGTCAGTTTGAATACATTGGATCTTAAGGAGAAGTTGGCTTAAAGAGAACTTATTCTTCATAATTTTCTTCGTCGTCCTCGTCTTCTTCGTCTTCTTCGTCTTCTTCGCACTGCAAGCGTGAACAACAAAAATGACAATTAATTAATGGTGCCTCAAAATAATGTTGATTAAAATTGTTAGTTTTTTTACTTACTTCTGAACCCTCTTCGTAGTTTTCACCACCTTCTGCACCTTTCGGAGTGGTATCGACCTGAAATTACCGAAAAATGGTACAAAATATTAAAATCTCCGTTATTTTTTTTGCACCAAAAAAATGCTGTTTGTTCATAAGATACATACCTTTTCGAGATTGCCCGCCGCCATTTTTTCGAACTCGGCGATGTCGATAACTTTTACTTTTCCGTCCTTTTTGTCACCGACCGTTGTGACGCGGACCTGGACAAAATCGTTTTTACGTTTCTCCTCCCAGCAGGAGTAAACCGAGGAAGCTTTGAAAATAATTTCAGGTCCTTCGGACTCTTCCACCAACATCATGTATTTTTGCAGCAAACTGCTGCCATCACGACGCCACATACACATCTTGTCGTCGTTACGAAAGTCATCCGTCAAGTCATTTTTGAAAAGGTTGAGCTCAAAATTTCCATCTTTATCCGGCTGATTTTTGCCCGGAGTACCTCTAACTTTCTTGCCATCTTCATCAGAAACTGAAATACGCGAGATAATAAAAGTCACATCGAATCCAAATTTGCAAACGGGAAATATATGCATGATAAATACTTACATTCGTCTTCATCGTCTACTTCCTCTTCTTCTTCTTCCGACTGGACGTTTTTCCGTGATTTTTTAGGTGCGCGTTTTGGTGTCACTGGTGCGGACTTGCGCTTTCCTTTACCAGACGAAAATTCTGAATCTTTTTGCTGTTTAAAATATGCACGAAATTAAATTTAAGAGAAAAACACATGGAAAACAACGCAATTTTACTACAAAGTACAATTTACCTTTTCCGGTTGCCAATCTTCGCCAGAATCAGCGAATTCTTCTGGCTCCTCCATTTCTTCGTCTTCGCTGTTTTCGCGCATGTTCACCATGGCTTTACCAACGGACTTACGTGCTGACAATCGTGGCATTTTTTGTTTCTTTGCTAAACGAAAGAAATAAAACAAAAATTCGATTTCAGAAAATGTGCATTCAATTTCACAATAAAAAAAACTCCGACGCGACAGTAGTTCTAACACAAACAAAAAAATTATTTTAGCGAGAGCAACAAAAATGGTCAAAAAATATTCACTCCGATGACAGATAAGCAAAAATCACAAAATACAATTCGTAGAAATGCTACCGTTATACAACAAAGTCACTGTTTGGTTGTTTCAACTGTGCACAACACCAAGTTGGTGTTTTTGTGCTGTGCGAATGATTTAAGTCTACTGTTTGTTGCGCGTGAACACCGTTTTGGCAAAACAAATAATAATGAACAAAAATTCTTTGATTTCAAAATGAAACGAAAATTGATAACAAAAACACGGAAAAACGAGTAAAAATGCAAAACATTGAAATTACACTTACGATTTTTAACTTTCGGTTGGAAAAAATAAAATAATTTGTGAAATTCAGTGTTGTTAATTCTAAGTATTCTTGGTCTTTAGCTTATATAGCGAAACAAGTGCGTTCTTGTCGACGTCTGAGCTCTAAATGAGAGGAGAAGGGTTGTGTTCTAACAACTGTGCCGATCTGTGTTCACGGATTTTCGTCGTTCGATTTCGGCTCGTTCCGGTGAACAGATTCGCTCGTGGTGGCGCTATCTACCAATTTGCATACATGAGCAAATTGATCAAACAAATAGTTTGATTAGCTCACATTTACAATCTTTGGATACTGAAATTGATCTTAAAACAGTTGAAATACGTTTTTTTTTGCAAAAATAAACAAAAAAATTTTAGAAATAAATTGTCGTTTTGTAAAATTTATACTTTCAATGAATCCAATTTGGGTTTTGATAATGAGCAGATTTTTTTCTTCAAACTTCTGTTCGTCGTTCGAAATGAGTTCGTTTGTTTTCACACAGTGTCTGAATGGTTTTGCATTTGTGTGAAAACTGTATCTTTCAATGTATTTGTTGTGTGTTTGTATTGTGATTCTGCGAATGTTTTTGAACGAAAATGAATTCGATGTTCGCTGATTGACATTCTCGTTTCCAATCGAATTTAGTAAAACATGCAGAGTTGACATTTTGAATACCGTTATATTAGTTTGAACTTACAATACGCTGCACAATCAACACTTTACAAACTTGCCTTTTGATGCTTCTTTTCAATTCCCGTTATTCTCTTTCAATGATGAACGATGTTTGCATTTTTTTCCAACTCTTCCAATGCTTATTCTTTTTGTGTGTGTATTCCAGGAATTCTTTTACAATCTTCGACATAAGCAAAGGAGTGAATTTTATCCAAATTTGAAATAAATATGCAAAGTCTGTCCTTATGATGCTTTTTTTCTTCGTTTTTTGTAAGATTTCTCGTGATTTTTTGGTATCGCAAGCTATTATTATGATCACTTCAATTAAACAAAATGTTTCGTTTTTAATACTGATCAAAGATTATGTATTTTGAATATAGGTACAGAAAATATTCCAACTAAAAAGAGAAAATACGCAATCAAATGACATTGCAACAAAAATTTCCACCTTAACATAAATAAAATCAATTCAAAAAAAGACAAAAAAAATATTGCGGGTTTTAAAGTTTTTTTATTATTTTTTTTTAAATTTAGTTTGTAGTTTTACAGTTAAAGGTTGTTGTTTTTTTGGAACTTGAATTGTTCAATTTGCTCGACATATTTTAACAGATATATATGTTCTTTATGCTTTTATTTTGGTAATAAAATGTGTTTTTCAAATGTCATTTCATGTGTTGCACCAATGGATTAACTGATTTTATTTTCTTTAAATGTCCGCACGTATGATTCTACTGAACGAATGTTGAATTTTCAGCTAAAATTGAATACTTTTTGTAAATAAATACGTATGGCAAACCAAAGTACAGTAGCAACGCTAATCGAAATGTAAAATGGCTTAAGAAATTTACCGCTCTAATGTGAGTGAGTTTTAAGTTTTTGGTAACTTTGATGTAATAAATTCGACTATTTGAATAAATTGATTTCCTCAAATTCAGAATACTGATTTAATTGGATTGGTGAAGATTTTTGAGCGTTTGGCTACTGTATACTTGAATCATTTATCTATTGCATCCTTTTGCTTTTTTTACTTTATCATTGTATATATATAATAATAATTTCCGTGTGAAGTATCCTAAAACTGTATCGATTAAATACTTGCTAAATTGTATGACATTTAAACACTATTAATATGGTTTTTTGTTGTTGTTTTTGCTTCTGTCCATCATATTGTTGTTCTTAAATAGTTTTACTCAATTTTTATGCAATGATTTTACGATATTGTACTTTTTTAAAACACACAAATTACATACTAAAAAAATTTGATTAGTTTTTTTTGTTTAAATCTGGAAAATGTTCCTCCACTTTTCTTTGTTTCCACGTTAAAACTACTGGGACATAAAATTGGACATTAAAGAGATGAGTAAGCATCGAATGGGATTACTACGGGTAAAATTTGGTTGCTTTTTTTTGCCTTATAACAAATGAATGATAAAAAAATGTCGATGTTTTCTTATTTTTTGTCTGTATACGAATTGAAAAAAATAAGCCATTTTAAAAGTGATGCTCGATTTATGTTTGTCGTTAGAGTAAAATTTTTACTTCATGTGTTATATATTCGTATTTTTTGTTATTTACGAAGTCTTTTTTAAAAAAAGCAAAATTTCTAAAAAAATTTTAAAAGGTGGTTCAAATTTTTTTATAAGTCATATTTATTTCGATATTGTTTAGTCTTTGAATCAGATCGTTTTTGTGTGTATTTCAACTGAAAATGTAGTACTTTTGCAATAACTTAAGAAAAAGTCGAATTTAAATGCTCTTCAATTTGAATTACTTCATATCGTTTTGGATTCTTCAATTTGAATCATGTGCAAATGTGTGAGTGTTTTTTCCCATCTATGAATGTACTGATAGAAATGTGTTTGTAAAATATAATTTTCATTTAAATGTTATAAATACTGTGAATTTATTCTTTGTGTCAATCATGCTCTTCCACTCAAAACACAGAGATTTTTTTTACGTTGTGTTGTTGGTTCCATCTCTGTTTTATACACACTATTGTAAATATTCATCTCTATTTTAGATTTATTTCTTTTTTCCCCACCATTTTACATAATAATAAATGTAATAATATAATTAGAATAGCAAGTAACAACATGAATCTATTCATTTCTTTTTCTCTTATTTTCGTTTCATAAATAGTGTTAAAATTATATATATATATCATTTAATTGTGTTTAAAAAAAAATTGTTTCAAAAATTAATTGGATTTGGGCTGATGGCGACAAAATCGATCGATGGCACACATTTGTCAACTCTTTAACGAATCGAATAAATGTTTCATTTATGCTGTCTGTTTGTCTTATTTTAAGCACAAATTTGGAATTTGTATTTCTTGTCTGCGGTAAATATTCAGCCAAAACGAAACATCGACTCGACCCAAATACTGGACAACCTCTTATTAGCGGACGTTAGCATTTAAAAAAAGAAATAACAACGTTTTGCAAAAAAAAAAAACTAAAAAAATTCAGCAAATGATAAAGGATAATTGAAAGAGAAATGGATTATTGATTATTTTGCTCAATGAAAACAATAAAAAAAGGTGATAGAGAATGAGAAAGTAAAATGACCTACAGCAAAAACAGATGCGACTAAAGGCTATAAATAACAAATCGAAGAGAATCGGGTCTCATTTATAATTTAGGTATAAAACTGAAATGCATAAATGCTCCATGCATTTTCATTTCTCTACTTATGGTGCATTTTAGACGTCGTTACAAATGAACATCAATGTAGGGTGTGTAGGGTGGTTGTTATGTGCATGTAAATGGGGTTAAAAACGATACAAAAAACAAATTTGGATTTTATCGACTTGTTTGAAATTATGAATATATATTTTAATAGACTGATGATAGCTTAATTGCTACAGCAGAAAAAGTGTTGTAAATTCCGGTTCGAAAAAAAAGAAGAATTAAAGTCTTCAAAAATTGATCTTCGGAAGAGAATAGGTTAATTGGTTTGGAAAAAGTCTTTTCTCTTATTTAAGAAAAATGATAGTTACAAAAATTTCGTTTCGCGAATCCGATTTGTTTTTGTATGGAATGGCAGGTTAGTAAATTTTTTTCTTGAAAAAAAAAAACGAAAAGCTTATCCACAACAAACATTAAAATCTACACATTTTTAATGACAAAATTTGTTTGAATTCTATTTTTTATAATAACCACGATTTCGCTGAATACTGCACAAATAATTATGGAATTGAACACATTGCATCAACATCGGTGGCAAATTGGATCGATTTTACGCTGCATTTTACGATATCAAAATCAGTGTTCTGTGCGCGTTTTTACTAATGAATGATAAAATGAATGGGTTTTTTCTCTCATTTTCGAATTTCTTTAACAACAAATAATTCTTCTTTATACACAATATTAATTTTTTTCTTTAAATTTAAAATGTAAATATCTTTGGCACAAAACATTTAAAAATCGAACCGTCAATTTTGCATGCATATTTTTGAATTAAAATATCCTGATTTCTTTCATTTCTCATGTTTAAGTCGAAATTGGATTTTCTCGGTTTCGATAAATGCGACGGTTGCAAGTCTTAAAGTTTTTGTTTCGTCTCGTGTTTTTTTTTTGCTTTTCTATTATTCTTTTTTTTTAAATGAAATTAAATCTTCTTACATCAAATGACTACTTATGCTCATTTTTCTTCTTTTTTCTTGAACAAATGAAATAATCATACAAAAAAAAAAACAAACAGGATTTTGCTTTTTTTTTTTTAATTAAACGAACGAAAGGAGACCGAAATATTGAATGTGTATGTTGTGTGTATGTGTGTTAGTGGTCACATTATTTTGCTCAATTTAATAATGGTTTGAATTTAAATATGTGGATCGATGCCTTGACGACGAATGAAATCGTAACACAGTTCCAACGTTACGATTTCCAATTGATTTTGCTCGGTTGTTGGTAACTGGTGTTGGTCTCAATCTACTTTAAGATTTGTAGTCATCTTCTCTGTCGCCTACAGCGCAGCACAGGCATAATGATATCATCAACGCAAATATTTCAAACATTATAATGCCAGCTATTATCGCCAATATGATAAGCAAATGATTTTGCGCTTCTTGTACCAATTTTCCAGAACAACCCTACATATCACCAAAATGAATATCATCGAAATTAGTACAAAACTACAACAATTTCGTGTTAAATAAATTACCTCGAGATAGATCGACGGCGAATCTATTTTTGATACACCAATATTGATTACTCTCGCCTCTTTGCACACCTTATCCGTAATGTTTGCTTTGCAGCAAGTTGGTGGTACTATGAACGTTTCAGGCGGGCTTGACACATCCAAATTCAATGCCTTGTTGGTGTTGTTATTATATTTGCTAGTTTGCCAATCTTTTGGACCTTCAGCACCGCAACATTCAAGCTATAAAGTAAGAAAAACGTTTTATTTCCACACAAAATTGATTTGGAGAAATGTCATTTGCGTCACATGTCCTCCGACTTTCTACATTTTCCATTAAATTGATTGTTTTCCAAAAAAAAAACAACAAAATCGTTGAATTGGATCGAAAGATAACTTACATGTTTTTGGAATGTATCGAAAGCGTGTGTTTGAAGATCATGGGTGCCGTATTCACTTTGAATGGATTGTTTAACACTGGAACGTACAATCTTCAGCAGTTGATCTTGATTGAGATAGGCATAGACACCGGTAGCAATTTCAGCCACCAGCACAACCAGCAAAAAACAGAAGAACTGAAATGAAAGAGAAATTGAATAAAATTAATTATGGCACATATTATGGATCGGCACATTTTCAAGGGTACATCAAGTGTTAGAGCTATACATACCGAGACCAACATGCATTGCGATTCTTTCAGTGCGCCACAACATCCCAAGAAGGCAATAACGATAACAAGCGTGGCCACACCGACAAATACCAGTAAACCGATGTACAAATCATTTTTGCCATTGGCAAGAGAATACAGCAGCGTTGTATCAGTGAGCATCCATCCAAATAGAGCGAACGCTGCAATTCCAGCCGCCTGTAATGAAAATAAACAACAAAGAAGAATAGAGAAAAAATCAAAATGAATTAGAGTCAATTGAAATTGCCACCATATGTGCGAGTGTGCACTGTACATAATTTAATTTCAAAATATCCTGCTCTCAATTGAATTTTGTTCACCGTGATCTTTGACGGTGTCTATGGGTCCAAATATATAAATATATATATGTGTGTGTGTGCGCTAACTAACACGGTCTGACCTACATTTTGCCCTTCAATTTACTTTCATTATAAAATCAAATGGCAAATGTGCGCCGTTCACTTTGACTTCTAAGCCAACAAATGAGAAGAAGTGGCGAACGTGTATCAATTTAATGGTTGACACTAGCCTATTAAGAGAGATATAATGGACGCGAGCAAGTAAACCAACCAATGAATACAATATATCAACGCATAGACACTCGAAAGTGCAACGGTATAATAAAAAACAATCATGACGATGATGATATGAATGGGTATGGAATGGCACAATGATACACTGGCTTCGTAAGCAATGTCTCGAACAAGCGAACACGACATGACCCAAATGATATAGCAAGCGATAAAATTGTGAGATTGCAGTCAGAATAAATATGTGTGTGTGCGCAAAATACGAAGCGCGAATCTACAGCAGCCTGTGGTATGGTGATTTTTGATTCAGTCTATATGGGCACGACGCCCCTTTCACATGCTTTCACGTTTGTGCTTTTTTTCACATTTGTTTTCAAAAGAACATCGAGGGACTGCCATGCAATCCAGTACCGAATTGAACAATCAAATACATTACTTCCTCAATATTACAGAGATAGAATGGAATTTTTATATCGATGTAATGCGCACAAGGGAAAGAAAATCATAGATACGCGATCTGATAGCGACTAAACACGAATAGCACGAGACTTGGACTCGATTGTCACATAAATATGGAAAACCACACGCTTGTCCACTTGATTGAGAATGGGAGAGAAAAGAGTGTGGCGTCGATGGTAAATCAAACATTCAAACATATATTGGATGTGTTTGAATTGACAACGAAACCTATTCATGCGCATATTTAATTAAAACAAAAAGAAAATGCCATTGCCTGAGCTGATGGTTCATTGTCGATAAAAGAAAGGTAAAAGTCATGGATACATTTGATGTAAATACAGCATGGTGTGTGTGTGCTTATCATTACTTTTCTACCATTTGGATAAAGAAGTCTGTCATAAAGTCGTACCAGCTGCACTTAAATTCAAACATTCAATGAGTTTCTAAAAAGCCTTGAAACATCGACAAAAAAACATAAACGAGCATGTTCGGTACATTAAACTATGAGCATGTCTCAGGTTTGGAAAGCTGATCACTTTTCTTAATATTGCTATGAATATAAAAAAAAAAAAATTCCCATTCTATCGTGTGCAAATACACGCAGATAGAAGTTGGCCTTTCTCTCTCTCTGTGTGTGTTTGTGTATGAAGACCAACGACAAAATGTGGCCGAGAGACGCGCTTTAAACAAGGATGAAAACATCACGTACAACATTTTGAAAGAAATTGGAGAAAACGTTGAGTGACGCTGACGCAAAAAAGCACCAGTCAACACATCTCACCCTCTTTCCGCCTCTCTCTGTCTCTGCACAGTATGGTATATGCGACGGAAAATCTGTACGTTGCTTGGAGCAAATAATAATGCAGCGTATTTAATGGCAATACTAAAAAGAACTAACGGTAAACTGGATACAGAACAAGAAAACGTGAAAGTGTGAGAGAAAATCATCCGAATAGAAAATTTGTAACCACGCAAACGTTACATTTAGATAAGCTTATTAATCGTAACGAATGTAATTTGGTGCTCGTCGTAGACTCACTCACATAAAACGGCAATGCGATACGATGATTTACTCACTTAACGAATTTCAAATTATAACTCCATTTGCTTGTATGTTTTGGGCTTTTACTATCTCTATCGTGCGTGTGGGTGCCGTATCCTTTGTGTACTTAGATTGCATTAGAATCGTCATCGTTTATAGCTTGACAACAACGAAGCGCAGTCAAAACGCGTTTTCATCGTGTGATATTGAACTCTATTGATCGTTTATTATTGCTGCTTTTACAACAAAATCGGAAATATAAAACGGCAGAGAGACAGAGACAGAGAAAGAGAAAGAAAGGGAAGAGAATTTGGTCGATATTATCGCTGCGAATTATTTTGAGTGCTTTGATTTTGAACTTTCAATAAATCATGGGGCCATCCATGAAATTTTAATACATCTAGTGTTACGCGTGGCATTAAATAAATCAATATATAAATTTGTAATTTTGTTAATAATCACAAGCCGCTGGCCGAGATAGCGAATATCATATCAAGAGCGGAATTGGTTTTCATGGATTAAATCCATGAAGGTCGTATTCTTGGTAGTTGATTATATCTTTTATTTTAAATAAACTCGATTCGGTTAATACTAGCTTTTGCTAGTAATTTCTAGTGAAGTTGTAGTACAAATTGCACAGCCATTGACTTCGTTTGTGATGTCATTCATTTTCTAATTTTTTACTAGTTTTTCTAGCGTGAATAGCCCCTTGCAATAAAAAGCGAGCGTTTATGATTTGCGTTAAGTAAATGTCAGGGAAGATAGTGAAACGGATATGATACGTGTGTACAAGCCAAAATTGTCGATATACTTGGTTTTTTTTTTTTTTTTCGGTGGGAATTTCGACTTTGTTTATCGAATATCAAACTCATTTTATGCGTGTGCACGGAAAAATTCGATTTGGTTGATTATGATGGCAGCGATGAAACCGTCGTCAGTAGCGGCGATGTCGGCGGCAATGACTGAATGACATTCTCACCCTTAAATAATGTAATTCAATCGACAGAACACACCCAAAAATGTAAACGAAATCGGAACATTAACACACAAAAACGCATTCGGAAAACGCACAAAATCAATCGACGTCATTATAGAACAGTGCTTTGCGCGGCACCACCAGTGCATGCAAGTATGTGGTTACTTCATTTATTTATTCATACAGTTACACCGAATCGAGCTGAGTTTGTATGCCACATATATCGTTCTTCTGTTTGACTTCCTTTTGAAATTCGTTCTTTTTTTCTTAATTTCTTTCATTCTTCGTCAACATTTCAGGCCGCTTGTATTATTCATATTCCTTATGTGACTTCGGCTGACGATTGGTCGTGGTTGTCGCTGTTGAAGTCGTTGTTATTGTTACTTAAATTTGTTTACTCATTTATGTTTTGTTGCGTATTTATTCTTCATTCCATTTACGGGATTGATTGTGTGTCGTTCTCGATAAAAAAAATGTTTTTTCCTACATCATCACTTTATTCAATTCAACCGAATAAATTCCGAAAGAGACAAGAAGAAGAAAGGAGCTACATACACACGATCTTTCAGGCTGATAATCAAACCGACTGATTCAGAGCCGGAGTTTTGCTTATTCAATCGAATTAATTTTATTTTATTTTTAATGCATTCATGTGTGAGACAGAGAGTATGTGATCTTCCATACAAAATATGTTTATACATATGATATTCTACCGTTTTGTTTAGCTTCGGTTTTTTTTTTCTCATTCGTTCTGTTTGACTGAATTTGATTATTTTTAAACATGCATCCATACAACGTCACGTCTCAATTCAAAACAAAACGCCGTTTACTCTCTTGAGAGAGAAAATTAAATAAAAAAACAACAGCAACAACAACACGGCAAAACGGAATTCAAACCATGCATTTTTCGCTTTCTTTCACTTCAATCGCTCAGTCGATCGGTGGCGCATTGCTAAAACGGAAAAGTCTCGAGTCTAGAATAAAATTATGAAATTTTTTGTTTGTTGAGATGTGAAAATGTGATTCGTACGTTTGGTTAGCGATGGTGAGGAAATGATTATTTTCGTCATCGTGCGCACACCGATTCACAAGCACATCGAAAACTCGAGATGCATCAAAGCACAAATATCAAAACGTGAACTGGGCACCCATCGTTTTATTCCTGAATGTAAATTTTTTTAACTGTACATATATAGCACACATCATTTTTTTCACACATTTAATTTTCTCACTCTCATCTTATGCTGCTGGTATGCCTTTCGTCGGCAACATCATCATCATCGTTTGCTGTGTATAACACAAAACACACTGTCTGTATCTCAAAACACATGTACGACATTTGTTAAAAGCGGGCATTTTACATTCGAAATTAACAGAAATCATGCATTTACATGGAAATTAACAAATGTTAGATGCACGCATATAAACTCATTTTCCCCCAAATTTCATGCTGAACCCATCAATTTAAACAATTTTCTTCTTTCATTCGAACCGAAAACTGTGCAGCACACATTTACATTACTCTAAATTTGGACATTAAGACGAAATGTTGAAATAAGAAAAAAAAAATTACTTACCCAAAATACGAAATTTATCAATATCAAAAGATATTTGACCAAGCAACAGCATCCGGACAAACCCATCTTTTCTGTTGTATTCCGTCTTCTTTTACGTTATATTGTTCGATAATTTCTGGTCGAAAAATGTATGGCTAAAAAAATTTAAATATGGAGAGGGAGAGAGAGAGAGAGAGAAAGAAAGAACACTGAGGTTAATCAAAATGGAAACGATGCGTGTTCGATGTGATTTGTATATTATTTCTTTATGTGGATTTAAATCGCGTGGTAGCCGCCGCACAAAATGCACTTTTATCGACGTATTGTAATCGACACTCACTCGACACTCACACACAAAACAGCAAAACAAATAACAGAATAAAAAAAAATAGTCTAATCCACTTCGGATTTGTATCTGTCTATTTTTCCAAAAATTTTCTTCTTTTTCTGCTCGTTTTTTTATTTTTTCTCTCTGTATTTACTTTGTGTGTTGCATTTGAATCTCAACTAAAAACACATTTCAACTAACGGCCAACCACAATAAATTCAGTTACGAACAACACACATACACACACATGTATCTCTGTATCGGTCGCCAACGACCAAATGTGACGTGCTCTAATTTGACAATTTATTTGTTTTTATTAATTTTTATTTGTTATTTCACTTTGGTCGGTATATTATATATGACGGTTGGTAATGTGTGCCTCACGCGCGCGACCGCGCTATTCTGGATTAGCTATTTTCACTCTACCTCACAATTGAAAGCATTGAATTTGTAAAAAAAAAAACAGAGAAGCAGAACTACTAAATCATTGCTCACTAAATCGCTGGCAATTAGGTGTATTCCACTGAGTGAGTCGCGCGCACACAATTTGCAATCGCACTATATATGCCTCTTGCACACTACACAATGGTTTTGTTTCAACTGAGAGAGAAACAGAGGAACGAATGAAAAAAAGAACTGTACTAACAGGAAAAAAGACACACACAAGACCGTCAATTGAAATGGCTTTTAAAGCACCGATGCAAAATGAATGAGGAACGATCAATCGCACTAATGTATATTGTGTACACGACCACCGCTTTTTTCTTTTGCCGTTCAACTGTAGTACTACACTTTGAGAACCGACCACCGAATAATGTCAGGCAAATGCAAAACCAAACTACACCAGCACCAGCCAGCAGCGGCAGCAGCAATAGCGACAACAACAATAATAATAATATCAGCAAATGAGAATAAAGCATAGGAGTTGATGATAATATTCAAATTGAATAACTAGCGAGTGCCTGAATATGTACGAAGCAGTAGAAGAAGAGACAAAAAAAAAAACGCAACGCGCAACAAAAACCACACACTCACAGAATAATAAATAAAATTCATTCACTTCGAGGGAAGAGAAGTGAATTTAGTTTTATGTGCGTGTTATATTTTTTTTCGTTTTTCTTTTGGTTTTGTTGTTGCTTTTTTCACTACTCCGTTCGTCAGTTTTTTCCCCATTTTTTATGGACGGTCATACAATTCAAATTTATTAACGTATATTTCACTAAGTACTTTGCCGTGATCACTTTTTGAATGATAATTATTATAGTTTGTTGTTGCTGTTGTTGCTGTGATGCGATTAGAATGAAAAATGAACGCTTCGTTTTCTGTGTACACAATGTGAGATGCTTGAGAATTTGGGTTCCTACTTCTGTTATTTTTTCTTTTTTTTCCTTCGTTTCGTTGTTTCTTTTTTTTTGGAACGCACAAAAATTTAGCACATAATTTCCATAAAAGAAAACCAAACAATTGGACACTAGAAAAAATTTCTCTTAACAATAATCATACAATTTCAACAACAAAAAAGAAATGAATTGAACATTTTTCTTGATTTTTAAATACACACCAATTCAAAAACGAAAAAAAAACTGTTTCACACTGTCTTTTCTCCTGCAAAATATCTAGGATGATAATTTGCGTTTTGCTACAAGGACCATGGACTCCGTGCCTCTTTGACCTACGAACGTTTTGGCGAAAAAACAGCAACTGTAGTACACACACTGTACTCCGTTAGATGATTCTATATGATGAGTTATGTTGTTGTTTTTTTCAACTTCTTTTTTTTCTTCTCGCACACTCACTGCATATGCTATACACAATTGTTCCTTTTTTTATATTGCTTTCCTCCTTTCACTCTCTCTCTCTATATATTTGTGTGAAGCTATCACAAACACACTCGTAAAAATCCCATTGATGTGGTGCGCTCTCTCTCGTTGCTGATATTCTCCTATATTGATTGCAAATGCTATATAATCTTTTGCTCTCTTTCCGTTCAAAAAGTTATCACAAAACAGCGTTGGCTCGTGCTAATTTCACAGAATAATATGCTCTTCTCTCGCAATCTGTTCGTTTTGCACTCTTTATCCGTCGCTCGTTTTCGTAAAACAACATACAAAATTCAATGAGATTTTTGCTCACAATTCACGCACACATTTAAATACAGTTGAGAGTGCTCTTTGAACACTTTTCTGCGAACGCATTCAATGAATCGAACGAAAATATAGGAAAAACGAAGAAGGAAGCCAAAAATGCGGAGAATATTAAGTGAAATGCGTTAAAACATGCGGACGCGCTTACAACCGAATGCTAAGTGCCTGTGAATATTCGGGTCTTTTTTTTAGAACGAACAATATTGAAGTAGAACATTGATGCAAGTGACGCGCTTGTATGTGTTCTATACTATGTGTATGTGTGACAACATAACGAAAATGATAGTTGCGTCGCATACGTTTCGAACTCCATGGAGATTCTATCACTGCTTCGTGCATGTATGTATGCTTTGCGTGCATGTATTTGTGCGAGTCATTTTAAGGCCTCGGAAATACATACATAGAGAAAGAGAGAGCGCATCTCTTCGGTTCTGGTTGTATGTGCGTGCGCTCTTTCGCTCTTGTATTTGTGTATCAGTCGCGCGTTTTCGTTTCTAAAATATGTTCTAAAGTAAGAACCAACATGCACACTTCCCCATGCACTAAATATATGAACAACCGACTTCATCTTTATATCTCTCTCTCTCGCTCTCTTGGGCGCAAATTTGTTCGGCGTGGGATTATAAAATGATAAAATGAAATTTAGCTTCATTTTAAAGTGAGTCAGTGAACATATTCACGCTCGTTGTGCGGGCTTCTTTGCCACCGAACGACAAAAAACAATTACCATCTTTCGGTTAAAATCATGAGCAATTTAGCATTCGCATGTACATGTAATTGTTTCTTTTGCTGAAATCTCACGATTTGCTTGGGCGGCTGCTGTTTGATATTTCAAAATGAATGATTTTCTTCCTTTTTGTTGTTTAGCATGTATGATGCGCATGTGTGCATTTGAAATGGTGTTAGATGAACATGCATATTGGCCTATGCCAATGCGTCGTTTCTAATGTTGTTGCCAGTGGGAAAAAGACACAAAGAAAACCGAGCATCGAGCAGAGCACCAGAGACAAACACAACAACAACAACAGCGATTTTCCGAGAGAGGCACAATGACACGGAGATACATATATATAGAGAGAGGGAATGAGAAAAAGAGAGTGCACATACCATGGCTACACCCAACATTTTCACAGTGGATTATGCATACAGCTCAATTGATAATGTCTTCATATGGTGTTTGTGCTCATTTTCTCATTCTCTTATTCTCCCCATTCTTCATTGTCTCTCTCTGTCTTTCTCTCTCATTTTCCTCACTCGATGCTCATACCTGCGGGTATCGCATGATAAGTGCCACAGCATCTCCAGTATCACCATTCAAATGATGGGATGCTCAATCGTGTAACATTTGATTTGTGCTCATTGAAGAAGAGCTAAGAAGATTGTTATGCAGCTAATGTGTGCATCACATATGGATTTCATTACGTAATCAATTTACAATGCACTGATTGCAATTTCACGCTTTGCAAAGAATGAGAAGAGCATGAACACATAATGAATCCATATAAGTATATACATCAAATGATTTCGCTTTTGTTTATACCGCGAATTGGTTTGGATTTTTCTATTTCTCTTTCGCAATTTATGTGTTTGGTTTGCAGCGATATACTCAACGACCGCTTTTTGTTTGATTTTCGATCATTTTCTTTATTATCACACCATTTAATTAAAATGAGTAAGAAATATTTGAATTTTATGTGTGTCGTGCCCATCACTCAAACCAGGCTGTGGTTTTATTTATTGCATCGACACATAATTCGCCCATCATTTTTGCTGCTTCGCGAACGAAAATAAGAACAACAAGACATGTAAACATACACACACACTCACACCACACAGACATTCAATGTTCAGAGATATGTGATATATAATTTTGGCGCCACATAGTCATCTTTGTTGCCGTTGTTGCTTTTGTCTATTTCTTGTTTTGAAGCTCTTTTGCTCTCTTTTTATGGAAACTGGATGCAATAGAGGACTGTTGTTACTTACATTACATTCGTTACAAGTTATCTTTTGGCCATTTGTTATTCTCTTTATCGTGCTGGATGCTTTTCTCAGCCATTGCCATCCAACTCAATTTTGTCGACATTGTTTTCATCTTTGTCCACGTTCATTGTCCACAGGCGCAAATACTTAAAAAGATCAAAATGTGCATGTTAAAACAGTTGCAGCAGGCAAATGCTTGCCGAGTGTTCATTGTATTCATTGATGTCTTTTTACATCCGACTCGTTTCGTTTGACCTTTTCGAATTCATTCTGAGTACTGACTTTTAAACGTTAAAACAAAGCGTCTTATTACTGCTGCTGATGCGGCTGCTTCAATCGATGTTCGTTCAACATTTTGCAAACTCTATTTTTAAACTTTAACTTGTGTGTGTTTGTTATGCGTACATTTTTTTGGCACTGGAGTTACTAGCTTATCATGATGCGGGAAAAATCTTATGTAAGACAATGAATGGAACGATAATGTTATTATATAAGAAAACTATAAGAAATATATACTTTATTTGGTTTTTAGTGCATTTTCCACAATTTCCACCATCTTATTCATGATGTTTTGCATTGAATAGTTTCGATTGTTTCGGTTCTTTTTTCTTTCGTTACATTGCATGCTTTGTTATTATAAGGTTTCTTTCTTTAGTAACTACTAAGAATGCTTGAATTGTAATCAATGATTTTTTTTTCGTCTCCATTCGTCTAATAGATGAGATTTTGTGGTACGATTACAAATACACATATATGATTTAAAAAAAAAACTAACATTCCGTGTTTGGATGCCATTAGACAAATATAGTTTTCATTGTAAATTTATCCTACTTATCGCTCAAAAACTTTTCAATTTCTCGAAATTGGCCAGTACTGATGACATTTTGTTTGCTTGCATGTTGGAAGAATTCTTTCAAATTGGCCGTATTTTTCGATGCAATACCCTTTTGAGCGAGAAAACTTACGAAACTACCATGCTGTGTGATATTACCACCGGTTGGAATGAATAGATCCAATGAAAACATCAAGTCCGGTTGTAATTCCAGCAGAATGATAGCTTCATAGATTCGTCCTCGACCGAAAATGTCCGTTTCTTTTGTGCCCAAAAGTATATGCGATACATACGCCGTTTCCTCTTCATCCCAACATAGCTCATTCCATGGCATCAAATTCAACAGACACAAATTCATTGTGTATGATGGAAATGTTGCATGGTTCTCATTCAGTAAATGGCCAATTTGTGAGAAATTTACGGTGCGAAATTTTCCAAAATCGACAAGCCGAACACGCAATCGCGATTCTGGATTCTTGTCAATGCTGAAACGAGAAATGAATTTATGATTGAGTATCGATCCTGAAAAAAATGTGTTCAGGTACAGTTTGGAACTTACTTTTCGGTCACAATGCGACAGCGATAAAATGTGTCGTTATCATCTCGAAAAACGTATAAATCATTGATGTTAATCTCGAAAACATGTTCAATCGGTGTGAAATTGTTTGTTTGAAATTCATTGAAAGCTCGATTGAACCCGTCAAATAGTTTAGTGTCAAAGTGTTCTTGCCAGTCGTTCGATTTTAGATCTCTGGATTTGAGTAAGCGTACCGAAAACCAGCCGGGCGTCAAAATTCGAAGTATTTCAATTTGAACGGTTTTGAAATTGTAGTAGTCAGTTTCAGTTGGTCTGTACACGGTTTCAAAGCAGTGTCGATTTTGACATACCAGCAAATGGCCATGGTTTTTGAATGAGTTTGCAATTTCCATACACAACGGATCCATGGCATTTACTTTTCGAACACTTTCCTAGAACCACAAAATTTCATTATATCATAATTCCAATCAAAGAAAAACTCACTACAACTATTTCAGCACATCGTGGTGCCAGTATCAAATCATATTTGCGTGCAATCAAATACATCAGCATCTGGTTTTCCGATGGCGTTCCCATGGTGAAGATGATTGACTGTAGTTCCACTGTCGACTGGGCCTGAAAAATGTGACATTCTTTTTTGTTTCAATGTGTACTGGAAAACGTATGCAAATAAGAAGAGAGTATGAATGAGCTTGCCTGAAAGTGGAGATTTGCTCTCATTACCGCATAGCGTTTTGAAAATGTTTCAAAATCGTCCGGTAAGTCATAGTGAATTATGAAATTGGCATCTTTTACTGACTTCCCATTTGGATATTTCTCCAAATATTCATCCGACCAAAAGAATTTTGTAGATCTATTTCTTTCAGATCCGTGTACATTTGCCAGATTTATTGCGTCCCATTTTTTCGAGCAAAACACAACCACTTTCTTGTTGTCCAAATCGACGAGTTTGGCTAGAATAAAATATAATGGACATGATGTGAAAAAATTGTGATTTCGCTTCGTCTCAGAAATATGTTGAATCAAAATATCATTACTTTTGAGCTTTGCGGATCTTATTTGTTGGTTGGGAAAGAATTTAATTTCCGTTGTACGTGATCGTTTATTTTTCGGAGAAAAGCAGTAAAGATCGAAATTTGACTCTATTGAGACAACAGCACTTGGTATTTTGTCGAATAATTTCTTCAACTCTTCAATATAGTACCGAGACGTGACAATCATCTAAAATTATGCGTAAAAGAAAGTATTCGTTTATGAAAAAAAAAATCATATGGGCAATTAAGTCTCATTCAAAAATGTTTACCTTTATCTTGCGTGAAAGTAGTGCTTCGACCATTTTTTGACGATTTTCTGAAGGTATCAATTCAATGTTGTTCAAAACAATGCGTTGAGCTGTTTTTGGAATCACATCATAGCTGTTTTGGTCGGACTTGTCGAATGCTTGATTGATTCGATACATTAGTGACACGTATACTTTGCATCTTTTATATTTTTCTGTCTGAAAATTCAAAAGAATTTCAAAACATAAATCAATTTTCGAGTTTGAATTTGAACAAGAATTTGCTTACGTTGAATTCGAGAAAGAGGTCGGTGGCATCGGTGTAAACTGAATTTACTTCAAGAAAATGCGAACAAATCTGGGCGATTTGTTTCGCCTCTTTACAGTTCGTAGCGAAAATCACACTTTTCGGTCCATCGGTCCTGATATGCTCGTCCCGCTAGAGAGACACATACAAATATTTTATTGAAAAGTATCCACAAAGTGAACAACCAATTACCTTGATCAATGTAATAAGTGCTGGTAGATACAGTAAATGTGGATAATAGTCTGTATTACCAATCAAAATAGTGGTTCGATCTTGTAAAATGTATGGCCAGATGCTTCTTTGAACCGTTACTTTGTTCAATTGTTCCAATATATCTCTGTATTCCTTGCACACCGTCGAACGATCGTGTGAATTTAAAAACTCATAGCTGTCTACATAATGCTGTACTGGTGCCAACGTTGCATTTTCCAATAAAAAATTCATGAATTTAAAACGTAACTCATTCGCTGCATCGATCGATCGCTGCTTATCGATATTTGCAGAGAATTGGAATTCATATTGTTCGGGTTCGGATTCAGTTGCACTATCTGCATATAAATACGAAGGTATGGCACTGATAACTGATGTGTCCGACAAGACCGATTGATTATCCCTTTTAAATTCATTCGAAGGACCAGACGCACCCGACGCACCGGCTGTAAAATATAAAATCATCAATCTGTAAGATAGAATTTTTATTTTATTTTTGAAAATATTTACCATCCTCGATGCTACGTTCCAGAATAGGTGACAATTTATGATTGATATTAAAGGTGGAATCGGTTTGAATGGAGTCGACAAGTAAATTGCGTTCATCGTCCAATTGTTCATTCGATTTGGTTGAAGCTTCAGGACTGCTTTCTTTGTCGCTAGAACAAAACGATTGCGACGGGGATTTTTCCAGCGAATCAGATGACAAACTACCATTCATCTGATTCGTCGTATTCAGATTGTGATTAATGTCAAGATGCTCCAGTTTCAAATGTGTGGCAATGATAGGTTGGATATCACTACTATCATCTGGTATAGCTATTGTTTGTGGAAGCAATTTGAATTATTGAAAAAAGTGCATGTTGTAAAAATTAAATTTCATCACCTTCATCCAATTCATTGGTATCGTACTCAATATCGTCATCATCATAAAGTGAATCTACAAAAAATGTCGTAATTTTACAGTAAAAAATTCGATTACAAAAATCGTAAAAAAAATCACAATAAAAATATTCAATTTACATATTCCGTATTTGAGGTTAATCAGAGTATTGAGCATATCCATTTCATACGTTAATGTTCCTTGATAGCATGCGTTCCGTTTAAATTTCGCGTTGAAGTATACGTATTTACTCGCTTTGATGCAATTTTTAATAATTTCGATAGATTTTGGCGACCATTCCATGCTTCGATTCGGTTTAAAACTTGAAGTTTCTGCATCAAATTCCTAAAGAGATGTCGAAAGAGAATGGCATGAAAGTTACTAGTGATATAGGCAGAAAATTGATTGTTTTTGGAAATTCATTTTAAAAAAATAGTCTGGTTCTTCAGGTCCAAGAAATTTTCATTCATATAGTTACAAATGGTCATATTCATAAGTCAGAGCGAATGGAATTATGAAAATTTTTCATGATGCCTAGCATTTTTAGTGACTAAAAAACCATTTGTGAGCAAATCTTGTCAAATGAATATAAAAATGTGTTCCATTATAACGACAACGAAAAGAATATGCTTCGTCGTCCTTTTCATTTTTTTCTCTTTCTTTTTGCATCATATTCGTTTGAATATCGTATTAAGTAGTAGACTGCTGTCGTCGTATACCACTTTGTTTATATTCATTGCATTGTTTATTCTCAGAATTAGACAAAAAAAAGCCATACATATTCAATGGTGGAAGCGATGCTTATTCTATACGAAAAGAAGTCATTTTTGAAATTTGTAATCGCCGTGACAAGCCGAAAATTTACTTACCGCTGGACAAATGCCGTATATGGAGCCCATTAAAATCGACTTGACAAATTTGTTAGCGAGTGATTCATCCCTAAGTTGAAGAATCCTATCGCTTGAACACCACGACGTGTGTCCATTCTCAATTTTAGTCACAATTATTTTGTTTTCATCACACACTTCTTTAACGCGTTGAATCGAATAATGCTTGTTTGTTTCAACAATGACCACATCATCCAAGTTTGGCAAATAATTTTTATTTTCTATGTATTCGTCATGATATGTGCTTATATATTCTTTTAGATTAGCCTGGATTTGTTTCATGTCGGCCATTGTTTGAAACCAAAACCTTTCCGGGCTTACCACGTTCAGCACTTTGATTAGAACTTTTTTATTCAATTCCATATTATATATATTTATGTGCACAAAATACGATAAAAATCTCAAATTAATAAAAAAATACTATAAAAAAACAGTTCTAAAATCACAAATAAAATTATTCTAATAAGATAAAGAAATTCTTTTAAAAGAATGAAATTATTTCAATTCAATGTTGTTGTTGACTCATTCAGAATCTGCATGCAACTGGACTGCAAAATGCCGATTCTGCGAAAATTGGTTTGAATCTAGCGCTAGCACATTTGACAGTTTTTAGTTGGTACACAAACCGCTGTGCGTGTGTTCGATGTGGAGAGATTGAACCGAAGCGACAATGCACCGCTAAATGACAGCTACCGAAAAACATTGAGACAAACCACGCACACAGCATACATTGTATATTAATTTATCGTTCGGTCCAAAAAGAAAACATCTTTACTTGACCTGCTTTATTCGCATTTTTCAATCACCGGAATCATTGAATTTCCACATTAAATATACTTTCGATTGGAATTTCAAGTGAAAAATCATATCAGTTGCCGGAAAGTTTTGTGTAAAATAATCGAGAAATTATATTTGCAATTGCTTTGTGCATGGCAATTGTTCATTCGATACGTAAACATTCAATGTCATCAAGAGAAGTGAAAAAAATTGTGTGAAAATGGCTTCGATTGAATCATTACAAAATAAAACATGGGATTTATCGTTGTACGAATTAAATCGGCAGCCACAAGTGGCAATTACCGATAATACAGAAATTGCCGTATCACCGCGCAGTTTACACAGTGAACTAATGTGTCCGATTTGTTTGGACATGTTAAAAAAGACAATGACGACCAAAGAGTGTTTACATCGTTTTTGTTCGGATTGCATTATAACGGCATTGCGTTCAGGCAACAAAGAGTGTCCAACATGTCGTAAAAAACTGGTTTCAAAACGTTCACTGCGGCCAGATCCAAATTTTGATTTGCTCATTTCGAAAATCTATCCGAGTCGCGACGAGTATGAAGCACATCAAGAACGTGTACTGGCCAAATTCAATCAGAGCCAATCACGTGCCGCTCTAGTGAATTCGATAACCGAAGGCATTAAATTACAATCACAGAATCGACAACAACGTACAAAAAAACAATTGGAACAAGAGGCACGCAACGCTGAAAATTCAAACGCTGCCCCGACAAATCAAAATGCCGATGAAAGTTCATCGACAGCGGCTGGTTCGACAAATCAACGATTCGCATCAAATCCACCGTCGGTTCGTTCAACACCATCGCCGGTACCATCGAATATTAGCAGCTGTGGCACTGGCAGCAAAATTAAACGAGCCCGTTCGATTTTAACGGCATCCGAACGGTCAGAAGAATCCGAAAGTAACAGTGAAATCGATTATAGCCATGGCAATGACTCAAATTTGGATACAGAAGGTGAAGGCACGTCGGAGCTGGGTGTTAGTGATGAAATTGAACTAATTTTCAAACCACATCCAACCGAAATGACCGGCGATAATCATTTAATTAAGGCACTCAAAGAGAATTCCGTACGATATCTCAAAACAACGGCAAATGCTTCAGGTGAGATGACAGTGCATGAATGTTTTGAGTGATTTTGAAGAGTGGCAATTAGCATGTCTGATTTCATTATGCATTTACAGCATACATATTTATTATATTTAAATTATTAATAATTTGTTTCGCATTTTCAGTTGAACATCTTAGCCAATATTTAGCGATGCGACTATCACTTGACCTCGATTCTGAATTGCCAGCCACGGAGCGTTTACAGAATTTCTGTATTTATATTGCACCGCAACCGGGCCAATTTCTCATTCTAAATGGAAATCAAACACTTCAGCAAGTTAACGAGAAGTTTTGGAAGGTAATTTTTTTTGATTACTATAGACGATATAAAGTCTTCATCATGACCCGATAGACAAATATCCGAAAACGTGCACCAAATGTTCATTTTTAACGTTTAAAATTTTGTTTTTCATTTAAAATAGATCAATAAACCGATGGAAATGTACTATGCCTGGAAAAAATCCTAAGCACCGCATCTAATTAATCATAATGATAACAATCTCATTTTAATATAACACAAATTCCCTGACTTAATTTTTATCTAATTTATGATTTCGAAAGATGATACAAGGACACAAGTGAATAAAACACAATTGGAATTACCCAAGGTTGAAATTGAAAAAGAAAATGCGGTGAAGAGATTTTTGGGCATTTTTTTGCAAATTAACTGCACCAGTTTTGAATGCGATGGATTTTGATATCGATGCATTGTTTTCCTCGCTTGCTACATTTTTTTAGCCAATATTATTGTCCAAATCAAAGATTTTTTGATACATATTACATATTCATAAACATTCTGACTAAATAGAATCATCTGTAATTTGCATATTTAGACTGTTTGACATTCAAAGTGAAGCGATATGTGTTTGCAATCAAAAAAAAAAAATTCCGCTTGTAAAAAGCAACATGGAATGAACTCGAGTGTTCGAGTTTTTTTCCACTGAATCAGAAATTGCAAACAATAAAACAACTCATCATAATCACCCAACGGAATGTCATTAAACCGATATAATAAATGAATAATTAGAAAATATGCAAAATTGTGTGAGCAAAGGTGCGCTGTATAAATAGGCGATATTAGTTCCATGTGATCAAGATGGAAAATTGAATAAGTTTTTTTTTCTTTCACACACAAGCACTTAATCCTATTTTTAACATTTTAATTTGTAAATTAAAACAATACAAGATTGACTTGGCGATTTTTATTAGAGTAACTACTTTATTTGTGGTAAAAGTATATCGCTCTTCTCAAATAAAACATATGGAAAAAATACACACTTTTTTATACTTTTTTTCTCTCTATTTTGAATGGGTTCTTTGATACCATTTGGAATTGATTTGAGTTCATTAGGTGGGTTCGATCATCATGACTCATTTCTAAATCCATAGCCCAATTTTATTGTTGAAAAAGCCGATTTTACTATATATTTGTTTATTACCAAATTTTGTTTTCAATTCTTTGTATTTTTTCCGTATTTGACGAGCCGGTTAACATATGACGTATACAGACACTGGATCTAATAAATTTTTATAGATTATTGATACCAGCATGAATATGAATATTTAAAAAAAAAAAAACAAAAAAAATCCCGTGGTGTGGGTCACGTCGCACACCTTTCGTTTTACTGTGATTTGATTGAGTAAACAACATGCAACCGTGTATAACGTAAGGAACTCCCATCTATAAAAAGACGATCGGCTGCTGTGATTTCATTCAGTCGTTTTCGAAATTCCGTGGATATTGCACGCTAGGGCAAATCCTCTCAAACATTTCAGTTTAAAATTATTTAAAATTTTTATTTTTTCAAAGTCGAAATAAAATTTTGAAATTTCTTTCTCCACATCTAATGAGCAGTAAATTTTGGTGTCAATGATATTCGGCAATAGTATTGACAAGTATAAAGTACTACCCAATTTAAGGTAATTTTTTTTTATTTTCGTTTTTTTCTTATTATCAACGAGTGACCTTCTAATTCTATAAAATATTCAAAATCTATATAAAAGCAAAAGTCTTTCGTGATTGTTTTTATTGTGAACGCTTTCTAATTCAGAGAAGAAAAAAGACGGAAAAATACTGAAATCAAAGAAATAAACAAGTGATTCGGTTTTGTCCAATATTTTTTTCATCTTTTGAAATAAAAATCCATAAATAAGGCGGCTTTTTTGAACAACATTGAATAAATGTTTGATAAATATTGAAAAAGATACTTCGAAAATCAATTATTCAATGGATTTTTTTCACATTTGAATATAGGTTGCGAAAACATCTTGGATCAAGCAAAGGGTCACGAAGAGGAAATACTGGCAATCATCTAGAGCTACAAGTGCTAACACAAATCCAACACGTACCTTGAATCAGACGTTCTGCAGCGATTCTAACCAAACCTAGTGCATATTATTCATTTCATTAGTATTTTTTGGTGTTTCGGGATATTTACTAAATTAACGACAAAAAAAAATCAGCAAAAATGGTTCAACGTGAAAAATGTAGCCAATTTGATGCATCAAATGCCAACCATGGAGCAGACTCATCATCAAAGCGAATGGCTTTTCAGGCACCGCAGAAGCATGTCGCTGCCACAAAAGCATCATCGTCGTCTTCTTCTTCTTTCAAGAACAACCTTAATTCGGATAGGAGCAAAAATTCAAATTGGGGCCCATTCAAAGACCGAAACGACTTCGTGAATATGCATTTTTGCTGAAACATTAAATCTACAAAAAAAAACAAATTTCATTATATTTCGATATAACTAACATTTCAATTAAAGAGAATTCATCATTTCAAAATGATCATAGAATTTGGTTGTTTTATTTCAAACTTTGGTTGGCCAATGAAAAAACGGGTTTGCGTTACGCACTTTGGACCGCCCGGTCACTTGACTATGATTTTTATATCCGTTTGCAAAGCGGAATACACGTGATTTCATCGTGCAACTGTTAGTATTCATAGAACTTTGCAGATTTCAGTAACGGCATATTTAATGATGTACGCACATACAATTTCTGTACAAATTTTGCGTCATGAAACTTACGCAGAGGAAAAAAATTCAAATTTTTATGCGGCAATTCGATATTGAAAGAAAACTTGTCAATAAATATCGTTTCCAATAACTTATTTGCATTTCTATCACATTATTTTGTTGTTGTTTTTGTTGTCATTAGTTTTTCTTCTCTCATATGCATAAAAATGAAGAAGTCACAATCGGAATCGTCATCATGATGATACAGTCAGCAAAAGTTGCATCAGCTTTTTAACACCTGAAAAAAAAACTCAAATGGAAGGTTTTTTATATGACATCCAGCCATTCAAAATATTAATTATAGCTCATTCTGAGCCAATTCTTGAATATTTACATTTTCAATGTGTTTTATAAACTGTTTATGTATGAGCGTAACCAGTAGAGACAACCCACAGCGGGAGTTTTCTTATACACAGATGAAAAAAAATATACACGTTTTGCATCTTTTTGAGTGTAACGATCGATTTGTTGTTTCTTTTTTCGAAACGGACTTTGAGCTTTAACTAGTTAAGATAGTAAGTTTTTATTTGTTTCCAACTCCACCAAAAACAAACTAGGCGGTGTCTACATTTTACTCTATAAAGATATTGAAGCCACACATCCAGGCATTGAGCATAGACATTATATTGAGATATTTTCAGCCCGCTGAATCAGCTCTGGCTGCTATCGTCAGGAGCTGAAATGGAGTGAAAAGAATAGGAGTGATTGTTATGGTATTTGTAAGAGTGGAAGTGTAGCTGTGTTCTATTGTTGTCGCTACATTTCAGCGCCTGACTTCAGTTACCTGAGTCGATTCAGCTGGCTGAAAATATCTCAATATAATGTCTGATTGAGCATGTAGCTTACAAATGAAGCCAACTGCGAATATACAACCAAATTTATATATGATCCAGTAAAAAATACCGGTGCAAATGTACTGTGTGTAGTATTATTCAGAACAAAATAATATGTAATCATTCACCGTAACGATTTATATGTATGTAATGGAGTTATTTCAAGTGAGATTTCAACTCAACTTTCAACAAGATTAGTCGTCTGAAACCTTTTTTTTTTGCAAACTATAATGACAATGATAAAAAGTCAATGGCACTTATTAACTGGTTAATGCGACGGCGACAATAGGTATCTTTGTTTTACAATTATATTATTCAAGACATTTATGGTGAGAGTTTGCCTGTTAGCAGGCAAATATTTTTCGTTTGATCAAGAGATCCCACTTTCAAAAGAATTTCCATATTTTTTCCAAAGAATTGAAAATTCAATAAAAAATAAAGAGAATTGCTTCGCCTTTAACTGCATCAAATGAACGTACATTTATAACAAATAAGTAGGAAAAGTGTTGTTCAGTTGTGCACTCATTTTGTTTCCGCCGAATTGGTGTCTGTAAAGTGCGAACGATCTAGCAATGAAATGAGTTATACCAAGGACACTTTTTTCATGAATTTAAATCTATTTTTAGCAACTGAATACAATTGTGACAATTGAATTATTTCTATTAGAAAATAAGTTACAATTGATATCATTGCTTGTGCCAAACCGGTTGTTCATTGTGTCACCTTTGTTTCAAATCAGTAATTTAATTCTTTTAAATTAAAACTCATTGTGATGATGCAAGTGTCAACTAAATTTATCTTATTTTGTCTATATGTTTTGCTTGATTCGTGTAAAAGTATACCAATTGTATCTACAGAAGAACCAGCACTTCTTATTGTTTCATTCGATGGACTTCGACCAGATTACTTGCATCGAAATGTAACGCCAAACTTGAATTTGATTGGCAAAGAAGGCGTCTCAGCACAATTTATGCGTCCTGTTTTTCCAACGAAAACCTTTGTCAATCACTTCAGCATAGCCACAGTGAGTGTGATTTCGATTTGATAAGTCCAACATTTTACAAATCACAGAATAACAACAATTTTTTTATCAACATAAATTTTTGCATCAAAATAGGGCCTTTATCCTGGAAATCATGGAGTTCTTGCAAACGCCGTGTATGATACCGAAATGGGTTTATTGAAATACAGTTACGATTTGTTCCATTACAATGAAAGCACAATACCGATTTGGGTAAATATTTCACGTTAATTAACATCGTTGAACGCCAATATAGTATTTCGGCTCCTTTGCACAAGCAACTTTGAATATTGAATAAAAATCAATATTATTCCAATTTAGACGGCCAACGAAATGGCTGGAAAAACGTCAGGATGTTGGTGGCCTGGAAGTGATTACGAATATAATGGGGTGTCGTGTATGTTCACTAGAAGTTTCAATGGAAGTGTTCCATTTGAAGAACGCGTCGATACAGTTATTAAATGGGTTACGCATGAAAAGACGCCAGCAAATCTGGTCATGATGTACTTTGAAGAACCAGATCAAACCAGTCATCCGTATGGACCGGACTCGATTCAAGTACGCTTATTGTGATATAATATTTTTAGCCTTGAAGCGTTGCCTTGATACTTTTCAAGAATGGTCTTTATCAAAATAAATTTCGAATTGAAGTGTTCAATCAACGGAATTGGTGCTATCTGAAGTGCATTTATCATATCACTTTCTATTTTTGATAAGATCAGGTAACAAATGCAGTGGCTAGCGTTGATCGAGTCACACAATACATCGAGGAAACATTGATGGCAAACAATTTACAAAATCGTGTCAACGTGATTTTCTTATCAGATCATGGTATGGTGGGTGTTCCTATTTCAAATATCATTGATTTAACACTATTTTTAGCCACCGATATATGTAAAATGTATGGCACATCGCCAGTATTACAAATCGTTCCAAACGATCCAAGTGAGTGCATAACTATTTGGTCCTCAATTAATCCTTATATATCTTAAGCCATTGTTATCATTTCCACACAGGCGATGAAAGTGAAATTTTCACAAATTTAACTAGAGCTGCCGAACAGAATGGACATTTTAACGTTTATAATCAATATGATCTTCCCGCTCGATGGAATGCAAACAATGCGAGACGTATGGGTCCAATTCTTGCTGTAGCTGAAGTTGGCTATGCATTCCAAGATTTGCTGATCGATTTTAAAATATACGAGAAAAATTTGAATGTTCCTAGTATGTAAAGCGACGTAGTTTTTTCAACATCTTACTGGTTAATTCAACAACATTTTCTAATTATAATTGTAGTCACGAATCAAAGTATATATGGTGTCCATGGTTATGACAATGAGGAGCCATTGATGAATGCATTTTTTATGGCAAAAGGTCCCATTTTTGGCAAGGACGAACAAATTGAAACCATTGACATGATTGATTTATATAACTTGTTCTGTTTAATTTTAAAAATCGAATGCTATAGCAATGATGGTTCAAATAATTCAAGTATTTGGAATGCACTCTTTGTACCATAATAAAAAGGAGTTGTCTACGGACGGCATTATCTTGGAAAATGTAAAATGTATTGATATTTAGTGCAAATTTTCAATTCCAAAATAATGCCTGTGTATGGCTACGCAACTCCTTTGCCAAAATTGTTTGTATTGTATTTATGAACTTGTGAAATAACACAACTACATAAATAAAAAATTGACGTCCCGTATGAATTTTTTTTTGTTATACCTTTGCTAAATTTCTTCTATTTAGATTTGGAAAGTCACAACACTTTCTTTAGTTACTGGCCATATTCCTGATTAATTTACATTTTTAAAACTGCAAAATATGATATATGTAATGGAAACTTATTTTGTGTTCGTTGTCACTTCATCGATTTCTTTGTTTAAAGTGGACAATGCAAAGAAATAAATAAAGACAATTGATCAAGAATTGATTTCATTATTCTGATATTCAGTTGATCGGAAAGCATGTCTCGATAACAAAATTAGCAAAAAAACGTTTTGAATAAAATGATATAAATATCAAACATTTGAAATCAGCAAAACCACAAATTTTATTGTATATTATTCATGAAGGAATTCAAATGGACTTTCAAACAATCGCACGTTTACATATATTTATTTGTTTAATTTAAAATAAGGTTTAAATTAAGCTGTTTGTTTGATCCAACTGCAAATTGAAATATACAGTATACATATTTACACAGTGACTCATTTTTAAGAATCCATATATTTTCTGTGCATTTATTCATATGAAATTAAATAAAAGCCGAATTCAAACATATTTCTTTGGCAAATAGTTTTGAAATTTAGAGTTTGCATCATCGATAGTGACTGTGTCTGAACCATTATCTTATCAATATTACTTTGACAAATGCCGAAAGATTCACTCTCATCAGCTCATATTCCTTGTTGGAAAGTGGAGTATGTTTGTGCGAACAGCCAGTGTGATGTATCCAAATATTATCACCGAAACAGGGCACAAAATCAAGATAAACCGTGCCCTTGCTGTGACATGGAATTTTCTCCATCTAACGAGGTAATTCAAGTAAATCTAAGTGATGTTTACTTTGAATTTGATGTTCTTTAACTAATTGGACATTAATTTTATTGGTTACAGAAGAAAATCTGAAGTGTTATACGTGCTCTGAATAATCGATCCAAATACAGACTATATGAATATTCGTAGCGAACAAGGACAAAAAGAAACACCTTAAATGTGCGAATATTATTCATTTTCTAAGTTTTTAACAAATAATATGATTGGAAGTTTTTTTTTTTCGTTAGTAAATCTGAATTAGTATCAAGAACAATGTTGATATTTTTAGTATGTACTCATATTCAATGTTTTTTTTAAATGTAAAATCTTATCATTGCCCTATTGTCTAAAGCTTGTTGTTCAATTATCAAATATAAATACGCACATTTATGTAAAACTCTTTTTATTAAATTTAATTGAGAAACAGATGATCTTAATTGAGAATGATACAAATATAAAAAAATGTTTCTTTTTTTTCTGGACGCTGGAGATGAAATTAAAAAAATACCAATTATTTTCTTTCGCTTTTCTTTTCTTCCTCGTGATAAGTAGCTGATAAGTTCACGATATTGATTAAATTTGTCCGCGGACCAATGGGGTGAGAAATATTCATTGATATTCCAGGTAAATTACCAGTGTATTATATTTTTTAATTGATTTTACATACAATCTACAAAGAGCCTTTTCATGCCATCCTTTAATTGCCAAAAGGAAACTTCTGTGAATAATGATCGAAATAATTGGAATTAACTATTTTTTTTTTTGTAAAAGAAAATGGTGATAGTTTCGAAATACTGATAGCGAAACCACCAACAACGTTAGCATAGTAATAATTCATTAAGTAATCAATCTAATTGAATATTTAATGAGCCTAATTTACGAATGAACCCATAATAACACTCGCTCATCAAAACTGTGTATCAAATATTGTGATTTATTATATTGTATTGAGGGGAATGACCAATAATTGTACTTATCAAATATCAAAGAAGAAAAAAAAAACAAACAAAAATAAAGTAATAATGACAGACCAAATCATATTTTTCTATTTTCCAACTGAGTAAACTGTTGTTCGTTTATTCAAACGTGTGTATAATGAATCGGTTCGAATCGGTTGAGCGCACAGATAGAACTCTACACAAGGTATCGCCATCTATTTGTCTCTTTCATCAATGAATGTCATTATTGAAATTTCTGTGTGATATGAAACGTCAACAGAATCTCTTGCTTTTGTATATACAAAAAAAGACGAAAAAATAAATTCGTTCAAAAGTGATTGCCTTTGCTTTTGATTAATCATTCATTGGATTCAATTACATTTCGAAGAAGCGGTGAAAAAAAGTGACATCGTTTGATAAACTATAATAAGAATCAAATGAAAAAAATGGTGTAAATAAGCAATATATATGTATGTGATTTACGGCATTTAAAACAAATAGTATGTGCATCATTTGCAAGTGCAAAATCGCGAAATAAAATGTTTACGTAAACAATTGTGTTGATAGTGATCACTGTCGAATTATTTCGCAAGTGATCATTGCTTGTTTGTTGATGTATCTAGTGAGCTCCGAAATAATTTGCGTGCAATTTATTAATTAAAATTTTTGCTTAGTCTCACAGTAATACAAACGGAACATTTTATGAATCGTCGGCACGTACATTTTTTGTGATATTAGCGTGTGTCTTCCCAGTCTAAGTCAGAGACGCTTTGTTGCCAGCAAACGAAGCATCGAGAAGAAGCATGTTTCGGTCAACGATTTCAATTTTGTGGTTATTTGTGAATATTTCACTTGTCATATGTGGAACGGTGCCATCGAAAGTGGAACCCGCACTTTTGGTTATTTCCTATGATGCATTTCGTCCGGAATATTTAAACCGGAAAGTCACACCAAACCTAAATAAATTCCGAAAAGAAGGCACATCAGCACCTTATATGATTAACGTTTTTCCCACAAAAACATTCGTGAATCATTTTACTATTGCAACGGTGAGCATTGCTAATTTAATTAGCTCAATTATCAGAAATATTTTTATTTAATTAATGGAAATGAATTTGAAATAGGGCTTGTATGCAGAAAATCATGGAGTGTTGGCAAACGAAGTATATGATTCTGAACAAGGGCTTTTGAATTATGGTTATCCACTATTTCACTACAGCAATACCACGATACCAATTTGGGTAATTTTCAAAAAAAAAAAAAAAAAAAAATGTACAAACATTTTAAATCATGTGAAAAACACTTTTTTAGACGGCAAATCAGAAAGCTGGAAAACATTCAGGGTGCATGTGGCCGGGCGGTGATTTTGAATACAATGGTATTTCTTGCACTTTTACGGCTAAATTTGATCCTAAAAAGAAGTGGGAAGATCGAGTCGATCTCGCTCTATCATGGTTCACCGACAAGAAAACTCCAGCAAACTTGGTTATGTTTTACATTGAGGAACCGGACTCTCACGCCCATATGTACGGTGTCGATTCACCTGTGGTATGTTCTTTTATAGAATAGTTCTTCTAATTTCGCTTCTTGGACGCAAAATCGTTCAACCCAAACATAATTTTCATCGATTTCATTAATGGAGTTATAATTTTATTTTTTACAAACAGATAACAAATATGATTTCAAAACTAGATAATTTAACGCAATATATTCAAGATAAATTAGTTGCAACTGGTTTAGATAAACGAGTGAATGTAATTCACCTATCGGATCATGGTATGACAGGTGTAGCACCGCCAAATTTCATTTATTTGGACAAAATTCTAGCAAATGACAGTTTTAAAATGTATGGAACATCACCAATATTACAAATCGTTCCCAAAGATCCATGTGAGTCCATTTTTTTTTCATTTTTTATCGCCTGATTGTATTTTTTATGCAAATTTCTCTAACTTTTATTCAATTTAAATCGTTTTGATAAAAGAAATAAATGCCAAATTTTTTAGCCAAAGAAGGTGAAATCTATGACAAATTAACCAAAGCAGCTGAAATAAATGGCCACTTCAAAGTGTATACTCCAAAGAATATTCCGTTGCGATGGCATGCAAATAATACGCGTCGAATGGGCCCAATTCTAGCTGTGGCCAGCCACGGCTACGGATTTCAAGACCTTATGGAAACAGCAAAAATTTACGAGAAAAAGTTCAATATCACAAGTGAGTTAAATCAAACTTTTTTATTTTCGCTTCGTTGAGTAAAATGAATCTGAATTCTAGTAACGAATGAGACAAAATACGGCGTCCATGGATATGACAACCAAGATCCTGATATGCACGCAATTTTTATGGCTAAAGGGCCATTATTTGCCAAAGGAAAAATGCTAAAAGCTGTCAATATGATTGATTTATACAATTTATTCTGTTTTATATTGAATATTGAATGTGGTCAAAATAATGGAACCAAAAAACTCGACGCATATGATGATTTATTTGCTGTGAAACCCGTTCGAAGCACTCAAAAAGGTAAGCTACGTCATTCGTGATGAATTCTATTAAATAAGATAAGAAGCATGGACAGATAAGATTTGCATGAATTTAAATAGACGCTTCTTCACTAACAATACAGTTGTTCAGACGCTAGAATAATAAAAAGATCTTTGCTTAATGTTCAATGCTTTTTAATAATTAAAAGATTCATTCTTTTTTACAATGATTGCATGTTTCTATTTACCGATCTTAAGATTTGTATCTCTTGCTTTTAAATTGTTCGCCATTGTTTCACAGTGTACTTCAAAACTGTTGAATAATTAACCTTATTATCAAGTACCGGCATTAATTATTCAAAAGCGATTGTGTACGTTTTTCAACTTACACCATTGTACATTGTGTATGTCATTATTGTTTAAGCTCACTCAAATCACTTCCATTCTTTTCAGATGATAATAATGGAGAACTAGTCACATGGGGTGTGATATTCATATTGCTGGTTGTTTCAGTTATTGTGATTACGAAAGTTAGAAAACTTCGACAGCAACACGCTTATACCAGATATTTACACAGAAGCGCACTTTTAGACGACTTTTCAAGTTTTGACGACGAGCTTTCATTCAATACACGTTAAATATACTGTATTTAAGAAGAATCCGAAATTTATCTCTAACCCCATCCCAATTTTTGTCGATTGAGATTAAAGAAACTAATTGAATACGGGTATTCAAACCAATTTGATTTCAATCTTTGGCTGTCAATTTTAATTTTGTATTTGTGTTTAAACATATTTTGTTTATTATTCTAATTTTATCAATATTAATTAATATTTTGTTTAGTTTATATTTCGGTGTTGTGAAATGAATCAAAGAAATAAAATGTATTCCATTTATTTTGAAAAAGAATTTTTTTTACAAAATGATGATGAATTATCCAGATTATTAAATGTAAATCTTTACCGATGTCTCTGTTATTATTTATGCACATAGTTTACGTATGTAAATGATAATACAACAAATTGTGAAATTGAATAAAATACGATTTTCATTGAAATCAAAACAAAGGCAAGAGTTATTGGATTATATTACTTTCAGTAATCACAATCCTTGTGACCACATAATGAAAGTGATAATAGAGAGTGCACCAGAGAGATCCACTATCGATTAACCTAAAAATTAATTCAGTAATTTTGCTGTAAGCAAAATATGCAACAATGATGAGATCCATTCCTCCTGCTACTTTCCATTCATTGCATAATTCAACCAGCTTTATGAAATGCATATACAAGTTGAAGCGTTAAATCTGCTTTGCACAATATGCTATTGCATATTCTCCTTATTTTCGATATATTTTAACATGTTATGGATAATTTCCATGTAGAACCTGAACCACAACCTTTCGCATGAAAATGAAACAAGCAATATGTGCGTTAGAGTTTGAAATTCTCATTTTTATTTTTATTTTATTCCACAGACAAAATACAGGAATAATATGGTAATGAATTTATGTGAAGGTATGTATATCTGGTGAAAATTCATTGTGAAAAATTGTAGTTTAAAATTTGATATTATCTTTTGTTTTTCTCTTTCTATTTGAATAAAATCATGCATTGAGGCAATTGTTTCAATTTTCTCGAAAAATAGATGTATAGTTTGTGTTAGGTAGAAAATATATTGTTTCGATCCAGTTTGTAATAATTTTTTTTATTCAGTCCTGAGGACCATTCTGAATTTAATTCACCAAAGCTGGAGCCCCATGACTATGTAATATTTATGTATTTGATTTAATTATTTTTGTGGGTTTGTGCGTGAATATTTTTAGAATTTTGCATTTGGAAAGTCTGTTATCATTTTAAATTTGTCTGCCATTTAAACTAGAAGTTAGTGTTTTTGTTCATCTGTGTTTCTGTATAATTTTAATTTCTTTTCACCTTTATCATTGTACAACGATAGATAAATATTTGAATAGACTATCACATAAAGTGCAAACACATCAATTCAATTCGTAGATTTTTATTTCTACTTTTTCCTATAGACAAACACTACCTGTGTGTAATTTTTACCGTTTTTTTTTCACTAAACAAAACTTTAGGCGAAATAGGAAAAAGGGAATAAATTCAATCAAAAATCTGGTGAGCACATTAAAAGAGTTGTAAAAAGCTATAAAAAATAGTTGTAAAAAGCTTTACAGCTCGTACCAAGGAGCGTTTATTTCAGGCCAAATTCGATGAAAACGAAAATATATGCAGTCGATTTGAAGTCACGGATGAATATCCTTTTGCAATTGAAAATGTGATTTCAAAATTTTCCCAAAAATTCATGGGGTCGCAAATTTAAAAAGTGTCTCAGACAGACAATATATTTGGATTTGGTCATCTGAATATTTCGGCTCATCTGGCTAACGTTAGGCGATGATACGAAATGAAAACAATAGAAGTGATTGTTATAGTTATGGTAGTATTTTTATACCTATAAAATACAACAATTACTTCTATTGTTTTCACTCCATATCATCGCCTAACGTTATCCAGATGAGCTGAAATATCCAGATGACAAAATCCAAATATATTGTCTGGTCTCAGAATATTTAATACTCAAAAAGATCTTTACTATTTAAAAAAAATGACTAAAAAATGTGTAGAATGGTACATATTTGAAGATAGACGAGGGTTCCTAGGGTTCGCATCACTCCCCCCAAAATATTTATCGGAACCCTCAACACATTCTTGGAATTCTTTCGATTTGCTAGGGTTTTTCGACTCAAAAAGAGATCTCCAAATAAAACGAAAAAAAGCAGCAATCGTGATCTGAATCCCTTTTACACTAAATAAAATTGACCCTTTTTAAGGGTCCTATGGATTTTTCCAGTGATCCCCTACGCAATTTCGCTATCACCCCATCTACAAGTTGGAATTTTTATTTTATTTTTGTGAGTAGAGATCTTTTTTGGTCTTCAATTTTTTGATACTACATTTTCTAAAATAATTTTTAAAATTGAGACCTTTGAGACCTCGAAGTGCGACTCCTGATCAGAAAGTAAATTATACGTCTATTTTTATAGAATTCTTGTTATTTGAACATTAAAACTTCGTTCAAAATTTGACTGCATTGACAAATGATGCTATTTCCATGCCTACGACAAAAATTTTGTTAAATAAATTCTAAACTATACAATTAATTTTTCAACTATAATACATGTATTTTCATACAATCAATAATTAATTCAATATATTTCCGATTTAATAATTTAAAATGCAATTAGATCATGTTTTTATTGTTGGTAAATGTGAGAAATAGATCAATTCGTTCAACCGAAATTTATTATAAATCAGACTTTCAAAATTAGTTAGTTTGTGTTCGATTCATTTCGATTCCAATGAGACACAGATAAATATCGATTTATCTCCGTTCATTCAATCATTCGACATACAAGATGTAATACAGTTTCATAACAGTTAAAGTATATATAAATCTAATATCAATTGTTGTTGTTGTAAATACATATAGAAAATACATGAGATTTATTTGGCGTCGATATAAAGATACACATAAATATGGGACTTGTTTTTGATTGAATGTGTATGTCATCACATCATATTGTTTTTGAACTTGATATTATCCAGTTAAGTTGATGTCACATATTAAAATCGGTTAGTCAATATAGCAAACACACACACATATTTTCTAGCAATGATAAAATGGATTTTGTTGCGTACGCGTGTGACAAACAAACACATTTCCATATTATTATTTTCATTTAATTTTTCACATTCAACCGCAAAACAACACTGAATTTGATGACTGCTGATATGAGAGACCCTAATCAAATTTTCCGATATTGAGTATGCCATTGTTGTTGTCATTGTCGACGAGACACTGTAAGCGAAAAAGAAGATGAAAAAAACGGTTGAGCTTTTCCATTCTTGATATATATATCTGAAATCCGTTGCAAAATGTTTACATACACTCCACTGTCTCATCTATTTCGAACAATGTTTTATTTTCGGGTCAATACAAAATGTGCACGAATCTACTATTGATATTCGACATATAATGCGCGTCAAATGTGTGTGCTTTGTGGTTTTTACCCTCCATTAGTGTTCCCCGTCTGTTTTTTTCGCATTTTATTCGATGTTAATTCATCGTTGCTTACACTGTTCGATTACCTCAGCAACATGTACTCAATGGTTTTGAAGCATTTTCTCGCAATTAAGACCATTTTCGATTCATTTCTATTCTATTTTGTATAGTCGATATGAATTTGTGCGTGGCGAGAATAACAGACACACAGAGAAAAAGAGTGACGGTAGAGACACGGTATATAACATGTACTTGCGATGAGAATGGAAAGTTTTTTTTAATTTGCGATTTTCTTTTATCCTTGTGCTGTTGTGCGGGTAAATACAGCAAACATCAAATACACAAAGCACAACAAGCAGTACATGGATTTAATAATAGAAAACAGAGCACAATGCTGCAGCAGTAATTGTTTATTGTTGTTGGTTGGAGCGATGATAAGTGATAGGCTAAAAGTACTTTCTGAGAGACTTTTTTTTCTACTGCTACTGCTGCTGCGGCTGCCAAATGAACAATGAATCAATTCATATCGTGGTGATTGTTTGCGTTAAATCACGTTTTTAATTCTGCATTCACGATCGAAATATGAATTCAATAGACGATTCGATTTCCAAACAAAATAATAATTCTCTCTATCTCTCTTTTGATGTGAATTTTTTTGTTTGCTGTTTGCTGCTTTCAATCGTTTACTTGTTGAACGCGATACGGTAAAGAAGGTCTATCATTCTATCATGATTGCGGAATTGCTGCTTTTGATTTTCAATAATTGAATGTAAACGGGAATTGGTTTTTTCTTGCTCTTTGACCATTCGCTCTAAAAAGTAGAGTTTTTTGCGTTCAATGTCGGCCATATCGTTGCCGAATGATTCGTCGCTGCACGATTGAAATGATGACTGTACAGTTGTTGATGTTTGTGGATCCATATTTTTTTGATTTTTTCTCTTGTGCGTTTTTCTTTTCAAAATTGAGTTTTCCACCAAAATCACGTAATCACGTGGCTTCTGACCACTTCTTCTGAAAATTTTCCAGATAAAAAAAATCAATCAACGCGATGGTCCACGCAACGAATTTAATGTGTTCACTGCGACTTAGATGGAAATCAACAAAACAATATATGTGCGAAATGTCCGTGAGATGATGCAAACACCGAAAAATTGCAACTATCAACGACGACTGAATATTTTGGACTATTTATCCATATTTCATCGATGCTTTTGATGCGATGAAGTGTTGAAGCGCAAGAAACCAATTTCGCTACAATCTTCTATGCGTACGCAATATTTGTGTTTTTTTTTTCATTTCGTTTCTTTCAAATCGCTCTCTATTCAAGCATCTGTGCATGTATTCATATTTTGCCATCCAATCCAATCGACCCTCATTCATTCATGACAATGAAAGACGAACAAATCTCCAGCCCATCTCTCTCGCTTTTTCCCTACAAATGTTGGCATTTCTTCCGTTTGCAATACAGCTGAAGAAAGAAATGAAGTGATTGCCAAAAGGAAAATGATGACACACAAAGCAACATTGCAACATTTTCGTTAGCGAATCGCATATTTGTCGTTTATTGTTGCTAAGCTTGTATTATGTTAAGACAAAAGAAAATCATGACCTGAAAATATTCGTTGCATTGAAAATGAGCTTGAAGAGTTTTCAGCCGCGAGCCAAGTACATCAAAAGAAAATAAAAACAGAAATTATCTTGTCAAATAATTCAATATCACTTTTGAGTGATAAACAAAGAAGAAAAACAAGAAAAATAGAAAAAAATGAAGAAAACTGTACATTTTTTGTCATATTTTTTACTGCTTTGAAATTTTCGGAATAGAAGTCGCATTTAGCGTACTAGAATGGCCGTCGTGAGTATCACGAAAACTGAACGTGAAATTTGTTTGACATTGACAGCAACGGCTCGTATCAATTAGATTTCATCACATTGAGTTCAAAATATATCATCAATTGTCGGTATAAGCCATTAAAAATCGCTTAATTCAATCGATAATCGTTATTTTAGATATTCCAAACGATCGTTTTGTTTCAAAAGTGTGAAATTTTATCGGCAAATAGAAAAATCTTTTGAGTTGTTCAGTAAAAGAGTTGATGGTGATGAGTAAAAAATTCGCGTGGATTTGTTTTGATGCGAATGGATTTTGACATTTCATGAATCAGACGTTATGACGTCACAATCGTACGATACAACATGCGATTTATTTTGATTGGACGATGAGTGAATGTGTATGTAGAGTTGTTATTATTATTCAGATACAAACATTCGATGCGAACAGACGGTATCACAATACACAATAGTGTGCAGGACTTTTTTTAAGTTTAAATTGTTATATTAAAAATAGTAATAAAAACAGTGTGCAAACGAGAATTTAAGTCCAAAAGAGAATAAAAAGAAATCTGAAACTTTTCGTGATTTTCATACTCAAGGAGACACACAATATTGAATCATTGGTGTAATCGTAAAGGTTGACTTTTGTACGAAGGTAATCACGCGTTTTGACGCGCGATTTAAAAAAATAGGTCGTTCGACACAATGGACTCAGTTAAATGGTTGCACCCGACAGCTATGGAAACAGACGACGTTATGGTTTCAGACAATCTGCTTCAGTTTGTTAAAGACGACGATATTGTTTCCGGATTAGATACACAAGACGATATTTTACCCCAAGGTATTTTAATTGATAGTTTTTCAGGTTTTCTTTGAAAGAAGATGCTTTATTTTCGTCGATTTTTTTATTTTAGATATTTTCAACGAAATCATAAATAAGTTTGATTTTGATGAAAACGATGTGAATATAAATTCGTTTTTGAATGATTTGAATGCTGCCGCCGACAATAATACGCCATATATTCCACGAAATATTGACGATCCACTGCTTTCGTCATCGAATGCAAGCATTAATTACAGTGATTTTACTGCGCAACCAATACTTAAGCCGGCAGCTATACAACAACAACAACCACAGACGACGATTCCACAACAAATTACACACATCACCGCCACCAATACAACATCAATACCGCAACTAATTTCATCATCACCGACACACATTACAACGGCCGAAAATCCAAATCAACTGGAAACGGTTGTCTATCAAATTGCAAACACTCCAATAAGCGCAAATTCATTTGTGGCAACAACTACTGCATCGATGCAATCGCAACAAGTATTGAATGGTTTAACACCAATACAAATGGTTTTTAATAATGTGGACACGGCAAATTTTCAACAAACACAAAAATATTGCGAAGTGAGCGAGACAACAACACAACCGCTAGTGGTGCAAAGTGGTGCGCTATTAAATACAAATAAAGTGTTGGAAAATAATGGTAAACCGATTATTTTGCAACCAACGGTTGTCTATGCAAATGCAACACCAGTATCAAGTAATTCAGTGCAAAGTGTACAATTGATTAACACAACAAATGGCACAATTTTAACACAAGTCCCTGTGTCAACGATAATGGTTGAACAAGAACAAGAAAAACCACCGAAAGTAAAAGAAAAACGAACGACGCATAATGCAATTGAACGTCGCTATCGAACATCGATTAATGATAAAATTGTCGAATTGAAAAATATGCTGGTGGGAGAGGAGGGAAAACTGAATAAATCGGCAATTTTAAAGAAATCAATTGAAAAAATCACCGATTTGGAGGGCGAAAATTATGAACTTCGTTTGCAAAATGCACGTTTACGTGAATTGCTATTGGCCCAAGGACCAATTGCCGCCGATGAAAGTTCACTCAAAACACTACTTCTACAAAGAACAGTTAATCCACACAAGCGTCGTTATACAAATTCATCGACTGGTTCTGGTTCAGAGTACGGTAACACATCGCCACCAACCAGTGACGAATCGAATCCATCTTTGTCACCAGCCCATTCAGATACCGGTTCGATGCCACTCTCGCCACTTGGCAGCGATGAAATTTCAACCGAAATCGATTGTCCACCCAAACGTAATAAGAAATCGGATATGGAAAATATTAACCATGGCATGAGCTCTATTTCCAAATTAACATTGTGCGCTTTTATGTTTGCCATCATCACGATTAATCCATTGGCCAGCTTACTATCGGATTCAGCATCATCAAACGGTGCCAGTATGTTTGATGGAAAATACAGCCCAGTGCGTCGTGGCATTTTGACGGTTGATTCGGATAATGTTAACTTTTTCCAAGGCATGTGGCAACAAATCAGCAGCTCATTTTTGGCATTCGTTTTGAATATCATTCTCTTGACCGTTTGTTTGGTGAAATTATGCTATCACAGTGATCCTGTAATGAACTTCCGTTCACCGGCCGCTGATAAATATTTCAAACAAAAATTAATTGCCGATACGGAATTTGACCAAGGGAATGCCAAAGCGGCACTGGATGCGTATGAGAAGTGCTTACAAATGCTGGGAGTTGCTTTGCCACAATCATGGTTCGAACTGATTCCAATGACAATTTGGCAATTTTTACGGTGTTGTGCGCATCGTTTACGATTTGGCCCATGGCTTTCACGTAAATTTGGACGCATCATACAATCAGATGAAACACAAAAAGACGCACTGAATTCAGCACAAGAATTGGCCATCATTTTGAATCGATGCAATCAAATTCATTTGAGTCAAAATATGAAGGATGGGTGCGGATTGATCTTGTCTATGTATGCGGTTAATATGGCCGAAGTGACCAGAAATATCGCACCACTTACATTGATCGACGTTTATTTGACGGCAGCACTGAGATGCAGAAAGAATTATGTATACTTCTTCAGTTGGATTTGTAGCCGATACTATTTGTACAAAGCACGTAACGAAGCTATGTTATTGTGCGGACAAAAATTACCACCAAAATATAATTGGATTTTTAACAATGCCTACGGCTACAAATTTATTTGCAAATTCTCATTTGACACAATTTTGGAGAACATCGGGTCACCGTCAATTTTTAGCAGCGAAATTAATTCACTTGACACACTCTCGGCGGTATTTGCAGTAAGTATTAAAATCATTTTTTTTTTTTCATAAAAGGAAATCTTTTTAAAGATGTATTATTCCAATTTTAAAGAGATGTTTTTATCAATAATTTAAAAAAAAAAAATCTGTTTGCCTTTAAAGTGCTACAATGAACATTTACTGAAATGTGCTCTGCAATGCTTGGTTGGAGTCAGTTATACATCAAACAATGACATAAAATCGTGTATTGCAATGGAATGCAATGATGAAACTATAGTCAGAGATGTCTTGAATTATTCTGAGCTGCTCAAAGAAAGTAAGTTTTCACGATTTTTCTATAAATACGATTTTTTTGCATTTATTCGATCAACGTTTTTTTTATCTTTTCATTAGATTGTAAAGATCCGTTGACTCTCTGGTGGTCAAATCTGTTTAGTATTGATGCATGCTGGCTTCTGGGTGACGATGCATTGGCTGATAAAATGTTTGAAGATGTGGTCAGAATTCCAAAGGCCCTGCGTGAATCAAAGGATCCATTGGCTCGTGCAGCTGTTACCATTTTTTGTGCAAAGAAATTATTGGCGTAAGTGGCATGTATTTCACACTAGAAAACCAATTCAAATCTTGTATCGAAATGAAATGTTATTTATTCATGATTTCCAATATATCTCTTTATAATTGACAGAATGAAGCAAAAGGCGAGCGTACCAAAAATTTGGAGTTTGTGTAATTGTACGAGCAAAATGTTTACCGAATCATTGGTTTATAACAAAGCTACTAAAAATGACAAAATTCTGGTAGGTGATATTTTCAAAATAGAAAAAAAACCTCTCTTTTCTCATTTTTGTTCAAAAAAAAAATGAAAATGTATCTTTTTAAATTCATTACAGTTCGTTCAGTTGCTGATCTGCGATTGGCTGCTAGAGACTCGTACAACATGTTGGGAAATGGAGCAAAATTCAAAGACCTGTTCCGATGACGAAAATAACAATCTAGTATTTTGCAATCCATCTCTCCAAGGCAAACTATTGGAGCAATTTCAGGCCGATTTGAATAATTTGAATTGCATCATTGATTATATACCGGTTAGTAGTTCATTTCATATTTCACATTTTATGAACCTAAAAATAATAATAATAATAATTTTCAATTAAATTTTCAATAATAAATTGCAGACGGCAAAATCCCGAGTCTACCTCTATGAGGCTGTGTCACGATTGATGGCCGGTGCCGCACCCGGATACACGCAAGAATTGCTAGATCGAAGTTTTCACGAGCAATATCGTCGTAATAACCGATCCACTTTCCATTGTGGCAGTGGCAACAAAGACACCCAGAACAATAACTCCAATGAAAATTTGAATAGAAGACGATGTGGTCAAAATTCGGCGGTCGCAGTAGATGGTGAACGTGAAAGGGCCTTGGCCACGTACGTTGCATGCAAATACTTGCCGACCCCTTTACTTTGTTTACCTGGCGAACGGGTGGGCATGTTAGCCGAAGCGGCGAAAACACTGAAGAAAATCGGCAATCGAAAAAAACTAAACGATTGCTATAAGCTCATGCAAACGTTTCGCACCACCACCGTTTCAACCGATTGAATTAATTTATTAAGTGGATAAATGTTAATATCGTTTTGAAGATTTACTAACATTAAGATACATGTTTCATATAAGTATTAAGTTTATGTATATTATTAATGTTAAGTGAATATTTTTGAATTATTTTTTTGATTTGTAGAAAAATAAAAAAAACACATTATTTTTTTGTGTAATGCACTATATACCACTGAATCTGTGAATAATTATTTTTGATAGAATCATTCAGAAGACGGAATTACTATTCAGTTTCAACTGTCAAAATTTGATGATGAAGATTTGTATATGTTTGAGTTTGTACAACAAAAAAGTTCCATAATTAGATCCGTTCGAGTCAACGTCATACCATGTCCGTCCACGACTTTACACTAATCCATTTAATAAGAAATATTTATTAGGCGCTTTGTATTTTCAGGATGTTTGCAATCTACACACATTTATATTTGAATACAATGAGCTCATTGCTGCTTCATTCGATTTGATGGAGTGCAATTCATTTTGGACAATACAAACAGCTATTTATTGTTGCGTCAATTACTTCAATGAGATAACAAGTGTATTTGTATAATAGATTCACTGCCCACCAGTCCATTTATTTCTATCACCGTCATCTTATCGCAGTTTAATCTGTTCCGCTCAGGTTAGTTGATCGCATACAGTTGATCGAGCCATAAATTGCAAAATGTTTCGAACGTTGTGCATTTCAATCGTTTTATTTTTAGTCACGGTCAATGGGTACGGTATGATTATTATTATTTTGTCGATTGCAAAAATATACATGGTTTGGTGCCATTTTTTTCAGAGGTGCATAAAACCAAAGACATAACTATACACTATGCGGAAGGTGATCGATGTGGATATAATCGTCAGTATACGTATTGTGGAAATTTGTGTAACACAACGTGCAGTACATGGAATTATTTATGTGAGCCGGAATGTTATCGCGGATGTTTATGCTCACCGGGTCACGCTGAAACTCGAATATTTGGTGGAACATGTGTTCCAATCAACTCGCCGCTTTGCAAATGGGATCGAATGAGAAGAAACTAATGACACAATTACAATCAATTAGTAGCTAATGCAGTCAATTAATTGGTTCAAGTGCAATTTTTTTGTAACTTTGTACGATTTTAGATAATTTCTAATAAAGCGACGAGCATATTCATGTTTGTCAAACATTGTTTGAATAAGAAAGTTTAATTTTTTTTCACATTGAATAGCCCAAGACAAAGATGTATAGACACGTTTTCATGGTGAACTTTGATACATACAGTACTTGACTCATGATAAATAAACAGCATTTTTAAGAGAAACCTTTTAGAAACGATTTTTTTTAAACAAATGAATCGAATGGAAAACAACAAAAGAAGATATGAATAATTGAGAATCAAAATTTTGCATCAATTCTGTTCGAAGAAATCTTCATTTAAAGAACATATTTTCATGTATAAATCGAATACATATTTCAAATTAGTGTTCTTTGTCATTTTAAAATTTTAAAATATTTTACGTTGACGAGGACATAACATCAAAGCAAACAGTTGAAACATGAAAAATATCAACATGCTTGAAAAACTATTTGCTTATCTTTCGAACTATAAAGCTATTGCATTTGTTCTCTCTTTCTTACTGTACGAAATACATGTCGTTTATCAGTATTGTGTGCTGCGTATGATTGTAGCATACAGAAAGAGAGACCCGTATTGTGTCCATTGTGTGTTCGGTTCTTGTTTTACGCGCGAAATGTTCGATGATCTGTCAAAATAACTAAAAAGAATGACATTCGCATTGAGAGTGAGTTGTGCATCACATCAGAAGACAGTATTCCGGTTAAATCGCAGGATACACATATAATTAAAAGGTAAGATGGCGTTCTTTTAAAATTTTGTTACGTTATTGGTACGCATATTCATCTAAATGAATTTGTAGTTGAAAAAATGGACCAATCGACCAATGAACGAACACTTCGCGGCCACTTTGGTTACGAGGTAATTGATGAACCGGCAAAAGTATACATTCCGTATATCTATCGAAATAACGACAAATGGAGTCCAACGTCAATCCATATATGGCATTTTGTACAGTTTATGAAAGGCACATACATAGAATTGCGTCCGTATCTTCATGATTTTGGCTTTTTAAAAGGCTACAAAATGAACACTGAAGAAGAAAATTTGATGGAAGAAATAAACTTGATCCACAATGATCGAAAATACCCGTACCAATTCAAAACGAAGAAACAACCAAATAATTTGATAAACATTCAAGACGTTCTCAACATTTTCCAATATGTACGCGATTGCACAGAGAAATCAAAGTTGGGCACGCAATATCAAATGAAAGGTAACATGGCCAAAATCGAAATACTGTCGTCCGAATCTGAACTGCTCATAACAAAAAGTTATGTATTGCCGTATGTAACAACGGAAAACAATCGGTATGTTCCGTCGCATGTATTGTTTGACAAAAATATCCTACCAAAAAAATTGCCCGTAACCATCCTCAAAAACATGGATGCTATGTATTTGCGATTTTTGTTGGACGTTTTGGAGCACGAGATACCAATGTCCAGTTTTAAAATTCCATGCTTGAATCTCACCGAATTATTAGAGTATTTGAAGGAAAGTGAAACCATCCACGATATCGATTATAATTATTGGCCAACCAACGATAGCAATACCACTGTCAACAACAATAATCTACATTTCGCCAATGTCACCGATAAAAATACCATGAAAACAGAAGAACCAAAAGAGGTGAGCTTTTTTTTTTGCGTAAAAATAAATTTTATATATTTTTGGTGAATAAATTCTTATTTATTGGCAGAACCCGCTTAAGCGAAAAGGTTCGGATTCAGGCAATATGGCAAAGCAACCTCGCAATGATTTGGAATCGAATGTCAAAGTACAAACATCGGAGACAATCGAAAAGCCGATAAAAGACAATTCGAAGGAGGTTGACAAGACACATGTGAAAAAAGAAGCATCGAAAAACAATTCATCACAAAGTACAACGTCAAGTGATTCTTCGGAAGAATACGAAGTCGAGGATCTGCTTGAATATAGAAAGAGATGGGGCAAAGAGGAGGTATTGGTTCATTGGACCGGTTATTCGTCGGATTACGATTCGTGGGAACCATTGTCACATTTGAATCCTATACTAAAAGATGATGTTCCCGAATTGCGTAAGAAATGGGAAGAAAAACAACGCCAACGGCGAAAACATTGATATAGTTTAAGTTGACTCATCGTATTACACTCAATTTATTTCTAAACGTAATTAGAACTGGAAAGACAACAATAATCGACTGAAACTGAATAATTTATATTTAAATCTGAAAATATCGAGAAAAAAAGAATCGATGCAAAATGTTTAAGTTTTAATAATGTCACAGACAATGAATTTCTAAGGTTAAGATTAAGAGCAAAACAAAATCAAAATGTATCAGAAGTTAAATTCAGTTGAATTTTGATGATTCAATTAAACATAGAATTTTTTTTTTGTTTCAAAGTATCCCGTTTGGAAAATTGGACTTTTTGCTATTTATTTTTGAAATCATACTTAACTATTTAAAAAAAAAATACATAAAAATTGATAAAACTTAAAAACAATCGTAAATAAATTATACGAAAATGAAACCGATTAAAATGAAAGATTTTTCTTTTCGACATAAATCTAAATAAAGTTTTTGCTTTGAGCGTCTGCGGACGTTTTGTCATCTGTCTGGTAAGTGAGCAGAGCGATTGATTTACAAACAGCCTTTGTAAAATTTATACGCCAAATAGCAGTCGATGCCATGGATTATACCCAGCATGAAACCAATGTACTGAAAATGGATGAAAACGAATGGGTTAGTTTTGCTTACACTCAATTTTAAATGTCGTCTTTAACTCACATATACTGCTGTCATCGCCGGATATGCCATGTAGGCACGTTGCAACTCGAATTTGGGGTATAGCCAAAACGAAGTGGTGAATCCCATGTAAAACGAAGCACTAAAAATAATAAAATAGATAAAATTTATTAAATAATAAATAATAATTAAACCAAATTAATAAACAAACCTGAAGTACATGAAGCAGGCACAGAGATTGTAGAAGATTTCCTATAAATGACACAGCAAAAAATCAATTAATTGGCACTTTTACATCGAAATGGAGCTGTTATAGGTACCGCTGAAGTGTGGGTACTTTTCTTGCATGCAATTTCTTGTAATCAGATGCTGTACTTGAAAAATTGTATGGAATAAATGTGGATACTAGTGAATGCCCACAACAACATTCTCCGGTGCCAATAACAGCTCTGTAGTCAAATTACGAAAAAAAATACTTACAAACAGTGACTGTCGAACCAGATTGAATGTGCGAGTGGAAATAAGGTAGCAGAATAGCAAAAGTGATGAGGTCAGCAGGCACGATGAAACCGTGGTCAGGAATGTGTTGAACGCTTTACAAATGAAAAGAACAAATTTTAAATTAGACACTCTGTGTATGTACACTTCTGTTTTCTTTACAGCGACCAAAACCAGAAAAATAATTTAAAATGGGTCTGAAATGAAATTTGGAAGTTACCTTGTCCAATATCCGCAGCCGATTCCAATCCAAATCGAACCAACAATGTTTGACAACACGATCCCAAAATCACTTCGCTAATTTTCATCAGGCCATGATTCGTTGACAAAAAGTTCAAATTGACACAAGTGAACAAGCGACAACAGCAAATTTTGATTCCACCACCACCATCTTCCATGATGTTTTGTCGTGCAATTCTTGCCGATCGTTGTGTTGGCATTCCAATTATTGTTGGCATTTTATCGCTGTGATTTTCACTATTTTTGTTTGATTTTTGTGAATGATGAAATCGGTTTTGTTGCACAATGAAATTGCCTCGAAGTACAGACGGTCGTCAATTTCTTTCTTGATTTTTTTTTTTTAAACTTATTTCACTATGATTTTTTCGACTAAAATCGAATCTGACCACAACAAAGAACAAAAACACACAATTTAGTCACACAAAAATATGTTTTGTTGATGCACGCACAATACCGGCTTGTGAGTGAGACGCCCGTGACTAAAACGCAATGAACTGATTCAAATAACGCACACGCAAATACCAATGCATTGGCTGCTGTGTGCATACACGCGATGGTCTCTGTAAGATATTGAATAGCGGTAAACGTCATCGCATCACAAAACCATAACCTTATACAGAGCGCTCCAAAACGAGCTGAGTAAGTCAAGATGTTTTCGTCCGTCTCTTGATTATTTATTTTTAGATAAGTTCTGAACGATCCTCAGTTTTGAATAAATCGGTGTTCATTGACATCTATCCCTTGTCGCTGTTGCATACATGTGCACAAATGAGACTCAATATGTTTACCGTTCCACAGCGGATGTTTATGAAATACATGAATCGTCACATTGAACTACAAATTCTTACGTTTTTTTTCTTTTTCTCATTTGTGCATCATACAGACGTGTTAAAATATAAGGCAATTTTACGTTTTTGGCCGAATTCATTCTAAAATGTGATTCATGCTTTCTATTTATAACACACAAATTTGAGCGGAGGGAGGTCTCTGGAAAATTGTACGCGTAGTAAAAAAAACGATCACATATGCGATAGCAGTAATGAAAGAAACCTCATTTATTACCACAATATATCGTAGTATAAAACATTCTTAATATCATCTAATTAATATTTCAGCAATATCGTTGTTATGTCAATTTAAATTGATGAAAGTTGATTTTTTAATGGTGTTGACTTTTTATTTTCTCATTTTATGAATATATACAAAGTGAAATGGCACAGTTTATTGTACACGAAATACTAATATAGACTTTTCATATAATAAACATTTTTGATTGCAAATACGAAGTCAGCAAGTGTTTATGTATCTATTTTTCCCAATCGAAGCTGTTTTCGGTTGAAAACGATTAAAAGTGGCATTCAATTTTTTTTTATTAAATTTTGCTCACCATAAATTTATTTTAAAAATAAAATTTAACCATTTTGATCTGTTAGTTTTTAATCGACGATATTTATTTTAAAATCGGAACCAGAACGATTTAAATTAATTTACTTGCTCGTGTTTGATCTGACATTCTATTCGTTAAAGTGGCAATTTTCAAGTGTTTATAGTTCTCTTTCAGTGTAATGTAAATCTAATTTCGGCTTTAACCTCTTTCATGTCCACTTTTGCATTCGCTACACATTTGGGTACATAGTACACATTTGATCTACTGTACTATTTTAAAACTTCAAATACCAACAGTTTTTGCAATAATTCATAGAATTATTCAGAGAGCATGTACAGCCCAAGCTACTTTGAGTCTAATCGTTTCATTAAAGAGCACATTTTCACCACTCAATTGGATCGGATAAATCGAGTATTTTCTCATTATTTTCACACTTTGTATACCAAAATAGTTGAAGTGCACTTGTTTAACGAGAATAATGTGATTTGTATTTTTTTTCTTCTAATTAATACTATTTTTGGATAATGAGGCACTGATTTATAAATTATTGCTTCACATTCAAGGATTTTCGAGTTGATGTTTTGTGGCAACACAAAATGTGCAAATGTTCCTCGTTCGTGGTATATGATTATATGAATTGTTCATATTCATTTGTGCTGCATATAAACATGGTTTGGTGGATTGGCCTGTGAATTTGAAGGAACAGTTGTTTATTCGGTAAAATTACAGACAATTTTGCATGATTATACCTGTTATCAGCGTTGCAAATAAATGTTCGATGTAACTTTTGGCCAATCGAAGTGTTTCAATTTTCGATAGTTTTCGTGTTTTTGGTTCGGTTGGAATTAATTCTCTCAATGTTAAAAATGCGGAATTTACACTAAAAAAAAACATAGTTTGAAAAGTGTTGAGGCAGAAAAAAAGTCCAAACAAACCTATGTGTGCGATGTCTTTCCCGCGCATTGGCCTGATGTCGAATCACTGGCGTTTGAACAGCATATTCGGAGTTTGTGTTTCTTTTAATTGGTCCCGGTTTCATTGCTCTACAAATTAAAATCGCACTTAAGAAAGAAAAAAAAAGGCAACTTTCATCGACGACTTAACAAATGCAACTAAATCCCACAGTCGATTGCAATGAAGTTGGAAGCCGTTTTTATAGTTCGAGAAAAAAAAACAACAACATCAAAAATGATTCCAATGAAAACAAATTAGCTTTTTGCCTCATTGATGACACGCTGAAAGCATAAATTGTAATAGCAATAATTTATCAGCTTCCTTTTGATCTCTGAACTGATGTGGTAATTTATCTGATTGTCGGTTTAATTGCTGATGCGCGCTCGCCGCGCTCATCATTCATTTGGCAAAATTCATTATTGAAAAGTTGTGCGAGCGGGATGAATGCGAACGCATTGAAGCAAGTGGCAAATGAAGCGAGAATAAAATATTAAACGGCAATTCGTTCGGCATCGAATGACAAGCGGCTCTTTGTCTATTTTCATTGCTGCACTGTTATCTCAATTTGTTTTAATGACGTTCAATTTTGAAAAATTATTCCAGAGAGAGGAAAGAAGATCCTGTGTTGCATGGGTAATCCAAGCGACTTTGCCGAGTTCAATATGGTAAACAAATTAACAAAGATAAAAACAGCTGTCAATATTATGACAACGATCGATGCACTCCAATGTAAGCATTTAAAGTGATGATTGCGATTGACCTTGTAAATAGAGATGAGAGAAGAAGGAAAAAACAGTGAAATATGAACGATGCACGTGTTCTATCTATTTAGAGAACAGGCTGTTTGTCGATGCAATTACTAAAATATTCTTTAATTTAAATTTTTTCGTTTTTTATTGGATACATTTAGAATTTGGTTGTCCCTTTGATTCATTGAACAATGAAATGGAAAGCAGAAGGACAGATTTACTTTTTTGGCTTACTTTTCATGCTCGAAGCATTCAAAAATACACATACATGTATTGCTCATACTAATTGGCTTTCTATCGGCAGAAAAAAGCAATAAATTTTGCCATTATCGTTTTCGTTCGACGATGTATGTTGGGTGTGACTTTTACCGTGATACAACAATTCCATCTAATTTATACCTTGTTTCCACTTCTATTACTCTCTGTGTGTATCTTGAAAATCTGTGCCGTTTTGATTGTGTGCCAAATGGAATTGCGAACTGGAAAAAAAGGTTAAATGAGAACGTAGCGAAGTAATTAAATTACTTCCGATACTTTTGGTAAAATTAGTGTAACAACCAATACATATCGTTGTGTAATTAAAAGCAAGCACGCGATTCAAAATCAATAAATCACACCAATTTCAGAGTAGTTAATTTGCAGCTGCAGTAATTTAATTAATAAGTTTCAAACTGAAAAAAAAAAAAACAAAAAAAATCCCAATTTTCACTGTACATAGCTGACATGCGATTTGTTCCATCCTTTTTGTGATCTGTTCAATTTTCCTTTCGAATACATGCTTCTTTACAGCGTGAACAAAGGCAGCAGTTAATTTTGTTGTGTGTGCGCGCGCTTGAAATGTGGTTTACAAATTGAAAATGTTCCAAGATGAAAAAAAAGAGAGTGTATTTAAAGGTGTTTGTTATCCTTGTAACCGCAGACACTAAACGATGATGTTATAGCTTCACGAAATTTAAAGCAGAAAAAAAGAGAGAAGAATTATTTTACCAATAAAGAACGACAAAGTGGAACACGCGCTTACGACGGGCGGTGGAGAAGGACGAGCGACGGAAATGAGCAAAAGTACAAGTAGTTTCGTTGAAGTCTTTAGATCTCGACTGTTAGATGAAATAAATTGGATATGGCCCAAAGGAATTGGATCATTCACACAACCGTTTTCACGTTCCGTTTGCACTCAATATACCTTTGAGCGAATGGTACATCAATTGGTTTTCTCGATGCAGTTGAAAAATCCACCAAAGAAATGTTTTTTCTCATTCGTTCATTTTTTTTCTTCCTCTTTTTTCTCTTTAAATAATAAACGAAATGCATTTTTCGAACATGTGAGTTTTAAGTGAATTTGGTTCTTTTTTTAGCAGAAAAAAAAACGTTGTGATCTAAAGTTTGTGTTTGTCGAATGAAAATGGGATTTTTTGAATTTTCTTTTGGCAAAATTCAATTTTTTTCTCAAGTACACATTCACTTTACGGTGCTTTTATTCCTTCTGTGGATTTTGGATTGTGACTGAAAAAATTGTTTGTTCTTCATCCGACAGAAAAGAGAAAAATCAATTCATTGAAGGACTCTTGAAGAGATTCCGACGATTCCAGGTCGAAATGCCGAATATAATTTTAATGGGAATTCGTGTAATAAATTGCTTTTTTCCATTCTCTCGACAATGACGGTAAAAAATAATCAAATTAGTATGTTGTCAGCAACACAGAGATAACATCAGCTGAACTCTATTTACCTCACTGACTTTAATTATTTTCGACATAAGCCAACGTATAGACACACAAAAAAATATGCACCCAAACATTAATTGTAATTTGGCTGTGATTTGCCACAAAGCCACAACAAAGAGTATGCTTTATTGTGTATTTGCTAACAATTGAATTGTGCGGAGAGCACCGGAATCCATTAAAATTAGAACAAATTGTTTCGCATTGACATTTATTTTTCTCTCTCACATTTATATAGAACAATATATTTTTATGACACATCAGGCTAATGGGAATTTGATTGAAATTTTTTGGGTCAGACGTTAAATTACAAAAAAAAAAAATCAGTTGTAAAGATCGATAATGCTCATCCAGTATTTTCATAGCCAAATCGTAACCAGACACAAATTTCGCGTAGACATCGTTATACCATTTTTGGAATTGCTTTTGTGGATCTTGTCAACCGTCGCTTTAATTTGTCATCGTTCAATTTACAAAATCTCAAACATCCTTCTACACATTACGTCAAATTCGTAAAAAAACTTAATAATAAATACATTTTCCTGAGACTTATAATAATTTTTAAGGCGAAAAAGAAAACTTTTAATCACTCAACTCTGGTGGTACGGCTCGACGAAGATGAAACGTCACTAAATGCATATGGAATTATACTATTTGGCTGTTTGGTTTTTGCTATTTTCAACCAAAGAATTGACATTGTTGTTGAAGCGGTTTGAATGCCTCGCTATAGAATTTGGTTTTGGTTTTGTGGTGGTTTTAAAATGCACTACAATCCAAATCAATTTAGATAATGGACTTCAAAAAGGAATGGGTACTTATTTACTGAATAAGAAAGTATAGCGCACGTAAAAAGCAATCCAAGGATATGTCGTCGTCAGTGATGTGGACGCTTTTTCTAACGAGAACAAAAAGACAAAAGTGTTGTATACTCCCTTTCAATTGCATTTTATCTATTAATCTGTTCAGAGAAACCAAGCTCTGTACACGATTTTTGGCAGTGTTTGTAAATTACAGTGAGTGGAAGCAAACTGTAAAGTAATACTAGATCTTATTGAAATAGAGTATAAAATGTCTTTGTCAATACTGGAAAATTCATCAGCTCTAAAATGATACCTTTGTTGTTTTTATGTAACCAGTGGTGGAACGCCAAATCATTGAGGTGAAACGTAGGTATTTCATCTACCTTTGAGCCACGATGCACGGACAAAAGAGGAAGAAATCATAAGAATAAGAAAAACAAAGCAAATTAACTAAATGCAATTATGCACTCACATGAACTCGGTCAAATTTACACCGAATTGTTTGTGCCCGTGTCAAAACGACTTATTCGACAAATGAAAAGCAGGATAAAAGCCAGACATGAAAAGAAAATACCATTATATTTTCGTGAACTAGATCGTGATGTTTTTTTTGGAGTGGTTTACCCAACCGCTGTCTTTCGAGCCGAATAATGATAAATCAAAATAATATCCGTCGTTTCTGGACAGTTTTATGTGTTTATGTGCAAATTAATTTGACAGCTTCAACGATTTCATACCGTTCGTATTATCTTTGGGGTACAATGGAGTTTTTTCCCTCTCGCAAAATATGTTACGTTTTACACCTCATAATTTATTGAAAGAAAAACGTGAATTTATTATTGCCCAGAGGTATGAAAAAGAAACAATTCAAAAAAAATACGATAGCATTCTTCAAACACGCTTTTCATCATTTGGTTTTTTTAAGTCTTCCGATGTTCAAATTCATATTTCGTTTCATGTTTTTTCCCTAAATTATTAAATAAATTGCGACAGATACGGTATTTTGTCTGAATAAATATTTTCAACTTAAGACGAGGTGAAATCGCTTTCAAGCGATAAAAGAAAATTACTTGCAGACCTCATCATCATGAACGAATATCGGAATTTATTCCTATCATAATGCGCTGAATTTTTTCCCCTTCCAACGACACGATTATTTTCCATATTGCACACGCCACCTCAGCAATGCGATAAGAATAAAGACATCCGGTGACGACGAGGACGACGACAAACACGGGATAATATTTTCGTGTTTATTTAATATTCTCTATATCTCCAATGAATGACAGGACATCCACTCACAACGAGTCTTTCCATCACGGTGACTCGACCAAAATATAAATATTTAATCAGAATAATAATATTATTCTTCACGATATTTACATCGTAACGTCATCACAGGTCATGCTTTAAACCCAATTGCTAGGGTAATTATTATCAATATTTTTTGAATGCATGAAAATATTCTTCACAAAACAGACTTTTTCTAACGTCTACATTTTCAATTTTACGATGGAATTCATTATTTTTTAAAGGAAAAATATGTTTGTTATTGAAATTTAACGAGAATGTTTTGAAAATTTCCATTAGCACCTTTTTCAATTGGATAAATGATAGAAAAACATGATAATTATGTAAATATTATACATTTTTGCCTGTTAATAAATATTTTATTACGTTTCCATATTTTGCTGTGGTGTATGGCGGAAAACAAGGAATTATACTCATTGTTACACTCTGTGAAAGGAGCTCTCGGTTTGTTCGTTGATTATAAAACCAAATCTCACAAATCAAATTTATAAGTAAAAAACACTTCTTTGGAAGTTCTCACTGTGACGCAATGCTGCACATCAGATCCGAAAATGATCCGATATAAATTTTCAGTGACGCTTGCAATCAAATACACAAACAATTTTTATATTGCGTTGCCTCTCTCATTTTTGGAAAATTAAAAATGAAAATTTCATTGTGATAATGCCGTTAATCGTTATTCACACATTTTTTTAAACAAAATTACGATTTTCATCGATTTTTTTCCCAGACATGACACATAGACCAAAACTGAAGTTCGCAGCTTTCCAACGATATATAAATCATTGCCGCACCTTTCATCAGAGTATGAAATCGCATCTCTTCATGAGTGATAAATTCATGAGTGCCTTTCATATGCTCAGAAAGTAGGCTATTTTTGAATCCATACCTTAGGCACTTAGGCAACAAAATTTAAAAATTTAAAGAGACATGTATCTTAGTTTTCCTCCTACTTTCGAATAGAATTATTTTCCGGCACAATTTTTTTTGATTAAAATAGTGTGTATAGTCTCTCATCCGCTATTTACTGTCCTCAAATCCATCGATAACTTTTGTCAAATTTCAGTTGGTTGGAATTCATTCTGACCAAGAATTTTATGTATATCATTGATTTTCGATTGCCAATTTGCCATCGGCATTTTTCTTCCACCGCTAATCAAAAGAGTCATATTGTCAAATGTGATGAAAAACAATCGCTGTGTATGTATATAAAGATTTAATAATTTGAAACGGACTTACTTTGCTAGCTCGCTAATTTTTATAAAGTTGTTGTTGCCCAGAAAACAAATGAATGTAAAACACACGCGGCAATGCAATTCATTTTCCGCGAGGATTTCGCTCCAAATCTTTGGTTATGTCTCGATGTTTCACATGGTGCATCGACTTCACGCCGATGATAGAAGAAATTCGTCGGATAAATGTATTTCGCTTCTTTTGATCAGCGAAAATACATAAGCAATCTCCCGCTAATTAAATGACTTAGTTTTGCGGTAAATCGATTGCGTTATCGAAAATGCGCACCAACTCTCTAATAGGTCATACTTGGGCGACGGTCCGAGTCGGACCGTCCGACGAAGAAGAACGTCTCCCTTCTTTTTTTCTGCGTTAACAGAATACTTTCCCGTCAGGAACGGTTGTGACGTTGGTCACAAGTGGCGTGGTGAGATTGTTGACTGGAATGTTTGACAATTATCGCTATCTAGACTGACCTTAATTCTAATAGACAATTGTGTTTACAATTCGCGCAGTGTCATTTTGCAAGCATGAGTGATTATTATATTAGTTTTCATTTGACTGGATTAAAATCCCATAACAAATTGATGTTCACATACAATTTCAAATTGGCTTACAAATACTAGAGATAATAATCATTTTATAGCTTATCAAATCTACTGGCATTGACACGACGGGAATCGTCATGTGTGTGTGTTTTCAAAACACGAAAAAATGTATATTTTCTGGCAAAAAGAAATCTGCATTAAAATATCTGCATTTTCTGTTCTTTTTCTGTATTTTTTCATTAAGAAATTATAACTAATTCTATTAAGGAAAGAAAACAAAATTAATCATTTCGTGGATTTGACTGCAACATGCAATTGCGTTTTCATAATGTTTGTGATTTGGCATTTGGTAATGCTAAAAAATTGCGTCAGTAAAAGTATAGGCTGTTCATTTCCTTGAAAATGTTCCAATAATTTATCTTATTCGATCTGTCGTAAATAATAACAAATTAATTTTGTTTTCTTTCCTTAATAAATATGGAGTACAATCCATATTTTTCAAAACACTTGATATCACTTGGTAGTGACATGTTTTGAAGGGCAAACAATTATTTTCTCAATTTTTTGGAGAATTTTCTTATCCGGTTATTTCCGGCAGTCCTCCTATCCATCTGACTGGGTCACAAGAGTTGTTATTTGATATGCAGATGGTACTGGCCTACAAAGCTGCACTGATGAGCTGTATACAGCGAAATCAATCACTAAAACGATTGCGTTGTATATGCTTTTCTAGAAATATATGGAGCAGCCTACGTAAAACCGTAGAAAATATAAATATATGTTTATAGCAATTTTGAATTCGACCTTATATTGACTTACGAAAGTACGAAGAATTTTTTGGTATTTATTTCTAACTATTTGAGCTCAAAAAAAAATTAACTTAATTTAACTTACGATAATTAATGAAATGTGGAAAAATCATCGCTTGAAAAATACTGACAATAATGCACCAATTCATCAAGGGCACCTCTTTTAGAATGGCTGTTGTGATCACTCCGCTTATATTATCATGAAACGATGAAAGCGCAAGGTTTTTTATCGTTGGATGTTTTTTGAAAATCGTTGACCATTGGGATGTGTCCGGTATTTCTTCCACATACGTGTGCAATGTGAAGTTTTCAATACTGCCAAATGTTATTTGTGATAACATCACATGTAAATCACGTTCATGACATGTGCTGATTTCTATTTCCTTCAATGCGACGAAGTTTACTGTGTCGTTGTAAATGGTTAAGAAAATTGAATTGTAACACTATCCAATTTTCAGAAATTCTAATCTTAAATGCCCGTCTACTTCTGCATAAATACTTCACCGCACTCGATCTGAAACTGGCCGAAGAATCGAAAAAGTAGACCTCGTTCGTCACACTACAGATTTACATTTTGCAGTAACACATTACAATTGTAACGAAGCATTGCTGTAATGCTATTACAATTGTAATGTTAGATTTGCTATTTTTATAACCTTACTGGCAATGCTTCGTTACGATAATAATGTGTTACTCAACGCTGCCGCTAATGTCAAAAATCTAACATTAATATTGAGACTTTTCAACACAACTTTAAGTTGAAAATATATTTACAATAGATCTAGATATATTTACAATCAATTTCAATGATGAGCTTAGAGCAGACACAAACGCCATCTATTGTAAATATATTTTCAACTTAAATTTGTGTTGAAAAGTCTCAATATTAATGTTAGATTTATATATTAGCTATATTTTCAAACTTTTCATTTTTTTAATAAACCAAAATAAATTGACTAATCAGCACTCAGTATTAAATATTACTGAAACTCAATGAAACTCAAGGCAACTATTTATTATCAAATTTCTTTAACTATGTTAAATATTCTGAAAAACAAATTAAAATGAATTTATTTGATGTTTGCTTATTATTTTAAGACGCCAATTCAATCATTTGTGTATTATTTTTTCAAAATATTCGTTCTGACACATTTCAAAACATATTGTCTTACGTAAAGGATTAAATTCAAAATGCGTGTTGTTGTGCCTTACAACTACAAAAGAGTATATTGATAAAAAAAAAGTTTGGTTTTTGAGATTACACGAATGACGTAAATTGACACATTTCTTTGTAAATATTTTCCTAGATTGAAATGTGTAAGAATGAATATACATTGTATTGAAAATGTTAATTGCGTGTGTATTCTGGTTCTATTCCTGGTCATCAACTAATGAGGACCGTAACTTCCCAGATTGACCACACTGAAAGTTGAGTTTTTGATAATTGAGTTTTCTATTCTATCGGCATTTACGACAAATGGTCTTAAGTCAAAATTTGGCAATCTATATTTCAATTTTTTTTAAATTTCAAGCAACCGTTCAGGAATACATACATTTATGATGTAGATTGAATGATGCATGCATTAATTGATATAAAATGCCATATTATTTTGGTTATTATTTAATGTTTGTATAGTTGATTCCGTTCAATTTATAAGTACTATTGTTATTTTGCTGAATTGTTAGCAGTTAAGTAATTTCACATATGTCAAATGTAAAAGAGTGAACATGCTCTTATTTTTGGGCGATTCTTTCGTTCAGTTAGTCTATCAACCAACAAGCTGTTGGAGTTGAGCACAGAGCGTTCTTCTTGGTTAAATCGTCACACGATACAGATTATTGGAGTTCATTTGGAACGAGTAATAGCCAAGTAACATGGTATTAACTCATAAAATCACTGACTGTGCACATTATGCTTAAAAACAGGAGATTGCCGCGTTTATTCGTCAAAAGAAGAGGATATTCGCTACTTTTATTCACACGCAAAAAGTGAATGAATTATCCACCAAGCCTTCCATCATCGGTGCGAAATCGATGCAACGTGTTCTACCGTTATCGCAAATTGAGGTCATCCGTAACGGGCCCCATCAAGGTATTTAAGTGCACATTTAGTTTTAAGTGAGATCATCCAAGAGGCCAGGGCATTAGTTTGTAAGGAATCGATCATTATAAGAAAAGTAGAAATCGCATAATTAAATTCTCGGCAAAAAGTCAACTGCGAGAAAAATAAATAGTTGAATATTACTTTAGTATCTTTACAAGAGAAAATTCTGAGCTAGCAAAAGAAGACCGTTTCAGACATCATGAGACATTTTCAAATTAAAACGCTGTATTTAACTTGTTTTTCGTTCCATCGTAAAATACTTTATATTTTCTAGGAAAAAAGATAATTTGTGACACATTTTTGTCCAGAACAGAAATGAAAAAAAAAACTTAATATTTTGTTAATTTTCATGAGTTTGTGTTACAAGATAACAAATATATAAATTAATATTTCTCATATCGATTCAACCAAAAAATCTCAGTGAAACATTGTTTGATGAGTGTATACATTATTGCCATTTCTAGTAATATACACATCTGGACTATTCCATTTATGTTCCCAGACCGCTTCCTTGACCTGTGTTTTCATCCAGCACATATTAATTCGTATATCTGCGCATATGGCAAAGATCGCAAATTTGTTTCCTGGCGAAGTTGATCTGAAACAATTTTTGGCACACAATTTCATAAATGCCTTAACAAATCTTACCGATTTTGAGCCAGACGTTTTAGATTCGCTGTTTGTGCTAGGATTGCATTGGTATCACTGAAAATCATAAATTTGTCAAACAACATTGAAGAAGTATTTTTGGTAATCAAATCTAAATAGTTACATTCTATAATGTGTTTGCGTATATGTGACTTGATCAGCATATGCCCTATTGAAATGTGTGAATATTTGATTTAATGCTGTGACAACATTTTGCAATGTTGTATTATCACTACTGTAAAAGATAGAAACTATTTAGCCAAATTAAATTATAGTAATTATATCGCTATTTACTTTGAATTTGATGAACTTCCAGCCTCGCCATTTATTTCACCACAGCACCTGCAAGAAAATTATTTTCAAATGATTTTTATATTTAATTGCTATGAATATTGCTGATTTTACTTGTCCATCCAGTCAGCACCATTGTTTTTAAAGGCTGCTTCAAAAAGATGTGGTACAAAGACTGTTGCCTGAATTAATTGAATTCGATTACTAACGGAATGATCGTCCAACATTGTATATTGGTTCACGGAAAGCACTCCACTCTGGAATAAAAGAAAATTCAATCAAATAACTGTTTGTTGTTGGTCAGAATAGAACAAAATTAGAACTATATTTTCATCAAAATAATACAAAATAGTCTTTTTTTTCAGAAAATTGAAGTATTAAGAAAAATATCTTTGACTGTGGTTGAAAAAAGTACTTGGACTTACCAAAGACAAAACAGTTAAACTCAAAATATTGAATAATTCCATGGTTATCTTGAATAAATAATTACTTTCAAAGTGTTCAACGTTTAAAATGATAATAGCCTTGTGTGAAGCTGATGTTCGCAATTTATACTATTTTCCATTTATCTTATTCAAATAAGCTTAGTAGGCATGTGGCATATTTCAATTGTTTTCATTTGATTAAAATATCTATTAAATATATCGAGAAGAGAGTATGTTATTCAGCGCTTATGGCTGAGTAATGTCTGAATAAAAACATACTCTCCTCTCGATATTTTCAATAGATATAGTTCACGTAGGTTCTAGCGTACGTAACACCTTTTTTGGAATGTGTTTACCCTCTTTAATAAAACGTGTGTTTTCTAAAAAATATGAACTTTATAGAAAAATAAACAGTTCGTAGTACTTGCGTCATATTTCAAACATTTGTTTGTGAGAAAGTACTATTCCATTAAATTAAAATAAATGATAATTTTTCACCATTTTATACCAAATCAACTCAAATTTAACATCATTTAATTTTTTCATTGAATATAAAATAATTTAATAAAGGTTTCCAGGTTATTCGAATTCGGCCAAACTGTAATTTCAATGCACATTTTTCTATTGAATGAGAATTTCATTTTTAAAATTGCTGCATCGTCACATTCTTCTTTATTAAAATAACAAAAATGTGCGATTGCAATATTGAGCATCGATTATAACATAAAAAAGAAGAAAATTGTATTTTAAAATACGTTTTTGGTTCTAGAAATAAAAAAGTCCGCTTCGTTTTATTTATAAATGAGAAATGATCTATATGTTTGAGCGATTGAAAAGTTGATAAAGTTTTCTCTTCCTGAAGTGTAATAAATCAATTAAAACTTTTCGAGTGGAATTGATCCTTGACACTGGTCGATGATGGCGGAAGAAATAAAAATTGCAAAACTATTGTGGTCTTTTAATCTCGTAAATTGTATCCGAATTCAGTACATTTCCTTGATAAATTACAAAGAAAAATCCCTCAACGTTGAATGAAGGTATTAAAATGTTGAGAAAACTCTTTCTAAAATTCGCATTCATTCAATTGAAATCGAAAAGTTACATTATGTGAAAATAACGTCGAATGGCGGTTGGAAGAACGAAAATAACATTAAACGGAACATTCGACGATATAATATCGATTCTATGCAGTTTCTCAACTGTAAATTCCAAGTCGCAACAAACGCAGCAAACGGATAATGACTTTAAAATATAAACTCAAGTTTGTATATCAGATGTCATAAAATAAAAACCATTAGCCAAATCAATGATCAAATGCTTGACGTTTCTCTTTTTCTCTAAGCAACGTAAATGCTTCCATTATTTCACATCCATGGAATGACAGAATTGAAACCAAAGTACAATGTAAATTGCATGGAAGTCGGATCGATGCAATCAGTTACTAAGTATCAACAGAGTCGAACGAAATGTTCCGAATACACATTGCAAATGCATTTGTACGATTATATATATTTGATTTAACATTCACTTAAGCATTCAGAGTCATATTATGAGCATATAAGAACTAAATTCGAATAAAATGCAAATACTTCAGATGAACAAAAGGAACGACTTTTAATCCTAGGAATTACCGAGTTTTTTTACATTAAAAAAAAACAATGACAAGCTTTTCGAATAAAATTATTCGTCGATAGATTTCGTGCATAGTTTTTTTTCTTTCTTGTATCAAACATTCTAGTAACTTGAATAATTATTGTACATAAATAAATAGAATCGTATTTTTGCACTTGATGGAAGTCTATTACCACGCTCATGAAATATTCACAGATCAATTGAACAAGTTATACTCGTATAATAGTAAGTTTAGAATGTCAATTAGATATTACTCTTCATATTTTAATTGAATTTACTTTACTTTCTCTGCCGATGAACGAACCACAACGAACAATTTTCTCAAGCCATTTGAACAAATAAATGTTTAAAAGTTACATTGTCCAGCAAAAATCAACCAATTATTCACTATGCATCTTATTTCAAAATTTATAACTTTCCCTTGAAAATCGTCATATCTCATTGAATCTCTTGTATAAATTCATTCGATTCACCTCATAAACTCTAAAAAATTTATTGTTGAATTGTGAGTCCGTCTTGCGAATCAAATGTGTTTTATGCCAGCTGTCTAGCCCACATTTTACAAACACCGAATGGCAAGTGAACGAATCGATGTGGCTGAATTGCGGAAAATGTTGACATGAGCATAAATCCTGTTGGCAATTTCGAAAAATATGGCCGAAACTTCAAAAAATACGACAATAAATTTTAGTACAGAAGCATTCCTCGATATTTTAGATTTTTTTGTTTGAGAAAAAAAGACGTATATAAAGTATACTCATTTGAATCTGATTCATAACACACAACAGCAAGGATTATATAAACTCACGATTGCAATAAATAGAAGAATTCCAAGGATTGACGGCGAAAAGCAATGTATAATCACAAAAAATTGAAGAAAAAAAGACGAAAAAAATTAAAGAGGAAAGGAAAAAATCTATAGAAGAGACCCTTTCCAATGAAAACAAAGTTTTCCATTTCAATCAATAGGTTTATGAAAAATCCATCCAATGTTGGTGTTTGAATATAAACTTTAGTTGGTATGACAGTTCGGTTTTTTTTATTGTGGCGGAAATTCATAATTCAATTATGAGTTGATTGTGTTGATAAATTTGGTTGTTCTTTGTACAAAAATAATAAATTACCATTCATAGTGGCAAAACGGAAGAGAGCGTGTCAAAAGCCAAAAATAAACTGTGTTCATTTCATTCGCCATACTTGTAATTTGGTTTATGTCATTTGGAAAACACGAAAGAGGCTTCACTCGTAATAAGATATTCACACACAGTCTGTTTTTTTTTTCATCTAAGAAAATACATGCCATTAACATATTAACAATAATTTTAATTAATGAAAGCGCGAAAATCGAGAAATTATATTTGACACAAAAGTTTTGAATTGTGCGACATCGTTTAGGAATGGTTGGCCCGAAACCGTGCATCATCTTTTCTCATTTCTTTTTATAATGCCAACTGCAAATTGTTACGATGACTTAATAAAACTTTTAATTACTTCACACCAAGTTGCCAAAAGGCATGAGGAAAGCATAACAAACGGCTGTGACAAATAACATTTTAGGCAATTTTATGATCGAAAACTGGCAAATATTTGTTGGCATTATGTCATTTTGCTGCATTTCATCAATCAATCATTGTTGTTGCTGCGGTTGCTTTAAACAAAGAAGCTGAGAGACACCGATTCCTGATGTCGCTTGAAAATATATATTGTAATTCCAAAAGCGTACAACAATTATTTCACACAATCTTTGGCACGCGTGGAAAAACTAAACCAATTTTGCGGCAGGATAAAGTGATGGCGGTAATATGGTCTATTAGCGCATTAGGAAAACATGTTCATTGGAACACATCATGCGATTTATTATCAAAACCAAATAAAATGAGCGATGAGACGCAAAACCAGCGCAAAATATTTGGCATAATGATGATGTTGTTTGAGCAAATGTATCCCCAGTTTTATATAGAAAATGTGTGTTCGTAAAAGCATTATTTCAGCGTTAAAAAAAAATTCGATGGCATTTCAATAGCATGCAATTCATCCAAAGTGACTGAGGCTCGACACGCTGTCACACAGCAGTGTGAGTATGTGTGTGTGTTAAGCGTGCTAATGATTTATGCGTACAACGGTTTATGTGCATCAAAATCATAAATCTTTTGTACGCTTCATAATCTGCTGTTTGCGTTCGGTTGTGTGTGTGTGTGTCTATCTCATCCGTTTGTTGACACTGCAATTTGAGCACTGGAACGAAAAGTTCAGCGAACACACACACATTTCTTTCTTTTACGCTCTTTCCTTTCGCCATTTGTGTGTGTGTGTGTGCGAAGAAGGTTTCCGCCTGTCGTGAACACCAAGCATTTTACAAACGATGATGTTGTTCAGTATGTTGTCGCCGTTTCTATCTATATCTTCTCAACAGCACACCATGTTATTATTGTTCAATCGTTAGTGGCATTACCATCGCGTTTAGCTATAAATTATAACGCGACACATTGTGACAAACTCCACCTTTTTTTGTTCGACACTTTTTTCACCCACTCCCCGGAACACAACGACTAAGAGATAAAATGTGCTTTCGACGTTGTGCTTAAATTTTTGCCATCTTCACGATTCGCACCATGTAATATATATTCATTTTCACCACTTTGGCATAAGTCGTTCGAAGTAACCCCCCAAAATAGCAAGAAAAATACGACGAAGCACGAAATTCGTTTGACAACTGAATGCTTCTGCTGTTTGGGTTTTGCTCTCAACATTTTTCGGCTTTTTTTACACTTCATTTTATGCAGCCGACTGAATATTTGTGCACATTGACACAAACTGAAATATGCTCTCATTTAAATAGAGAGTTAGTTTCCAATGTAGATTTACATTTCAATCAAAGTAACATTTTCTGCATGATTTTTCAATTTGCTATCAGATCCGATGTCACCGAGCCACACCATTGTGTAAAATAAAAAAAAACGATACCTTTGAAATGCAATTTTTCATACAACTCAAAGCCTCAAAAGAGGACAGTCCAATGTTAATAACACATTTTTAACATTCAATATTCTGTGTTGAATGTTTTCGTTGCGACAGCAAACTGATTGGCACAGCGGTGTGCGAACAAACTCGCATATTGAAATTAAATTTATATTCATGGGAAAACAGTATAAGAAATTGTATACACGCCGAATTCTACGGCACAAACTTATGTTTTGTGCACGGTACATTTTCGGGTCAAGTCTTTTGAGTTGAAGAAATATGTAAATGTAATTAAACATGCATCGTGTTATCATGACATCGCGTTGAAATGAAATGTGAATTCTGCACACCAGAAACAATTTACATATCAATGATTTTGTTGACAAATGACATAAATTTGGTCCATTCGACGAACCTTCTTAGAAACTCAAGGCCAAATACAGCATCCATAGGACACGCCAACGATTTTAGAGGGAGGGGAGTATGTAAAAGGAGGGGGTCGTGGCAAAAGTCGAACATATCTAATGTAAACCGCTATGTTAGAAATCAGGGGTTTTGGCTCAATACACCCTCTGCTCGAATCAAAAATGGTTAGGGGAGCGAATTTGGGTCGAAAACCCTAGTAAATCGAAAGAATCTTTTTCATCAATTTTCAATTTTTAGGAGGATATTAAAGGGGACCCTCGGAAATTTGGTGCTCGCCTATGACAGCACCTGTTAAATGCAAAACAACGTCCAAATACGAGAAGATCTATTTATGACGATGGATCTACTTATGAAAAATTCAAATCAAATACAAGAGCAATTTCATCGTATGTATTACAAATTGCAAAAAGCCATTCCAAACGGCTATTCTTACATCACTTTGGTCGAACGTCTTTGAATTCGCTGCTGGCCTAATTGGAAAGAGACTTAAACAGCATCTAAAAAGCAAGAGTTGCAAGAGAATTATACGAAATATATTCTTCTTATTAAATTTAAATGTAATCTTTTGATGTTTTTAATAAAACTGATTCGAATATTACTTTGAAAGATCCCACAAAGAATGTATTCATGCTTGCAATATAGTTTGAGACATGACATCAAACATCAAAAACAAAGCGAACAAGATAAGTTCTACTGAGCGGAATCGATTCTATCTTGAAATTGTATTAAAACTGATTATGTTTTGAAACGCACACTTTCTGTGCATATCAATGTTTCCTGTTCACATGAAATCAAATGATGTTTACTCAAAGATGATAATGACTTTAAGCGGAAAACATTGAATATGTCGAAACTTTGAATGAATATTTTCTTACACAATCGACTGGCTCAGTATAGGAAGTCGACGATATTATTTTTGTTTGTGGTCACAGAGATTATCTATATGAAGATGTGCTCACGCATTCAGTTGAGAATTTAGTACGCTTGTAGCACGCCTACTGCACCCTACGCAGCGTTTTTTGTCTGATTTATTTCCATAAAAAAGAACTCATTCCAACATGAGTTTCCAAATGGGATTTTTTATTTCAAAAGTGTCATTATTGGCGTATTTTTTGTGCATACAAGAATTTCGAGCGGCATCAATTTCAAATTGCATTGATTTTAACACAGACAAAGTTGCAAGTATTTTCCTTATCTTATTCCATTCAACAACTTCTCAATCTAACTCTCGTTTCTAAAAAAGGCGAATTATTTAGTCGAATTGGGGTATTTGTCGAAAACGCATAGTAACGAACAAAATTCGGTGTCAAAGCAACAATTAAAAGATGCGATCAAGTCATTTCAGCAATCGAATCGAATACCAGTGACGGGTGTCATTGATGATAACTCATGCAAATTGTTAAATCGACCGCAATGTGGTGGCATGATTTTGCCAAATGCATTAAGCGATTACAAACACCGAAGTCGACGATTTGCATCTTTTGAATTAAAGTGGCCCCGAACAAATCTCACATGGCGGTAAGATATTTTCATTCATTTTAAGTTTTCACCATAGATTTTCTACGGTATTTTTTCTTTCAGATTAATCAATGAAAATATGACAAACTTGGATGAAAATTGGGCGAGGGAAATATTGCAGCAAGCCTTAGAAGTATGGTCACATGAAACTCCGTTGAATTTTCGTGAAGTTGATGCGAAACGTGTTGATATTGAAATTGGATTTTCACGGTAAACCAAATTAATCGTTTATTTATTGAGAATTTGTTGATTGTTTGGAATTGTTTTCAGAGACCTGCAAGCCCTGTTCAATACAACGCAACGCATATTGGGATATGCCAATCCTCCAAACCCAATAAAAGTTCTTCTTAGATTTGATGCAGATCAAAATTGGGCATCATCTTCAGATGATAACGATTATTCAACAGCGGATTTAATGTATACGGCCGTACATGAAGTGAGTGCCTCAACAGAAAATTGCTTATAAACTTAATGAATGAATATGTGTTTACACATTTTCAGCTGGGGCACGCGCTGGGTCTTGATCACTCCAACGTAGAAGATGCAATAATGTACCCAGCTTACAAGATTGTGTTCAAAGGACTCCACGAAGATGATCGAAAGGGGATTCAAAATTTATACGGTCCTCGCGGCAAAGATCGGAATAAAAAAGCACGCATGCTACGCGCAATGAAAGGTGTACGAAACAATATACGATGGAAAATGTTAGCCATTTCGGAACCAATTAAAAAGTTTTTCCGCTATGTGTTTTAATCATTTTAAACAAACAATAGAGTTTTAATGGACTACGCCACATTTCCATGTAATTTCCAAAGTGACCATTTGTAATTCTTTAATTACCAGTTTTTGGTGTTTCAATAAAAAATCAATGAGAAAAATAAATAACAAATCATTAATTTAACAATAATACGAATAATTTAGTTAACCATAGTTATCCGTAACCATTGCTATGAATATCAGTACCAATTAAATGAAATTAAATGAGGAAGCTCTTTTTCAAATTATTAAAAAAAAACGTTTATACTTTCAGCTGAGCTGCAAACGAAAATTGTGCCAACCATGCTATTTGCATCATACGGACTAATGAAAATTTACGGACAGTTTCATTAGGAAGTGTCGATCCGATCTATATCTATAAATATATTTATAATTAAAAGTGAACAAGATTTTCGGTTAGTCTTATCCACTTTGTCGTTGACAGTCGAATGGTTTTATACATACTCAGTATAGACGTGGATAAAATCTTAATACCAATTTATAATAACACTATTTATATTACAGCTCAATTATCTCATAGTTATTCTGTCTGTGAAGTGAGATATATATGTACCGACACATTCACTTCTGCATTGACCTAGGGGGCAGACACGTGGAATAGGATTCGACTTTTAGTGTAAAGATTCGGGAAATTGCAATAAAATAGCAACGTCTGTGAATGGATTCGCGTGGAATAGCGAAACAGTGCATGGAATAGCATTGAAATTGTTTCACTTCAAATCCATTTGACATTTCTTTTGACGTTTATTGATGGATTAGTGGAATAGTGCGGAATAGTAGAATCAGAATTTTTGATGGAAACAGTGCATGGAATAGCAAATATAGTTTCGATTTCACATTTGTGTTTTTGGATTAGTGGAATAGCTGGATTAGTATTATTATTATTATTATTTATATAGTGAATTCGGAATTTATTCTTTGGTGTCACCCCCTAGGCATTGACACACATTTGCAATTTAAACTGTTAGAAGTCAATAAAATGTAAGTACTTGATTTTATTTTTAGCAACTCAATAGCAAAAGTTTTGGAGTATATAAATAACTGCATTAAATTCATCTGAATAGACAAGAATTTGAACATCTTAAGTGACATTTGAAAAAGTGGCCGATGAAAAAGTTTTTTGATGTATTTGCACTGCGAAATAGCAATTTGTTGTAAAATCAACAAATTTTAATTGTGACAATTATCAGCAAGTAAGTTTCAAATGCCATGTTGATATCATGTAAATTCCCATAAATATGTTTCAGAATTCGATGCGTTTATTCGAATATCCATTCATTTACTAATTTCATTAGATTTCGCAGCAAATATACAAACAACAACACTTGAAGCTATGTTGAGCGCATAATCCAACTTGAATACACATTGAACAATAATACTTAATAATGTAAAACTTGACTACAAAATCGTGTATAAATCCATATCAATATTTTGATGACAAAAGTAAATGAAACAAGCATAACACTTCTCAAAAATAACTCAACGTTTTCTTCAGAATCTTTGCGAAATTTGGTGCGGAACAATCGATCAATTAGAAAACTTTTGCCTTAATTGTACTTGAGACTTGCTTTTAGCGAATGACTCAAAACTAATGATAAATTGTAACACAATCATGTTAAAAAAGGACGTGTTGCCTTTTACTATTGTTAGACACTGAATACACTTGAAGCAATTATTTATATGTCGAAAGCCAAGTGGACCACACACCACAATTTAGACTTCATATCATTTAAAAAAAACCGTTTATGACTTTTAATCGAAAAGTGTGGCTAAATTTATATTTTACATCCCATTGTTGGGATATTATTTCACGGTCCGGGTTGTTTCCATTTTTCTTGAAATTTCTTGAAAATGATTGAAAAATGAAAAATTGATTTTGTATTAAAATAAAGTCTGTTTTTTTTACAAAATACAATATTGTAGAATTGTAATTTTTTCTCTTTGTTACCAATAATGCATTAAAATTCGTTTGATTGAAATCGTCTAGACTAATTTTCCATTTGATTGATTTCAGCGTCAAATATTGATATCGGTGTCATCTCATCCATTTCTTCAGTTACTTTTGTTTTCTTAATTAAACCACTGCCGACACTACCAAGTAGCAGTGACGAAATAAAAAAAGTTTCTTCATCCAATATCTATATCAGCTTCAGCGTATCGCGACAATTATAAATTGAAAATTGAAATTAAGTCGACCAACGTGAGATAAGTTTTTGATTGGTTTTAATCCATTTTCCATTTGCCAGTCGAATTGTTCGATAAGAACTGAATGGTAACGGGAAATCTATGCAAATGCCGAGGCATTGATGCATTCAAGATTGATGTGACGACGATGAGCATAACATTAATGGAACCAACACTCGACTCAATTATCTCGTTTCAATAGGGCCCCGAGACATCATTATTCATTCACTTCACTCAGACTAAGGGTGGAATGTACAGTGACATTTTTCAATATGAATCTGCCGTCGATCTCGTTTCAACCAGAGAAAAATGCGATATAAATGCGGAAGAAGTGAATTGGATTTATGTACTTAGTCTCTTTTGCAGAAAAAAAGATAAATAACCAAAGAGAATTTAATTGAACCGTTTCCAAGTGTTGCACCTTTTTTCAGATGAACTAAAACAGAAAGTCTTGTTGTTTTGCATTTTTATCAATAGTGACATCCATCGTTCACGTAATTCACACTTTTCAAACTACAATCATCGTTGAACACGGTTTTGTTTAGTCAATGCGCATTTCCTTTTGTAATCTGAAACTTTCCATTTATTGGTTTTCATTGTGTTTCATTTGGAATAGCAAACGATTTCATAGCTAAAGCATCCAAAAGGATTTCAATCAAATTAATTTGAAATCTGATGAAAACAACTCTTTTTCTGTTTACTTCAAATGAGTTTAATTGATTCGAGCAGATAAACAACATTGAATTATGGTGAATGTAAGCTGGACGATTCAACGCATTCAATTGATTTCTGCATCATTGTTATGGGCCTTTGGTGATTTCTTTGACAACTCTCATTTTTTCTCATGAGTATACCATATAATGGACAAAACGAGGAAGCTAGGCAAATTAAATACATTGAAAAGCATTTCTTTTAAACTAATTCAACTCCTTTTCGAATTCCATTGGAAATTGATTAAATTGACATCGATTATTGCAAACCAAAGTGCATTCCATGCATAAGGGACGACAGCTTTCGACTCAATATGCATTTGAAAAAATAACAACAAACAAAGTCCATGAAATTTGAATGTATAAGCAAAAATACTACATAAAAATCTTCGAACAATACATCTTAAGTAACACTGGCACTGATTTCGATCAATTTGTTGCTATTACCTATATTGAAAATACTTCAAATCCCCTCGAATTTCATACAGACGTTTCGATAATGGTGTGATCAAGTGACTCAACAGTTCTTCCTTAAGTTCTTAAGAACTTCTTATTGTGGCAATATCAATTTATCAAAAATCACTAAATCATAATGCGAAGTCACGCCAGTGGTGAAAACCCCCTTAAAACACATCTTCGAACTTCCTCACATTTTCGAAACACAATCGGCGCATGTGCCAAACTGTACCCCTTTTTTAGTCCGCACGTTTCACGATGTGGAACGAATAAAATATTCGCATTGAACAGAGGAACTTTAGTCGCTGGTCGAAGTTGCCACAAACAACAACACGCACAACCTGTTCGTATCGCATTCGCATCAGGAATTTTACGTATTTTTTGGTCAATCGGTAGAATGAGCAAAATATTTTTCCACTCTATTTAATTTTTTTTCTCTTTTCATATCGCTCTAATCTTTCAAATACACATAAACATTCGAATATCAGTTTAAAAGACGTTTTCCACTTTGGTTCAATAAATAGAAAAAAAATAACTTTTCAAGAGTATCTACAGCATATTAATCACAGAGAAAGCACATTAGCTGTCGAATTTCTTGTCAGATTATCGGTGTTTTCAGCATTGTTGAAATACAATCCGATAAAAATCGAATATTTGTAAACTTTTTAAAATATTTCGATCTCAATGCATACAAGATTCATGGAATTGCATTTATTATGATTGACGACACTTTTTGCATGAAAAAGTAATATGAAAAATGAAATATAATATGAAACTGAAACAGCGGCTGTATAGGAGGTAGGAAGACGCACAGAAAATTGATTTTAACCAATTGCCGAAGAGAGATTGCCACGGAGACTTCCAAGACCTTTTAGTTATTGGAGCTTTTCAATCAATCATGCATATGCTACAGAGAATTTAACAAAAACTTTCGATGCCGGTCAATTAACAATAATGCCGGTCAATTATTGAGCACTGCATTTAAGAAGAAATTTGCAGCTCAAGTGCAACTATTACTATAATTTTTAACTGAAAAACATATCGTCGGAAAATGTTGCCACATCATGCCTGTTAAAATCTAGTAATCAAATCTTTATTGGCCGAGAATTGGAAACAGAGAAATTGAATGTCGACAACAAAATCGGAAATCATCAAGTTCTACACACAATGACACATTAGATACAGTGACAGAATACAGAAGCAACCACTTATTCCATAATTTATGAACTGTAAAAGTATCAAAGTTTATCAGACTTGAATAAATGTAAAGGTTCAGAATGAAGCGGCAAATCCGATGATACAGTTATATTTACAGAGCAAAATGAAAAGAAGAGATTAAGTGCAAATAGATAGAGAGAGAGAGGAAGAGCAAAAAAGATGCATCGGCAGGAATAAGTGAATTAAAAAGAGAAGAGCGGCTTCGTTCATCGAATGAACAAACGATAGAAAGAGAGAGCGAATGTTTATTCACTGGCGAAACTTTATCTCTGACTTAATCTTTCCCTCAGGCAACCATTCAAAAATACGATCCACACATAGACACCTCTCTGCCTTTCTCTTTCCCTTGTTATCAATTGCTAAATAGTGCCCGAATTTTCTAAATAATTTGTAAGAGTGAAGCCGTAAAATGCAAATTGCAAATGGTTTGCATTTTGTGTAAAGTGAATACTTGGGCCGGAAAATTGCG